ACAAACGGGCGAGTGGGAGATTGATGCCAATTCATCCCCCTTTTCTCCCGGAAATCTCGACTAATAGCACATCACCAGACTTTTTTGCGTTTGGACAAAAATAGGGGGAAGAGGCGTATTTCGCGATACGTGGTTTGGCTACCTTTTTTTTTTCTTTTTTCTTTACGAGACGGTTTCGTCTCTATTCATTTTCAGATGGTGCCTTACGGTGGACGTTGGGGATTCCCTCAGGTTATTTTTCTTACTTTTTTTTTTTTGCACTATTAGGTAGATCACTGATATTTCTGGATCATCGGTATTATGCGGGACATGAAAATGAAGGGAGGAGAAGGAAACGAACGAAAGACCAAGGAAACGCGGCGCATTTTTTGATAAGAAATTCGAGGGGTTTTTCTTTATTCATTTATTTTGGGAGAAGGGGCTGCGAAGACGACGACTACGGAGAAGTAGGTTCGAAGCGGTTTTTCAAGGGGAGAGGTGGTGAGGGAGGATTTAGCTGAGCCAGAGAAAAACAAAGAAGACATACCCAGGCAGCTGAGAAGATGAGCATGGCGGTGTTTAAGGCTATTTGTTTTACTTGAAAGCATTCTTGGTTCCCTTGGGATATTATAACAAGTAGTGTATTTATGAGTTGGGGTATCTGTAATACATGATATGGAAATACTAATCCACCACATTTGGGCTGGCTTCCTCTGTTTTGATTCATTGACGTCTTCTTCTTTTCTTCTTCTTTATATCAGACCTTTTTGCTTAGATTAGGCCTGCTTTTCCCCTCTTGTGGTGTTTGAGCCGCCCTCTTCTATATCCTGAATCTCATCGCTATCATTGTTCTGCTCATACTTCTTCACAGGAAACGAACTAACGTTGCGAACCGCGTCCACATCGTCATCGCCATCCGCACTGATATCATCCTCCATCTCCTCCTCAATCAACAAGTTCAGAATCATACTCACCGCCGCCGTGACGGCAAAACCAGTCTCCATAACGAGAACAATAGCATCGAGGAAGCCGCTAAGTGACTTATTGTCTCCATGGTAGGTAAAGACTTTATCGAAATAATTAGGCACCAGAGTCGCTCCGTAGCCAAGAGCCAGGCCGGCAGTGAGGATGAAACGGTTCCGGCGCGTAAATGGCACGCCGCGCGAGATGATGGCAATACCAGAGACAGCAACAGAGCAGAAGAGAAAGGTCGTCATACCGCCGAGGACCGAAGACGGGATAGCGACGAGAGCGGCAGCGAACTTGGCAAAGATGCCCATGACAAGGAGGAAGAAGCAACAGGCGTATCCGGCCTTGCGGTTGGCGCAGCGGGTAAGCGCAATAACACCGTTATTCTGGGCAAAGGTGCTCATCGGCGTCATGGTCATGAGGGCTGAGAGACAGCCGTTGAGGCCATCCGCGAGGACTCCTCCCTGGATACGAGACTCGTAGATCATGCCTTCGACCTCAAGATGGGAAACATCACAGGTGGCGGTGATGTCTCCGATGGACTCGGTAAGACAGACGATAAAGACGGCAAGCACTGGAAGCACTAGTGGTCCATAGACAGACAAGGGGAATGTATGTACCCAGATGAAAGAGGCGACTGGGGCAGAGTCGATGCCGGATCGATCGAAATAGCCACAGGCAGCGGCAATGATACACCCCACCAGTAGGCCGATGATAACAGACGTCGACTTCATAATGGGAGATCCGAAGCGCTCACATATGATGATTGTGACGAAGACACTGAACCCCAAGCCAAGGAACTCGGCAGAACCCCAAGGCAGAGCATGTGGTGCGCCAGTGCCAGGACACAGAGCAGAGGTTGTACAGCCACTTCCTCCCATCCAGTCCTGGAAGCCGCTTTTTATGAGGTTGATGCCAATGAGCATGACTGTCGGGCCCGTAACGATGGGGGGAAACATTCGGAGTAGGATGCGAGGCGGAATGAAGGACAGTAGCATCTCGAGCAAGGCGCAGACCGCACAGGTTCCCAGTAGAGCACCGTATCCACGAGGGCAGGCCAGAGGATTGCCAGCGGCGTCTGAGGGACAAAATCCATTGACATACATTTGACTAAGCGCTCCTTGGGCAACGGGGATGATGCTGAAGCTGATACCCACGACGGATATAAGTCCAGTTCCGAGATAGTAGCTATAACATTGGTTCAGTACGCCATGGGGCGGTATGCATGATTTCTTACAACTTACGGAGTCTTGTAGATGTGGAATCTCGTGATCTGAATGCTTGACAAGATTCCGGATACAATCAGCGCCGTGGAAACCAGGTACTGTTGTTGTTCAGTCGACAAGTTGGCTCCGCCCGGACCCGACAGAATCAACGGCGGCGTGATGATGCCAGCCAACATGGCCAACGCATGTTGTAGCCCTAGTAGCAGACCCAGGAAGACGGGCATGCGATCATTGAGACCAAAGAATGGACTCTTTCCACCCCCTGAGCCCTTGGACATGAATGGGAGATTGGGCCGGAACAGGACGCCATAGTTGTAGTCGCCGAGAAGGCCATCGCGGGTTGTAAAGGCTCGACGGAGGGACCGAAGTCGACGGCTAAGAGACCACCGAGGAGCGGTTTCGGGGGTGATGGTCGTAGGTCCAGTGCCTTCATCCATGATGAGATGAGATGGATGTAGGCAGAACCAAGTTGAATGTTTTTGGGGGCAGCGATCAGGTCAAAGGGTCGAAACCTGGCGGTTGTTGGTGGCAAACCTGCTGAAGCCTACGTTGATGCTAAATCAGAAGTTTATGCTGTCACGAACGAGAAACTCGAGATGACCCAGCTGATAGGTCCCCAATTACTTCCAGCAGAATAACCTGTATTGCAAAAGGACAAGATGGAGGAAGAAGAATAGGACCGTAACACAGACAGTGGATGCGATTGTTGAATACACCTCGGTATCAATCGCACCACAAGGGCAGCTGGTGATATATAATTAATTGCTTCCTTAAAAATCTTTCCACTTTTTCAGATACGATAAGCAAAGGGCGTAGTAATGCAATCAATAACTATTTTTTTGCCAACGGCTGGCCGATGGTGTGGATGGACCAGGTTGATGGGCCCCGGCTTTTGCTTATCTTTTCCGAATTGTGAGTGGTTGAATGGATATGGCTGCGTCGATTAATGCCGATGCCAATAGCCAGTGTTCGGACAAACGAAGATTTATTTGCGGAATTGCGTTGAAACTAGCAAATTATTGGCCGGCATGAATCGAGGAGCTGATGTCGACAGAGTGGTTCGCATCATGCCCAGCCAATTGTTGATGGGACCATGCCAAAGATATACGCATCCAGCTAAGGGGTATGACGCCTGGATCAGCGTATCATGCGGAGTATCTGCATTGAAGATGGCGGCTATATCGGAGCCTTTTTCTCTCATGCCTGTGCCTCATCTCGTCGATCAGGGAAACACCATCAGATGAATGCAACGGTGTTTGTCTGTAGGATCATTTCCATCAGTCATCATACCACCTTTTTCGACACCGGCATTGCAGCATCGCATTCCGGACGACCGACGGCCCTAGCAGTGAATTCCCCGGACAAGGCAGCCAGCGGACGCTCTTCTTGTGGGGGAAGCCATATCCAGAATGAAGAGCCTTGCCTTGTTCCGGCATCTCTGCGGGGCCTGATTGCGGGAGACATGGGGGTTCAGCTCCATCGCTGCTGATAGTGACTGTCCGCGATAAGAGATCAGTTGTTCATGATCGTTATCTATCTCGGGTCAGCTACTGCAGGGCTTCTCCAGACTTAGCGCATTACTAGGGGGATTATCCCGTCTGTCGATATTTGAGATGGTTCTAGATAGGGGTTCTCCGTGTGCTGGCTGCTGGCAAGCACTCGGTGAGCTCCGATGCAGGCGCTCAAATGAAAAGGCGCTCTCCGGGCCTTTGTTCCTGACTTTGGTGTTGTCGACACGCCATGCGGCTGACGAAGAGGCGAGATGATGCTGGTGATGGGCAATGATTTCTAACGTGGTGGCGGCATGTCTGCGTTCCGAGGCATCCGTCTAATTGGACTGATAAGGCTTTCAGCTTGGATGAGAAGAAGAAAAGTAGAAGAAAGATGATGTAAAATCAAGATTTGCAAATGTGATTAGATTAATAGGTGGTGAGCATCTTGTAAGACGGCAGAAGGATGGGAGTCGTGCCTTCCTTGGGGAGCGCTATAGTTCAGCTTACCCTGGAGCTTATGAAGCCTCACATGGGCGACCATGAACACGTACTTCACGGCGACTGTCCCGAACGATGAATTACTAGACAATGTTAAAATATCTGGATTTTGATAAGTTTCCAAATATACAAAGCAATGCGCTGTGGGCTATCACTCAATACATTGCTGCATTTTTTTTTTTATATACGACACTATTGATGCGTTGGCTTATTGACGGATCTCAATCAAGCTCTCCTATCAGAGATGAGACATGTGAGCAGAAGCCTCGGTTTGCAACTTAAGTACTTATAACAAGCATTTCTGACCAGAAACATCAGCAATAGGTAGGACTACACACATGTTTGTCTTTGTCATGGTTAACACTGTGTCATATTAAAACTGCCTTGACAGCCGTCAGACTGCCTTGCTGATATGTAAAGGGTGTGGGCGATGAAGCTAGACGGCACTCTACTACAGCCAGCTCCTTTTCATCCTGTTTCCTGGTTTACTTTGACGTATAGTCTGCCATTTCTAGTAGATCCTGATTCATACGCCTCTTCTTGGGCATTGTTTAGAACATGATGACATTAAAGGGCCCCTAATAACCGAAAGCAGAACAAGCGCCTACTATATGAATCATCTCACAGTAAACAAATTGTTGAATGACATCCACCACTCTCTAAGACCTACATTCAATCACACACATAAACAGAGACTTTGCTCCAATTATATCCCCCTCACCAATAAGCTCACAACGTGAACGGCAAACCCCATAAAAGTAGCAATAAAAACCTCCCAATCCCCAACCCAAAATTTCGCCACTCCCGCTGTCACGCCCCCCTTCCAACTATCCCATATTGCCCATCTCATTGGCGCCTCCAAAACCGGAACACAAATTCCGGAAAGCCATACAAGTCGATCATGGTCCCCTTTCGGCTACCGGCCCGGACTTCTGGAATTTTTTTCGCTCCCTTCCTTTCGCCGTTGCCGTTACCTTTGCCTTTTTTTTTGCTTTTAAGGGTCCAGTCTGTCTAACAGTGCGCCGCACATGCAAACATGGGAAAAGTTATGGGGATTTCCAGAATTCCCATGTTCTCGCCACTCTATGATGGAGTGGCGGAAGGGAAAAATTGCCAAAAAATGAATAAAAGGATCGTCCCATAGAGAACAGCATTTACTTGTTCCAAAGATTGTTAGATGCTAGTTCTTTGAAACTCGCAACCAATTTTCAACACTACAAAGTCATGCCATCTACCTCTCCCCATTCCAAGTCGGGTAGCATTCAAAAAGCATCTCGTTCGCCTTCCTCTCGCTCGCATAGCATTCACAAAGCGTCTCGCTCACCTTCCTCTCGCTCGCACCGCCGTCCATCTCGTTCTCTCGTCTCCAAGCTCGAGTCCGTATCGCCCCGAGTCGTGTTTGGCCACGACGCCCTCGCCAGTCTCCCAACAGAGCTCAACAAGCTGTGCCTTTCGTGCCCTCTCGTTATATACAGCCCGTCTCGCCTCTCCCTCGCCAACCGCATCCGCGCTCTGCTGCCGAACCTAGACGCCTGCTTCATATCGTTGGATACGCATCCCGGTCCGGCGATTCTAGCCGGTCGAGACTCCATCATCAGCGTGGGAGGGCCCCGGGCTGTTGCGCTGGCGAGACGAATCAGCTTCAAGATGAGCATTCCGCACATCTGCGTCCCGACGATGCATAGCGGGGCGGCTGGCGGCGATCTCCCTCCGTGGGGGCATCCGGGGGAAGAAGACTGCGGCGATTCGAGGATATGCGAAGAGGGAGGTGATGTGCGCAGCGATGATGGCGGGAGGAATTTGCCGATGGTCATACTATATGATAAGAGGCTGACGGAGAGTCGTATAAGACGATTTTCTGCGCCATCGGGAGCTTGCGATGATACTGAGACTGAAGCCGAAGCCGACTTTGTTCTTGTCGGTCCGGATGTTGCGACAGGCGCAAACTCGCCCGTATTGCGGTCCGCGCAGAGCAGAACGTCTCAGTGGAGCTACATCAACTTGCCTGGTATCTGAAGAAGACCTGGCATTCTCATCAGTCTCATTTCAGCCCGCCGTTAGCTCAGCTTGTCTGCAGCACTTGTCTGGACTATCAGATGTTTGAACCGATCATCTTCAGCATGATCCCTTGAAACGAGCGTCATCAAAACTATACAGTCGCATCGCAACATCTGTCACACCAATAAAAACCATCAGAAGGCAGAGCGAGAAGCTCTCCGACAGACTCACACTTCCCGTCAGATCAAGTGGAAGTCAGGATGATGAAAATAATGAACAAAGAGGTACGATTTGAGAAATCGGCCTCGAGGTTTTGGGCTATTAACTCAATTTAGGTATTTAGTCAGATCAGATTGGGTGGAAAAGAAACGAATCGAAGGGATTCGTTTCAACAATAACCATTCGTCGAGCACACCTAGATATGCAATGCTATCGTTATATAAATCATGTGAGCTCTGCTCGATCCCTCGAGCCCTCAAGGTATCACAAACCAAGGTAACACAGACCTTCCCCCCCGAAACCCTTGCCCATCACTAGGGCAGTAAACCGTACAGTTTTCTCTTAATCTAGACCATCAAAGCCCAAGATGCCGTGAGCGCCCATGGGGCCCAGCTTTTGCTGCTGCATCTCCTTTCGTCTCTTGGCCCGTTGCTTCATCTCTTCCACTCCATCATCACTATCATCGTCGCTGTCGCTCTCAGCAGCGCGTTTGCCGTTTGGCTTTTCTTCTTCATCATCCGAATCATCATCCTCGTTGTCGTCATCGTCATCGTCCTCATCATCGTCTTCCTCACTATTACTGTCGCCGCCCTGAAGCGCTGATAGTTCCTCCCAAATCTTGACTGTTCGACCGCCAGCGCTAATTAGACGGTTCTCCGAGTCGAATCCTAGGGAGACCACGCCCTCCATATCGTCGTGCCTCAGATTGAGGGTTGTATCCACCTCTCTCCGCACAAGGTCGACGATTCTCAGACTACCATCGCCAACGCCGCAAACCACCTTCTTGCCCACTCCCAGCTCCTTGGGTACCATGACGACAGCGTCTATGCTTTCTCCTCCAGACTTTGCCGGATCCACAATGATACGTTCTTGCTGGTCATCCCAAGCTCCTTTGTCCCACATGGTCAACACGCCGGATCCAGATCCAACCACCATGACACCATTGTTTCTGTTCTTCTTGGGCCCCAAGCCAGGCACGAAGCAAGAGCTCAGAAGTTCGTCCTCTTGATCCTCACTTCGTACAAGCACTCCTCGTCGGACGTCTGTAACAGCTAGTGTCGTTCCACCAGTGCTAACCCATTGCTTGGGAAAGCCGCTGGTGCTTTCTTCCGAAGGCGGGAGGGGCGTAATGGACGAGACGTAGTCGGAATGAGGATAGTGCGTTTGCGCAGGCTTTTTACCTAGAGCGCCGTCGCGCAAATCGACAATGTGTAGAGCACCGGTATCCGTAGCAAGAAGGAGGCTCATCGGGTTAAGCACGTGTAGCAATGCTGGGCCGTCGGGCCGCGAGGTATTGGTCGGGATGGCAAACTTTGAAATGACTTTGCCCGTAGCAGTATCGTAGTGCTTGATCAGTGCGTCCGTGCCGGCGGAGTACTGGTCTGAGAGATTGGTCTGTTAGTATTGCGAACCTATGTAAAAGCGGGAAAGGTTTCTCCAAAGGCGAATTGGGCACCTACATTGTCCATCGTGGGAGTTGGCCAGACAGCGACAGCTTCCCTTGTGCCTCTTGGTCTTCCAAACCGAGTTAATCGTCGATCTACCGTCGCTGAGCACGCTCGAGTCTCCATCGGCATCGTCGTCTGAGGAATTGCTAGATGGCAATCGAAAAGTTTCGACAAGGCCGTTGGACAGGCCGACAGTCAATAGAGGCTCTGTCGGGTGCAGCGCTGTGGTGAAAATATCCGCGTGAAGCGGGAGTGTGCAGGTGTTTTCGAACATGGCTCGACTGACGGCGGCCGCTTAGCTTCGGCGACCAAGGTAATTGCGACTATTTGCCTGGAGCAGGATTGCTAAAATAGTTGTGGTAATTATAATGAGGATGCTGTCATCCTGCAGCAAAAGCAGAGTCAAACAAAATAGAGTTGTAAAGTCAGAGCTGCACTTGGAAGCTCAGCTGATGCAATGCCTTCAAGAGACGAAGAGGAAAAAATAAAGAAGCTTTAGATTAGATAGCCGTATCGATTGGAGTTGGTGCACTGTGCGTACTACTGTGCTACTGTGCGGTTGTCAACTGAGTAGCGTCACCAGCATAATTGAGCCCCGTCACTCGTCAAGGAGAGAAAAAAAAGACACAATTCAATTGGCGTTGCTCAGTCATGGGATTGATGGATTTCACCGCTCGATACTGATACGAGATTTGGCCTTTGGCATAGCTTTCTTCTTGACCTCGCAGCAATCACTATCAAGTTGACGGCATTTACAGCTCCAGCTATGCAGAAGCTGAGGGTGTATGCGGCCTTGTGGCTGGTCATGGTGACCGGCTCCCTTGCTCTGGGAGTTCACGGATCCATTCGAAGCATCATGTATCTCACAGGGTGAGCTCTTTTAATTTGACTTGATAATTACTTTGTTTGATGAGTGGCTGACGCTTCTCCAGACAACATGTTGTCGTCCCGTCGGATGAGTATCTTGTGAATTCCATCACTCATGTGATTTTGGCATTCATGCGCTCAGATGTCTTTAATGTAAACAAGACACCGGCAGATTTCCCCTTGTTTACAACAGTGGATACAGTTCGACAGCAGTTCAACCCGGATACCAAAATCATGGTGGCAATTGGAGGCTGGGGAGACTCCAAAGGGTTCGAAGAGGCTGCACATGACGACTCATCAAGGAAGAGGTGGGCTACTCAAGTCAAAGCCATGGTGGACCTTACAGGCGCCGACGGCGCCGATATTGACTGGGAATATCCGGGGTAAGCAGAGCTGAAAGTGTCAACGAATGGCATTGACTAACGGCGTATAGTGGAAACCGTGACGACTATAAGCTTATTCCCAATTCACAACGCCGGTGGGAGATTGAAGCATTCGTCCTCCTCCTTGGAGAACTTCGCTCAGCTCTAGGGACAGGGAAATTGCTGTCAATTGCAGTGCCGGCTCTAGAACGGGATCTGATGGCCTTTACAAATTCGACTATTCCAACCATTTCGAAACACGTTGATTTCATCAGTGTGATGACTTACGATATGATGAACCGACGTGATACTGTTGTCAAGCATCACAGTGGCGTGGCCGAGTCGTTGGAAGCAATGAAGCGTTATATAGACCGCGGTGTACCTCCAAACAAATTGAACTTCGGACTTGGCTATTATGTCAAGTGGTTCATGACGGAAAATTGCGACAATCAGCACCCATTGGGATGTCGCACTCAATTATTGGAAGATCCGACTAATGGAGCCGACCTGGGTAGGACGGGTGCTTTCAGCTGGCATGACGAGGTTCCGTCAGAACTGGCAAGTTCTTTTGCAAAAGCCCAAGCGCTGGGCGACTATGGTGATGATGGAAGCTACGGGTATTGGGATGCTGAAGAGAAGAGGTGGTGGTCATACGATAGGCCAGAGACGATCAAGACCAAGGTGCCTCGGCTTGTCGGCGAGCTGCGGCTTGGCGGAGTGTTTGCGTGGGGATTGGGCGAGGATGCTCCGCAGTTTAATCATCTGAGGGCGACTGTCGAGAGCGTCCAGGCCTTGAGCGGAGATGATAATCAGAAAGACGAGCTATAGAGCCTATACAAGCACTAAAGCTGTTTTGATGTCATCCAGACCGGACCAACAAGTCTATACGCACAACTTGGCGTTTCTGTTCCTGAATCCCTCTTGAAATCTTCGCCACGTGCGTGCATCAGAGAACATTGAGCTATGAGCTAGAAAATGTAACGCTCCGGCTAAATTCTGCATCACGGCCATAAGATCCGCACGTGGTCCCGATATGTCCATGATATGTGAACATAAAACCAGGATGGGACGAGATGGTGCTGACGGAGAGAAGTTGGCATTCGGGCTAAGAAGGCTCTGGGCGGGCGAGGCTAGGGCAAAAAAGCCACCCCGGGCTAGCAATTAACCTTGCCGTTAAGAATAACCAGAGCTTAAAGCAAAAAAGGCTTCGGTATTGTTTCGGTACAAGTCAGCCAAGGTGAACCCCCTGGCAGAAATGCAGAGCCGGAGACTGGGCTGGGCGAATCACAGGCGCGGGCCTAGACACGCTGTAATCGAGAACAGAGGAGAATCGCGGAGGTTCTGGCCCTTTTGCTTGTCATTATCGAGTTCCTGGCCGATATGCTTCTGGGGGACCCATTTGAGACCCCATCTGCATCTCCGCTTCCGCCAGTGAGTGACATGATCCAAAGAACATGGACGCAATGCAACCATAGGATCCCTGGCACGCTGCGGGTTTCTCGGGCTAGCAGCCAGTTGAGGCAATAGAGGGGACAAGCATGTCGAGGCCGTGTCGCGCGACAGTGATTCCAGAGCAAAATGGTAGGTATGAAGGCAGAAGAGAAGCAGCAAAATCAATGCAGTAGAAACAGCTTCAATTAGGCGAGTATAAGAGCAGACAATCTCCAAAGCGAGTGCACAGACTCAAACCTACACACCAGAATCTATCTGGAACAACCTATCTAGGAAGAATTAACAGAAAGCAACCACACGCCGTAAGCCTCAGGCACACAGCTTCCCTCGGGCTCCATACCGGCCCCCAAGCGTGATTCGCCGCCTGGCCCGGAAGAGCCCCGAGACTCTCTCATCCCTCCATGGCAGGCATGTGGTTGATCCGTGAGAAAAAACTCCTCAGCCTGCCAAATTGGATCCTCCTTGGGGCCTTGGCTTGGCTCCCAGGGCATCGTCAATGGCCGCAATGTCACCGCATCCGCCGGTGGGTGCCAATGCAGACCGCCGGCCTGTTCGGGGGACGACATTGGCTCTTCTGATCGGGGGGAGAATATAAAATGCTGTCTGAGTCCGCCGTCTGTTGTCGTGGGGGAGGTGGTTTCTGGTGGTTTCTGTCCGGCAGCAGCAGCTCGAGTCTCACATCTCTTTCTCTCTTTTGCTTGAATCAAGATGCACTTCACGCCCTCCCTCGTCGCCGTTGGCCTCGCTGCCATCGGCCAAGTCGCGGCCAAGCCTTATCCCAATCCCGCTCAGGGCCTCAAGCCCATCAAGCAGATTGAGCTGGGCCCGCGTCCTTACTTCCTGGTCGACAGCATGGAGGACGGCCCTCTCAAGAGCATGCTGGACTCGTGCAAGGAGATGAAGATCAAGCCTTCTTCCTTCTCCATTGCCCACCGTGGTGGTGGCCCGCTGCAGTTCCCCGAGCACTCGCGAGAGTCCAACCTGGCGGGCGCTCGCATGGGCGCCGGCGTGCTCGAGTGCGACGTCGCCTTCACCAAGGATCTCGAGCTGGTGTGCCGCCATAGCCAGTGCGACCTGCACACCACGACCAACATCGTCAACATCCCCGAGCTCAACAAGAAGTGCACCACGCCCTTCCAGCCCGCGGCCAACGGCAAGCCCGCGGCGGCCAAGTGCTGCACCAGCGACATCACCCTCGCCGAGTTCAAGTCTCTCTGCTCCAAGATGGACAGCTTCAACGCCAGCGCCACAACGCCCGCAGACTACCTCGGCGGCATCCCAACCTGGCGCACCGACCTCTACAACACCTGCGGCACCACGCTCTCCCTCAAGGAGCACATCGCCATGACAAAGGCCCTAGGGTTGCAGTTCACCCCCGAGCTCAAGACCCCCGAGGTGCCCATGCCCTTCAAGGGCCACTACACCCAGCAGCAGTACGCGCAGCAGTTCATCGACACCTTTAAAGAAGCGGGCATCCCCGCCTCCCGCGTCTGGCCCCAGAGCTTCCTCTACGACGACATCCTCTACTGGCTCAAGCACGAGCCCAAGTTCGCCAAGCAGGCCATGTACCTCGACGAGATTGCTGATTTCGCCGGCATGGACGCTGCCGTCAAGAACCTCACCCAGTACCACGCCGACGGGGTCAAAATCGTCGCTCCTCCCCTGCCGTACCTCGTCACCAGCAAGAACGGCAAGATTGTGCCCAGCGAGTACGCCAAGAAGGCTAAGAAGCTGGGCCTCAAGATTATTACTTGGAGTTTGGAGCGTTCTGGCCCTATTGCTGCCGTGCATGCCAACGGCGACTACTACTACTCTTCCATCCAGGATGTCGTTACGAGGGACGGTGATATTTACACCCTTGTTGATGTGCTCGCTCGACAGGTTGGTGTTTTCGGCATGTTCTCTGATTGGAGTGCTACCGTGACTTACTACGCCAACTGCTTCGGTCTCGGACTGTAAGAAGGGTTTGCTGCGTGGGGGATGGAATTCTTTGTTTTTGTCTGTATATGTAATTAATGCTGTGATGAATGGACCATGACGGAGGTGGAGAGATATACGACTTTGGAATAGAATTAGTATATTGCTTCGTTCACCCGTATGGTCGAGCCAAGCTTAGTGTAAAATAAAATAAAATAAGAAGAAAAAAAGTCTATCAATGAAATGATTATAGTGAGAATGAGAATGAATACAAAAGAGATGTCAAGATGAAATCCGTCTTAATGCGCCACCTCCCATCCATGTCCCCCTAGATATTGCCCCGCAGATTAGTAACATTGGCAAAGTTATGAGGAATAGCCTCCAAAGCCTGCTTCTTGCCATGGAAGAGCAAATCAAAGTACGCCATCAATATGCCATTCAGATCCTTATCAAGCTGATGCGGGTCAATGCTTCCCAAAACCTGCGCAATAGCCTCCTTCGCCGCAGCAGGAAGATTCAAAGCACTAACAAGCATCAAGTCATCCTTGAACGCCCCATGCTGAGTGTTGGCAATAGAAAGCTCCATGCGCTTGCCCTTGAGACGAGGCCAGAACTGGTTCCACGACGGATCCTCGTCATCGTGGCCCTCGTGCCCGACCAAGACGAAGGGCTTGGCGACGTTGCTGCTCAGAACAGGGTCCGTCACCATGCCGTCAAGGTCAAGACCGCCGATGACTCGTTTGTCAACGTTGATGACATTTGCAGAGGTGGCACCGCCAAAGGAGTGGCCCCAGATGGCGAGTTGCTTGTAATCGATGGTACCGGGGAAGTCTGCGAGCACGGGCTTCATGACTTTTTGGTTCTCGAGCTGGTTGATGATGAAGGTAATGTCGTCGGTGCGCACCTGCGATTGTCAGTACATGATGATTTCTATTTGTGAGGAGAGAATAAAAAGGGTGCGGGTTACCTTCATAAGCTTTGGGAGAACCTTGGGATCAGAGGGGTCAAAGTCGATGCCCTCAATGATGGTCCCGTCTGGGTACTGGATGGCAGGTGCTTCAAATGGGTGGTCGACGCTGACAACAACATAGCCATGGCTGGCCAGGGACCGAGCCATAGCACTGTAAATGAGTCGCGACTCCTCAAGACCAGGCTCAAAGAGGATGAGAGGATATTTCTTGTTCTTGTTGGAAGCTTGGCCGCAGGGTGAGAGCTTCTTGAGGTCGCAAAACTCTATCTGAAACGGCTGATAGAGAGTATCCGGCAGGCCAACCTGAGTGGCCTGTTGCCCGTAGCTGGCGGCGACTGGAGGAGTCATGTACGGAACAGTTACAGCAGGGCACGATTGTCTGGATTTATCGACTGGGAGGTAGAGCGAGACCAAGAGACGGCGGCTTTTGGACTTGCCCGTCGGATCCAGGGGATCATGCCGGCTTGTATCCGTCAGAGGTAGCTCTTTCATGGCGACGGCATAGGGACCAGTCGGGCCAGGGACAAGGACAGCCCTGGTGACGGATAGAAGTAGGCAAATTGATCCGATGAAGCGCATGGTGTCGGTATCAAGTGGTGAAGGTGATGGAATAAAGTTGAAGTGGGAGTACACAAAGATGAAAAATTGTAGAGTGAATTGAACTGAATTGGTAGTAGTTCTGGATAATTAGAGGGTTGATGTTGGTTACTTATAAACTCGTCTGAAGCCCCTCTGAATATCGTGTGGAGGCACCTCACAGCCTCGTTCAATGACCACAGCCGTGTAAGTCCCCAAGAGCCAAACCCAAATAGTATATGATGGCACGAAGCCAATGACGACGAAACCGTTTGAGCCTGATGGGGTTGCGACTGTACGAGGCGAGATGAGTACGTAGGCATCTCCTTCCCCTATATAAGTATATTGGAAAGGGCATGATTGCAGCTCAAAAGCTGCCAAGTGCGGCTGAGGGTGAATTTGCTGCCGCGAATCGACTCGCCATGGCGTCGCGATATGATTGCCGTTTTGGGTAAAGCATGATGATGAGGTCGATGGTAGATCCGCACTAGCAGGATGGAGTATCTCATCTCGTAAGAAGGGGGCATTATGCGCACACACGCTATCATCAATGACCTTGTCTGCGTTAAGCAGGCACAGGCACCCCCACTAGCGGTTAATCAATCAAGGACAGAACAGAACAGTGCGTGCTCGTTCCACCTCAGTTCTTCTTGGGGGGCTTATTATTATTGATAAAGGCTTCAGTGGAGGCGTAGAATTGGCCTTCGCGCAGTTTACGTTGGATGAAGAAGATGTCAGCCTCGGAGATGTTGACCGAGGGGCGTTCGTTGCAAACGTCACGAGCAATGGTACTCGTCGACGCTCCCTCGGCGGCCAGGCGAGTTTCCACCATCTGGAACAGGTCCTGGATGCCAAAGGGACGGGGCACCTTGTTCTGCAGGTCCTCCATGCTGGCGGGCTCATGGTTGTGCTGGCTCGACCGCGCAGAGATGATGTAGTCGGCCATTCGGGTGCGCCGAGCGACGATGAAGAAGAAGGGGCAGTCGGTCTTTCGAGTCGAGGTGATGTACTTGTTGCGGCTCAGATGGTACTGGCGATAGATGCCGCTGTGCCGGCACCGCACCTCGCCACGCACGACGACGCCATTGCGGCGGTTGACCCGCTCCTTTATGGTGATGAAGCCGTGCGAGTATTCTGCCCGCTGGATGGCATCGTAGGCTTCCTCAAAGGAGAGAAACGTCTGCCCGATCAAAGAGGACATGGCAGGCTAGCAGACAGAGACAGCTGTGAATGATTTGAAGGGCTCAATGGCAGCAGCACGGTTCAGGTCAAGTCTAGGCAGGGCAGGGCAGGTCAAGAGAGGACAAGACAAGACAAAAGAGGCAGCAAAGCGAGCGGGAGGGATGCAATGACGATTATACCACAGGTGCGGAGTCTGGAGGCATGGAGATGGAGACCAAAAGACGCGATCCGTGTCGCTTTTCTTGTTTACGAAGCGAAGCATCCAAGGCAGCCACGTGATGCAGCTCCCGCAGCCAAAAAGGTGGGGTAGCTCTTCTGTGGCCTCAGGTTAGTCTGGACAAAGTGTGTCTGTGTGCGTGCGTGCACTTTAGGTCTCTGTACCTAATCTAACTTAATATCAGACGAGCAATACAGCCTGTTTAATCTAATGGATACCAAGGTATACAAGTACAAATAATATACTTTTTGATGTGTTTTAGAGGCTATAAGCCTCTGAAGCGTGGAAGCATCAAGGTCAATGCTAGCTGTGGCAATTATCGGCATACACACTCAATGAGCTCCGGAGCATTACAGCACGGCAAATGCGCTAGGGGAAGACGGCTCAGAGGGGGGTCTCAGCACCAAGGTTGCATGCTAACTGAGCAAGGGTGCGACCCCTCATAGCGATGCCTGCAGATTCTGTTAATACGAGTACCAGACTTCCAATGACTGCTCCTCTTCCTTGGCAGAGAGGAGCTGATTTAAAAGACCGTCAGCACCCGTGTTACTCAGACAAGAGCATCCATTGCTATTCATTGCCCAATCTTTGAGTCACATTACTCTTCTCTTGTATGTATGTTTACCTCTTCAGATGGAATCCGTCTTGCTTCGGAAATGTTCAACTTGCGATTGCCCGGGGTCAAGATCCGATCCATCTTCATGTCTGTCATCCTATGTACTCTGCCTGACTGGCTTGAACGACAGAGAGAGGGATGGATGAATATTCCATATGCATCAGAGGTTTTTAGTTTCTTCGAGATTTTGTCTGTCATGGTCAACTCGATCGGGCTTCACCGAGAGCGCTGACTCACCCCGGCGAGGCCAAAAGCAGCCACTGTAGATGTAGACCCGCCTCAGCAAGGGCGGACGGTTGATTTCACCTTTGGCAAACCCATTTGAGCTCCCATCCGATCGGATAAGGGGTCAAACGTCAAGAGAAGAAGCCATCTTTGCTGTTATCATTTCAGCGCCTGAACACACTTTGTGCAGTCCAAATCAGGCGCCCCCTATCCGTAAGAGGCTCAACACCTAGGTCAAGGGTAGCACATGCAAAGGCATTACACGCCTTTGTCAATACATTAATAACAAGACCAAACATCCCTGTATCATCGCATACTCAGAGATCAGAGCCAATTCTCAATTTTACTTACCCCGTATTCGTACATCCATCCAGTCAGCATGTTTGTCGGGCCCTTTGACGGCCGCAAGAAGCGGTCCCGCTGCCAAGCATGTTCAACTAGCCACCTCAAAGTAAGATGCAAAAGAGTTTCTTATGAGCTCACGGATGCATGCTAATACGTGCGTGTGTTAGTGTTCTGGCCAGATGCCTTGTAGCCATTGCGAGCGTCGGCGTATTGCCTGTGTATTTGGAACTGCCCAAAAAGACAACACGCGAATTATCCTGGTTGATCGAGGGAAGCAAAAGACTCCAGCAACCTTCAAGTCACCTAGCCGAGAAAGGCGGAAGCAGACACCCTCAACAAGCGGAGGATCCGCTGTTTCTTCTCCGTCACGAACTTTAGACAAGAACCTGCCATTTCTGTACTACTTTGATGTTTTTATTGGCCGGAATAACTTTACTGGAAAGGAACGTTCATTGGTTGATGAGGTAAAGCAGCTCTCCGGCCTCCATTCCAACTCATATCTTATGGATGCCATGCTGTCGCTCGGTGCGATACAAGCAGTCAAGCTGAATGCTTCAGATGTTCCCCCGCGGAATGAGTGTTTGGCAACTGCGCTAGAATACTACTCAAAGTCCATCGTAGGGCTGCGTGATTCCATCAACAGTCCAAGGAAAGGTGACGATAGCCTACATAATACAGTGCTATGGACAACATTATTCCTTGGCTTATTCGAAGTGAGTATCAACTTTATGCTGCCAAATTCACAGAGATACTAATCCCGGCTAGTTGATTAACGACGAGACTGGTGATGGATGGCAGCAGCACATGACCCATGGCACAGCGAAGGCCCTTGAAGCCAGCGGCCCGGTAAAGTGTCGAGCTGGCCCTAGCCGAAAGTTCTTCGTCCAAGCACGCATTTTCGAAGTATCGCGTACTATTCTGGGGAATGAATCGACATTTCTCACACGGCCTGAATGGATGGATCTTTCTAGGCGGATGTGGACTGGCGAGCACGGAGATGAGTGGCATCCCTTGGATTCCTTGCTCGATATCATGGTCATGGTATCCAATTTGCGAGTTCGGTGAGTAAACTTTGTAGCGCTACATATTGATATTCATGTTGCTTCGTTTGCTTACCATGTCATAGAACGGCCAAGTTTATTGAAATACAAGAAGAATGCCCCGATAAGGAGCCTACCCCAGAGGCTCACTCCATATGCTCCGACGCCGTTACTCTTAGGGAAGCTCTCAGCAGCTGGTATACATCATATGCGCAACCCGCAGCTAAATCAGCCACCTACCTTTCTGATGATGGAGATGCGAGTATGCTACTTTCGAGAATATTCTTTGCCGCCATCAGTATATACTTGTCGGGTATATTCGACTATGAACTCACTCATTGGCACCAGCTTGGTCTCATACCACCCACACTGGATGAACAAGCTGTCCAAACGCATACAAACACAATACTTGGGCTCTCTAGCTTGGCTCTTGACACGACTAACCTCTCGCCGCTGCTGTTCTTGTTTCCATTGCGAATAGCTGGGGCTAGGTCTAGAACACAGTGGCAGCGAGATTGGATAACCAAACTGATATCTAGAATTGGCAGTGGGTTCGCTGTGGCGACTGCTATCGCAACAGAGCTGAGCTATGTTTGGGAGATATTTGGTCTCAAAGAGATGCCTGATGGGGGTGAGAATGGGCTGGAGGTGGTTGAGGGGATCCAAGGAGGAGCACTCATGGCGCCTCTGATGCCCACTGCGACGACGGAGTTTGTCCAAGCCAGCGACCTTGTTCTTACGTTTAATGACCAGGAGTCCTTATCATGATTTATCTCTTCAGCTGGCGAGCTTAATTGTGTGGATTTTACTTTTACTTTACCTTTTTTTTTTTTCTTTTTAGGATTCAGGCTGTTTTAATTTTTGGCTTATTCCTTAGAAGAGGGCCGGGGTGATATAGACGGAGTACATATAGACACATGTATTTTGCGTATATTCAATCAATAAGAGGGCATACAGGTAACTTTTGTAACTTTTAGAGTCATTCACCCATATAATGCGTACCCTGATACGTTCTGATTAATATGCCGTCAACATCTCCAATAATGAATGGAGCTTGATCCTCATTCGTCCTTGGCACAGGCGGCGTTACCACGTGTATAGCGCATTTGCCTCTGACTGTTCAGAGGCTTTCCGGTTTCGGCCGGCCAAATTGATCCTCCGGCGGCTGACTTCAAAACCTACCCACCACAGATCGCAGATCGGAGGGGCATCACCAAGACAAACAACAACGTGCAACTGCGACAAAATGGCCGACAGCACACAGGACAAGACTCACAGCGAGTCGCAAGTCTATCTCTCCACCAGAGGCGGCGATTACGATGTTTGTCTTCTTTTTTCCCCGTCGGGCGATGCCCGTGGCCACTTGCTGACTCTTTGCAGCTCTCTTTCGAGACCGTTGTCCTCAAGGGACTCGCCGCTGACGGAGGTCTCTTCTTGCCGCATCAGATTCCCACAGCTGAGAACTGGGTACGTATGCAGCATTCGAATTTATCTTGTCGCATGGATGGCTTCTGCTGTTTTATTGCATCTGCATGGACCAATGGCTAAGACTGGCTGCAGCGCAACTGGAAAGACCTCTCCTACGCGGAGCTGGCCTTTGAGATCCTCAGCCTCTACATTTCGAGATCCGAGATCCCCGCCGACGACCTGAAAGCCATCATCGACCGAAGCTATTCGACATTTCGCTCAGAGGATGTCGCTCCTCTAACTCACCTAGAAGACAACCTATACCTTCTTGAGCTGTTCCACGGCCCGAGCTATTCCTTCAAAGACTGTGGGTTCTACATGGACGATCGTGGTGGCATTACCAATCTGACAATTTATAAGGTGCTTTGCAATTCTTGGGAAATCTGTTCGAATACTTCCTTGTCCGAAAGAACCAAGGCAAGGTCGGAAAAGGTGGGCCTTCTATATGTCGAAAAGCTCTGGTCGGATGCTAACTGGCCAGCAGAGAGGCATCATTTGACTGTTGTGGGCGCAACAAGTGGTGATGTAAGTTGTCGCTCTGTACGCATTAGAAAATGATACCCTAACATCTACATAGACTGGATCTGCCGCCATTGAGGGCCTCAAGGGCAAGAAGGATGTCTCAGTCTTCATCCTGCATCCCAAGGGCCGCATCAGCCCCATCCAAGAGGCCCAGATGACGACTTGCCTGGATGCAAACGTTCACAACCTTGCTATTGAGGGAACTTTCGACGACTGCCAGGTTGGTTTGATTTAGCGACAGCCCGAGAGCTACTCAACTCACTGATGATGGCATATAGGATATCGTCAAGGCCATGTTTGGTGACCCCGATTCCAACGAAGCTTTGCAGCTCGGCGCTGTCAACTCGATCAACTTTTCCAGAATCCTCGCTCAAATCGTCTACTACTTCCACTCATACTTTTCGCTCGCCAGACAGTCTTCTTCTTTCCAGGTTGGAGACAAGGTCAGATTTGTGACCCCCACAGGAAACTTTGGCAACATTTTGGCAGGATACTTTGCCAAGCAGATGGGTCTTCCCGTGGCTAAGCTTGTTGGTAAGTTTTGTTTCAGTTACGATTTCCACATGTGAAATCATGGCTAACTCATCAATTAGTGGCAACAAACGAGTAAGTAGCAAGGAATCTTATGATTGCATCGGCCACCCGGTGGTCAAGTTATTCACGGAGGTGGGAGAGTCTTTGCTAACCACCGTCACCATAGGAACGATATCTTGCACCGATTCTGGATGACTGGCAGATATGAGAAGAGCGGTGTTCAAGACGAGAACGGCTCCAAGGCCGAAAACTGCAAGGAAACCATGAGCCCAGCCATGGATATCCTGGTCTCCAGCAACTTTGAGAGACTTATGTGGTTCCTTGCTAGAGGTATTTTTTGGTCCCGTGTCCAGTTTCCTCATTCACAACTAACTCGCCTCTAGACTTTGCCGCGACGGTTGGCATGAATGAGGAGTTCAACAGGAAGCAGGCCGGACAGGAAGTCTCTACCTGGTATAAATCCCTGAAAACGACTGGGGGCTTCGGGCCGGTCCATGACGAGATCTTGGAAAACGGCCGCCGAACCTTTGAGAGCGAGCGCGTAAGCGATGCGGAGACTGTGGAGACGATCAAGTCCTGCTACGGGAAGACCAAGTACGTCCTGGATCCTCACTCGGCTGTGGGAGTCACGGCATCAGAAAGATCCATTGCTCGCGCCGGACCGGCAACACACCACATCTCGCTCTCAACTGCCCACCCTGCCAAATTCTCCGGCGTCGTTACGACGGCGCTGGGTGAGGAGCCTGGGTTCAACTTTGAAGAGCAGGTGCTTCCTGAAGAGTTCAAGGCTTTCACTACAATGGAGAGGCGCGTGACGCTTGTGGAGAATTCGTGGGAGAAGGTGCGCGAGGTCGTCAAGGCTCAGGTGGAGGAGGATCTCAAGACTGAGAGCAACTAGACTGGTTGGCTGGATACACGAAAAAGTTTGAATTGCATTATATAATCACGGATAGATTGAATTGGTAGCCAAAAAAAGTATCATTGCCCATTGAAGCAGTTAGAAACCCCATGCCTAGTTTGACGTTTTGCTCGTAAATGGGCGAATGAGATACAAGTCAGGTAGCATTTTGAGAAGTATACCAGGATCTTTCATAATCAAGGGAACCTGCTTAGATGCCCAAATGATTGTGGCGTAACATTCGGACATGATATCATTCTCCAACTTCTCGATTTTATAAGTACATCTCGAAAAAAGGCGCGCAATACTGTGTCGATATTGCTAATCAGCCTAAGGTAATGCGAGTAAACTGACGGCCTATCTGAAGTTGCAATCTCGAGTCTAAAGATGGATAATCGGCCGGTTTAGCCCCAACACGACAAGGCTATTCCGACCCCATTCTAGAAGAGTAGAGCGAATCCCACATGCCATTTTGTGTTGACATTCCGCAATTGGCAATTACATGGCTTCTAGAGGGCTCCGCACGTGCATGGGGGCTCGTATTGTGCAGACCTCATTCGGAAGCAACGCGCGTTTATCTTGCCAAATCTATGCATGATGTGTATTGTTATTGCTTTCTGTAGTGAACCTTGCTAGTTGTAGGGCATATCCTGTCCGATGTCGTCACCTGGATGGTGGAGATGGTTCGGTGCCAGGTGAAGTTAGGACGGGGAGTACTTCCACGAATAGGATATCGTAGGGCTCTCCCACCTTGCGGCAAAAATTTCAGATGGATAAATTATATACTAGATTCTAAATTTGGATGTAAAATTGCTTGTGATGGAGATATTCGGTATACTTTAGAAGCCTTGCTGGAATATTACTCCGTAGTTCTGCACTCCATACGGACGACATATCGGATGATTTGCACAGCGGCACCGCTTGATAAGCACCTAAACGACTCTTCTCATGATGATACTAGCTCGGAATTAGCAAAATCGCTGCATCGATTGCGATTATTCGCCTAACGGCCATTTTGTTAAATTGCCGATGGCCGGGATGCATTCGGAGCCGGGGGGGCCCCAGAAGTGGGGCCGGCATCCGGCATCCAAAATGGCGCCATGCAGGCAGAAGGAGATAAAAAATAGGCATGTGCAGCAGTTTTGGCCGAGACAAGGGGAGGTCGCAAGGCTAGATTTCACATGCGATTCAGCCAAGAAGCAAGCGCGGCTCGATTAGTTTGATGAGCCTCAATGCGGCGATCCCTCACCTCCACAAAGGTTGCAATCAGTCGGTGCCATCCCCGGCCCCCCCGGTATGTATCATCGCGAGGTTCTTCGCATGGTCCAAGTTCTTCTTCTTCTCCCCCCCCCATGGCCCAGTTTGCCGTCCGTACCGGATGGAACGTGGGTCTCGAATCGATCTTTATAGGCAGCCGAGTAAATACAAACAAAGAAGGTTTCTAGCGAGGTAGAACCAAAAGTAACTCATCGCGTGTGCTGCGTGTGCGTGTGTGTCTTCACCGAGTGGTGGATATTCCCTTCACGATTCAACCCGCTTTGTCCGATTTTAGCACTCTTCCCATCTCCCCACATGGGCCAATACACCTTCTCAGAAAGACGATGCTGCAATCTGCAACCTAACTGAATAAGCTTAGCCAGACGAGTAAACAACAATAATGGCGAAACGCTAGTACGGGGACTTGTTCCACGGGGATGCCGCGGGAGGCTGTGCACGACGATAACCCAAAAACCAAAATAAAAAGATTGAAACAAAAAAAAAGGGACTTGAAGCCGAAGCAGAAAAAGAGTCAGTGAGTAAAGTTGCTAGAGGCTTGGCCTGTTTACTTCTAGAACCCAAGGGACTATTCGCGAGGATCATCGCATGTTTGGGGTGTGGCACCCCTTGTCCGCGCGTGGGTTTCGGATGGTTCCGTAAAGGCAGGTGGTTGTTTCAGTCGGGGGCCTTGCTGACAGCGGCTCCAGTCCTAGGAAGACCCTTTACTTTCACGGCATTGAAGGCAGCCGAGTGTATGATTGCCTTTCTCGGCGTCTCCATCCATTGACGTATCGCGAAGTATATTAGAATGACGATGGCCTCACTCTGTGTTGATGATGGAACTCCCAAGCCAGCGGTTGATTGTCTATTCGATCTAAGAGTTTCTTGCAAGCCTAGGACCTCGTTGTTGAGTCTCTCGTTTTTTCTCGAATTATAACATCTTATTGTGAAGGACAAAAAACAACCATTTCATCATGTTTGTCAAGAGCGCTGCTTCGGCCGGCCTTTTGTTGGCCTTGACCAACTTTGCTTCTGCGAGCCCGGTGCTCATGAAGAAGGATGCTGCCACACCAGCTGTGGCTAACAAGATCCTGTTGACTCCTGCTGCCCCCGCCAGCGGTGATGGCTCGAATCTGGCTCTGGCAAGCCAGGACAGCTTCATCTGGACTCATGATGACCAAGGTTCGCATAAAAATGACCCCATCTTATGAAGGCTAAACCAGTGTTCTAACCCTCCTCATCAGGCATCCAGGCAAACATGACTCTCCAGGCCTCCAAGAACTTCCGTCTCCTCAGCGCCCCCAACTTCCAAGACGTCGTCCAGTCCGTCGACTGCTCCACCGAAGACATCACCATCAAGTTTGGCAGCGCTTCTTCCCTGCAGGCCGCCCAGGCCGCGTGGAAATGGGTCAACCAGGCCGCCAGCAACACCATCATCTACGTTGCCGACGACGAGGCCTGCGCCGGCGACAAGGGCCGCCAGCCCTTCTCCGTCGAGTCCATCACATACGACACCACCGCCAACACGGCCCTCTTTGCCGCGACAAAGGCTGCCTGGAGGGACTTTGCTGAGGACGCCAGCATCCGCATCTCCGGTGTCCCGGCTACAGGAAACACTGCTAGGGATATCGGCAAGGACGTGAGCATCGATATTGGACATGATTTCTCGCAGCCCATCTACAGCACCACCATTGATGGTGTTAACCTCGCCATTGCGTGCTCCAACTGCAAGACTCAGGGCACCCTCAACGCCGACATCACGCTGTCGCTGTCCAACGGCTTCGAGGCCTCACTCACCACCTCGGGCAACCTCGGTGCCACCGTCGAGGTCAGCGTCACTGCCGGCGGCAGCATCAGCTCGCCGCTGTCCACCAACATCCCCATCGCCACGGTTCCCCTAGCCGGCTTCTCCATCGCCGACGTCGTCGACATTGGTCCCCAGCTCACCATCGTGGCCGACGCCTCCATCTCCGGCTTCAGCGCCTCTGCCACGGCCACCGTCGGCGCCACCGCCAGCCTCCCCGACGGCTCCGGCTTCACCCTCGGCCAGGGCGCAAACATCCAGCCCACCATCCAGGCCACCGGCCTCAGCCTGAGCGGTGAAGTCTCCGTCTCGGCACAGGTTGCCCCCGTCTTCACCCTGCAGCTCGCGGCTACTTTCCTCGGCGAGGGTCTCGTCGGAGGACTTGCTCTCCAGGCTCCAGTCCTGAAGGCCGATTTCGCTGGCCAGGCTACTTCTGCTGGTACTGCTCAGTGCGGTGCCAACACTGGCATTGCTGAGGTTGGTGTTGAGGTTGATGTTAGTGCTGAGCTGGATGTCTTTGGAGGATTTGGCGGGGCTACTGATCAGCCTAACAAGACTTCTCTCTTTAACAAGTCGACGACTCTGTGGAAGGCTTGCTTGGTTGTGTAAATAGGTTGTTATACATATTTGTATACATGTTTGGATATCACGTTGATCAAGGGTGGTTATTATGTACTTCATTTGCAAAAAGGGTAGTTTGTTTATAAGAAACAGGGTTTTATAACTTGAGTCCACTTAATTTTGGAACAATTGTCTTCATTTACTAATATCAAAGCGTATGCTACAGCACAAGTTTCATACATAATCTAGATGATGAATTTCCGTTTAATCAAATCCACTCCCTTCACGCAGCCCAGTGCGTTGCCAAAAACTCATCAACCTTGAGTGGCTTCACCTCTGGAACCCTCTGGTTGACATTAGGCGTCAGATCATACTCTCCCAGAGCAATAATCTTGAAAAACTCATGGATCATCAGCGTTCCCGGATCCGGGTTACCAGCAATCACCGCATCAATGGCATCCAGCGAGACGTATGACTTGTCGAGTTTCTTTCCCGTAATCTTTTCAATCTTCGCAACGAGTTCGTTGATGGTAACCTTGTCACCCACAATCACGCTGTCCTCATCCCACTTTTCGAAATCCAGCGCCGCAGCAGCATACTTGCCGACGTCTCGCATATCGGTCACGCTGATTATGCCGGAGCCGTCTCCGGGAATGGTGATGCTGCCGCTGTTGATATCGAGCAAGAATGCCGGGCCCTTGTATCCAGCTCGAGCAACTTCTTCGTCTCGCGGTGCGCCGGGAGCCCAGACGTTCATCCACAGACCGTTAATGAAGCGCGTGTACTCCAGTCCTGACTTTTTCACTGCCTCCCAGACAGGTTCCTTGGACTTGTAATAGGCGACTCGGTCGTATGCGGGAATGGACCATTCTGAGGGCACGAAGCGCTTTACTTTGGCTTCCTTGGCTGCCTCTAGTAGAGCGATTTGCAAGGTGCCTACGGCCGGGCCGTAAGCCCAGATGCAGCTGAGAACAGTGTGGACGCCTTGGAGAGCGTTGGTGAGCTGTTCGTGGGAATCATAGTCGACGACTTTGACGATGGCGCCTTGGGCTTCGAGCTCGGGGCGTGGAGAGCGGGAGAGGATGACGAGTTGGTGCTTCTTGGTTGCGAGGATGGCGTTGATGATGTTGGAGGCGATGGCTGAGCCTCCTCCTGCGATTGCGACAGTGACCATTTTGATAAAAGGTATTTAGATTCAATGGGTGACAAGTTTGGAAGAATAGATTGTATTGTTGAACTGTGAGTTTGAGGAATCTCTTCTTGTTTTGACGAGAAGAACAGGCACATTTATATACAACTGATACTCCATCAACCCCCCTTTCTACTAACAGGTACCGTTTATTACAAATGTCTTAATCAATAATCAAAACTCGCAACGGTCATCAAATTGTCATTTTGCCACTTATTCATCTTGCCGTGTCCGCATCAAGTTGCAACGTAGTTCACCCCCTGTTCTGATTCGTCGCGGCCGACGGCGGCCGCGCTTCTCATCTGGGTTTGCTGTTCCCGGCCCCAGTTCGCTGACTAGCAACTCCGCCGGTGGAGACATCGATTAGAAGAGAGCGGAGGCTTAGACGAACAGATAATCAAGGAATTATTGATTACGGGAGTTCTAGAGTTATAAAGTCTAGCTGTTGCTTGATTCTAGAGAGGGTACAATTACATATTACATTCTGTTCTCTTTCCAGCTTCTATCCAGATCATATCATATTCCTTTGAAATTTCTAACGGTATAGTACAAAGTAGAGCAAGATGAGTTTTATTTAGACAGTAGTGCGACCAAACAAGGGTCGTTTTGAATTGGTTGAAAGTAGTTGAACGTGGATGGCGAATCAGACAAGAGATCTGAAAGCACATTATCCACGGCTTCAAGGTGTTTTGCTATAAAAAGGTAGCATAAGTAATTAGTCATGTGTTGCTTTCTATACCGTTATTCATAGAAGAAAACTTACCTGCAGCTTGCCATCTCCTGCCGTAGTTCCAAGTAGCTTCTCGGAGTGTTTCAAGCGCCGTCGTCCATTCCGCCTCGTCCATGTCGTCGCGGAAAGAAATCAACTCCAACGTAGCTCGATAAATGACGTGGCAATACGTCGGCGGAAACGATATTATATTAATCTTACGGTAATGGTTGTTAATGGTGTCAGCCACATCGACAACCATGCGAACAATTGTCTTGACTACTAATGCGGAGGCCACGCGACATGATGGCGGGAAACCTTTAACATCGCCTTTGCATAGATCGTCCGCTGTGAGGGGTGGGTGTCGACTGTGTAAAAGCAGGAGCGAACTTTAACAAGCGCAGGTTAGCATTCATCTTTTCCTCTTTCGTTGCTTACCACCCGATGACGTTGAGTTAAGTGACTTACACGAGCGTTATGGCGGATGGCTCACAATATCCACACATGGTACCACCGGACCGTTCAACAAGTGTTCTCATAAGTTGTTGAAGTTCAATATCCAACTGATATTTCTCATCTCCCAAATGGTCTTGTGCATGATCGGTTGCTAAACTATGGCGGAACGACACCGTCCTGTCAAACAAACACCACGCTTTTGCCTGATAGCCAAATACGCCGGGCTCTTCATCCTGGGTAAGAACGGCGTCACCAAGGCGAGAGTATGAGGGATCAAGATCAAAAGCTTCAAAGGGAAGGTGCTGCGGCATTGAGGCCTGGTTGATTGCAAACGGCTTGGAGAACGTGGCATCGTGCAACATGGTTGACCTGCATGTAAGCGCATCTGTTAGTGCTCGATCGGAATCATGGGTAGTAATCAACCGGTGCTCGAACCTGTCGCGTATAACTAACGCCCACCAGACGTTGCATCGCTCGGCTACTCTGATCCATTCATCGCTATATCGAAGACGGTCCGATGGCGGCTTCTCATCTTGCAGGTCCATCCAATGACCCATTCGTGCGCATGTGCCAATGGTTTTGTAGCATTCTTTATACATGCCGAAACCGTACTCATAGCAAGACAAGAGCAACCCTGCCTGTATCATTTCCAAAGATGCATCTATGGTTGCGTTTAAACTCCAAAATATGGACCGTGTTGCCTTGTACAATGGTTCTGGTGCCGTACCAGTTGCAGGGCAGTGGATCGACAAGAGGATGCTAAGCAAGAGAATGGCAAAATCTGGGCGCTTCGTCTTGCTAAAGTCTGTCATCTTGCTATAAAACAGCTTTTGTGACATGATGGGTATCCATTTGTGGACATTGTCAAAGTAAAGACTTAGTGCTCTGTATATCTCCCCTGGATGTGACTGGAGAAGTTGATAGACCTCTTCACCAACGTTCAATTTGGAGGCAAGCGCATCCAGGCGTGAGATGAAATCGGCTTCATACTCAATTGGCCCCATTTGACTTTCTATCTCGGCAGGGTCTGGATCTGCGGCTGAGTGGGTTGATCTGGACACTCTGGAAGCGCCAGGGACGAGCATCTCTTCAAACAGCTTGAGTCTCTTCCTCAGCTGGCGGAACTCTTCTATTACCGGCACGCTATCGGCCGCATCTTCGTATACACATTGTATACGCAACCTAGAAGTATGAGTCTAGGCCCACCACCTTGTCAAAAGATCAGAAAACGGGTTTAGTCGCTTACCGCTGGCAATGTAGACATTTCGGTAGCGCCTTGTCACACTTCTTCTTCTTACGGCGACAAGAGAGACAGACGTTGTCTGCCCGTTCCCGTGTGGGTCCTTCAGCACTTTCAGGGGAGGGAAGATTAGAACTCATAACTGCACATCTATGGGAATTTAGTAACTTTGAACCTTGAAAACGATGAGAATGAGCCTGCTAGAATGATATGTGCAAGTATGTGTTTAGGATTGGACGGTTCATTGAGACGGCCACTGACGGAGCTGCAACTTGTATCGGACTTAAGGCGCCGGAGCCATGGGGCGGACTTTTGCGGATATGATCCAAGTCGGTTGGCGGCCGACCGCGGCCGCCATTGATGGCTCCATTCCCTTGAATTAGGGCGATGCAAATCACATAATCAAACATGAGTATGTAATCTGGACTCGAAGCCGGGATGCAGATGAGCTGAGCATGATGAGCACATTGCAAAAGCTGTTTGATGTTTCAGTACGGAGCAATGAAGTCCATACTTGGCTTACAAATCCAGAGTCAGCTCCCCGATGAGTGCAATACATAGTGTGCTTGATTTCACCATGAAATGAACCCGACTCTGTGGAAGAGACATGCGAGGTGCTTCTTCACTGGCAGTTGCTGCCAGAAGACACCCGTGACAACTGCTGCATATCAGCGAGAGATGTAAGACGGCACATTTTTCTTCCCGTGGGCTCCCAGAGATTCTTTTGTAGAAGGACGTGGGTTCGCACAGCAAAATGAAGACCGCGATGGGCGTCCATGGTTGTTTATTCAGATGACGACTTATAGTGAAGCTGAAGACTCACAAGAAGGCTTTGGTCTTTCAGATCATTGAGGGGATAGAGCTCTTTGTAACATTTCCATGTCATTCATCACAAACCCCGAAGCTGCTGTAGCTCGGTCCAATGGCACTGCTCTGGCCAATCATGTAGCCATTTTCTTATAGAAACCAGCGCCTGTTGCACAGGGAGCTTCATGCTCAACAAAGACACCAATCGGGAGATTCAATCTCAGCCAACGAACTGATATTCTGCCGCCCTCGGCTTTCGCATTGTGCATCCTCAAGAAGTGGTTTGCACTCAGGCGAAGCCATATAATTGGTCTAGTGGCGCAATGGCAGCGCGTTGCTTTCCGGTGGCAGAGGTTCCAGGTTCGACCCCTGGCTGGATCGAGTTTCACATCTTCTTTTTTTGCCAAAATCTCGAATCAAATCGAAACGAGCGATACTCTTCCACTCTCATCTTTTTTTGGTGGTTCGATGAGTGGATTCGAGCCCCAGGTTCTAACTCGTCGCGGATAGCACAGCGAGGGTAACTCCCGCAATGCGAGTACCGGCATTCTGATCCTGTCATGGCAGCTGAGCATCTGCTTTCTGCAGCTTGTGTGGCAGTTAATTATATTCCTGGCCTATGGCGCATCAGCAAGTCCGAATACGCGCGCCCTTCCTGGTGTCTTGACCCCTGTCCTGTCGGCTTGTAGTCTACATACTTAGCTTGGCTACACTGATTGTTTTACAACTGATGCCAGACCGGCCAATCACGAGCGCAAAGGCGTTGCTTCAGCGGGAGGAATGTGAAGCGCAAAGAGCGTCGCCGGGTTCTGAAAATAGCATCAGCATTACTAGCTCCCGACACGGTCAAAATTTCATCCTTTTCTCTCTTTGTCTTATGGCTCTCGCTCAAGTTTTGGAATCAGAGGGTTCCATATCATTCAAGTCTCACCGTCATCATTCATCCTCAGTAGCATTCCATGCAGGATTGCGGCTAAACCAGCCACTACGCGCCGTCATCAGCACGTAGGCAGGCCACGCCATTTGGGCTGTGAAAAAATGGCATAGCTCAGCCACTGTGGCCCAATCAAGGGGAGGCGTGTAAATTGACCACCATTCTGTACAATTTTTCTCTCTTTGTTGAGGGCTGAGGGCAGTGAAAGAGGCCCTGGTCCAGCTTGTTTGGCCTTGCTTGCATCATCAGTGTGAAAGCGCAAGCTTGTACTGTCTGATCATCTGCCGTTTTTGCTGCTAGCCTGCAGTGGAGATGAAAAGACGATGCAATTAGCCTGGTACCTTGGAGATACCTGGGCGCGGCATGGATGAAACAGGGCAGCTGGCGCTTAACCGGTTCGCATCGTTGGTTCTTGCCGGGTCTCTTGTTAATGCTGCCGGGTTCATGGTGACGTAGTGACGAGCCACATCGCATGACATCACGCAGCTCTTCCATGGAAGTGTCTCGTCTTGTTGCTGTGATTGACTTGCATGGTAGCAGCTGCTTTAGATCGTGTGTAAGTCGTCGGTTGCCTTGCAAAACAGGTAAATTTTACAAGTATTAAATCCTCTCGTGCCTCGCTCGTATCGTGTCTGTTCTATTGATCTATTCTCAACTCCTCTCTTCTCATCCTTCTTCACCCGCCAAACTCTGACTAACGCTCTGGTGATTATTCCTTCGCAACAAGTGAACGTGAAACAGTCACAATCGGCTCCAAACGAGACAAGACGCATTCAAGCCCAACTAGCCCGAAACTGGCCCCTTCACCAAGGGCTCTGCAGTGACTGGACCGTCATTACACGCCATCCTCTAGCCGACACACCCTCACAGTTAGCTCCGCAGCTATCAACATCCAATTCGACGCCACTCGCCTGTGGGAGAGCTCCTTGTTCTGGCAGCTTCTCAGGTGTTATTAAAACCCTTCTCTCCTCCCACCCTCTGCGTTTGATCGGTTTCTTCAGACATTTGTGCGGCTCTTTGCAAAGTTTTGCGCTCCAGAGCATTAGAAGGCATCCCAGAAAAGAGTCATCGTTTTTATAACCAGAACAAGGCCGTTTGCCCAAACTACTGCCCAACATGGCGCTCGGAATGATTACCATTATCCACATCGTGCTTGCCATCCTCGTCATTATCGAGCTCGGCATCACAGGCTATCGTGAGTTTAGCTTGACAAACCTTTTAATTTCTTAACTAACATTGCTCTTTGTAGTTGTTAATGTCACTTCTGGTTTTGGCTATTCGTCTCCCGCTACCTATGCGTTTATGCTGTTCAACTCAATCTGGAGCTTGTTGATCCTCGTCTACCTGGCCGTCACGCCACTTTACCTTGCACGCTTCTACCATGCTCTTGTAGCGTTTGTCCTCTTGGTCATTACGACTATCTTCTGGTTTGCCGGTGCGATCGCCATGGCCGCCTTTATTGGAGTCCCCGCATGCCACGGAAACACCTTCTGCCAGACCTCGCAGGCCGGAGTCGCCTTCGGATTCTTCTTGTGGGCAGGATTCCTGGGTCTTACGATTCTCGAGGGCTTGACCACCTTGAGGGGCCACGCACGTGCCGACAAGACGACTCCCTCAAATGTCTAGAAGTTTTGAGCCTTCTCGATGGGAACGAGTGGGGTGGAGATGGGGAAGAAGGGGAAGATGGATGTCGATGAAATGCGACAATGATGCGATGCGATGTGAAGATGCTGAATGCTTTGGAATTGGAGTGATGATACCCTAATACACCTTTATGAGGATTTCTTTTTTTGTCCAACGGTTTGCTACGGAATTTTATGTCACTACCTGCCTATTGATTAGCCAGCAAAAGGCCAAAATGAGCGACAGTATGAATATATATGAGTCTCCAATCAACTTTCTGATTCAACGGTGACTGCTTCAATATCAAAGTGCCAGATGCAGCGTAGCATTTATTGCCATTGTCTACCCAATGGGTCCTTGTGGTTCGCATCGCAAGTACTGACTGTATGCTGCCCTACCCACGAGAGCAGAATCCTGCATCCGGGAATTAAAAGTCTGTGCGATGGATTGCTGAGTGCCGACCCCACAAGTGCACGTCTTGTCTTGGCCCACAAGCGGAGTGACGGAACAAAGGCGTCGACAAAGAGAAAAGAGACACGTCCAACAAGCGGGACAAGGTGGCATTTCATTGTTTGGCCAGAATAATACCTCCTATGTCTATACTGCAGGCCAATGAATCCATTAATTGAGACTTCAAGTTGCCAGCATTGAAGGCTTACGACATGCCCAGCGTTGACAGCCAAACACGTGGCAGGCGGTGTGCCCAACTTTGCATGATCAATGCCTTGTATAAGTGGCCTTGCTTGGGTCTGAATAGAATAGATGGGGCCGATGGAATGGAGGGGCCTCTGCAGAGGAGATCCCCATCAGTGACAGATTCTGGGTCAACTTGCAGTTCCTTTCTTCGTCTCATCTCTCGCATAGAGTTTGCGGCGTCGCCAAAACTAATACGCCGTTGCCGCAACTTTGGCTCCCATTAGCTTGCGGGAACTATTGCCTTGTATACGCGCATATTTCGAGTGGCTGGTTATTTTTGCTGCTCTGGTTACCAGCCACTCAATCCACGTTTTTTCTTCTTTTCTCTCCAAAAAGAAAAAAAAAGACCCCTGGCAGAATTCAGCCATCCAGCCACTTTTTTCGGTTGGTTGGCTGCCCCCACCAACGACAGCTTTTCCCCTGCTTTTGCTGCTGCATGCTTGGTTGTCTTACAGCTTCATTGATTGCGCAACATCCATCCATCTTTTTCTTTGACTTCGAGTTTAGCCGTGCCCTCCCCCCTCCCAAGAGCTGGGTTTAGCTTCATATTGCCAAGTATTGATTTGCCTAGTAGCCAATATTCAGAAAATCCCGCGCAAAAGGGCCTTTTTTTCTCTCACACTCTCTCTTATTCGATATCCCCGCTACCAACCATCTTTTGGTTTCTTATCCCAAAGCAGCGGTTTCTCCCCAACCACCTCATATTCTGTTGACGCGCATATGCACGGGTTGGGATTTCAGGTACTAGACTGTTGACTAGGTAGAATAATAAAAGCGTGGAGGCGCATTGCCACGTTTTTTTTTGCGAGATCTTCCTTTTTTTCTTCTATCTTTTCTTGTGTTCATCATTCCTGTGATTGGAAACCAAGGCTACTTCTATACATTAGGTAGCTTTGTGTTGCCTGAGACTTTGATTGCTTTAGCTGCAGCAATCCGAACTCAGATCAAACCCAGTTGGATACCATCACATCGTCATCGTCATCGTCATCGTCACTCGTCGCATCTGCGACACCCCCGATTGCCCACGATGTTGTTCGCAATCGTCTTTGTGTGCACTCGCATCTCACAAATTGTCACTCTGGTAAGCTCTTCCTCTCCCCCCTCTCTCACCATCACCCTCTCAGCGCATCGTATCGCATCGCATCGCAATTCTCTACCAAAAGATACTCATTCCTCCTCCCAGACACCGCCAGTTGGCATGCTCAGCTGGTTCGTCGGCAAGTTCAACGACGCAAACGTCCTCACCCCCAACGCCATCCTCGTCCTCTTCATCGTCACTGTCCTCGCCCTCGCCTGGTGCCTCTTCACCCTCCTCGCCTACAGCCGCTCCTCCCACAACGCGCTCTTCGTCTCCTTCGTCGATCTCTGCTTCCTCGGCGCCCTCATCGCCGGCATATACTTTTTGCGCGGGATCCAGTTTGCCGATTGTCAAGATCCCTCGAGAGACGAGATTTGGTACAACAAGGTTCATGATGTGGGCATCCCGGGCTTCTCTTGGGGGGTCAATAAGCCATGCGCCATGCTTAAAGCTTCGTGGGCTTTTGCTATTATGAATACCGTCTTCTTTGCTGTTACTGCATTTGCTGCGTGGATGCATGGCGATAGCGTCGTTGTGGAGGAGCGTGTTGTGCGACGGAGCTCGCACTCGCATCGCGGCAGTCACAGCCATCGTCACCGCAGCCATTCGGGATCTGGTCACAGCTACCACTCCGCTCGTCGAGTTTACGTATAATGGGAACGCTTCAGGGAAAAGGGGGAGAAGCAAGCACAATTAATGAATGGGGTTTACTGGGAACGGATTAGACGTCAACGTCTCCGTATACGAATGACGTTGCTGGGTTTAAAGGATGATCAGGCGCAGTACTGATGACTTATGACTGAAAGAGAGGCACGATTGCTGCAACGATAATGTTTTGTCTGATTTTTTCTTCTTTTTTTACGATATACATGTTGGGTTGCTCCAATTCAGGAGGATATTTACATTTTTTGCGCTTTGTATATAGTACGAGGGGCTAGCAGGTGGGAGTCCCTGATGATATCTGGCAGCGCTGATTGTCTGCGACGAGTAAATGATCAATGGCCAAAGTTTCTACCTCATCCAACTTTGCATCCCATATGTGTCCCACGTGGTCATCATAAAAAGTTTGTTCACATCCCAAACATCCCACAGCAGCACTAGTGCTTGTCCGCCTCTTCGCCCACATGATAGCCTCTCGCTATGCCACTTCGGCCCTCCTCTACCACCGTGCTGGCTTCATCTTTAAAGTCGCTGCCTAGTCCTTGCCATGTCCTCTGAGATCGGAGATATTCCGCGCCGGGGCTGGCTACGCCGTTGATGCTCGCTAATTCGCCTACTGTCCTCTTTATCAATGCATCGGATGACCGCGGCTCACTGTTGCCTTCCACTTGCTGAGCCTTGGATGCGCTTCTCGTCGGAAGCTGCATTGGCCTGCTGCTGCTAACGAGTTTTCCTGTTCGCAAGTCAAATACGGGCGGTAGTGATTCATCTTCGTCCAGATCGTCTCCAGCGCCATCTTCAGCCGTCGCATCTGCCTCATCCTTGTCATTGTCTTCCTTGTCTTCCTTCTTAACACCATCGTCAACTTCCAGCTTTAGCTTCTCGATGCCCCCCCACCACTCTCCACCCCATACTCGTACTTCCTCGCTCATCAATGCCACCTCCATCTCAAAGGGTGTAATGACCGGTCGCCAGTAGCCGGCATCTTCTTCGATAAGCCCGCTCTCCCAGCATCCCACAACGACCCAGCCCTCGATTTCGGCAAAGTTGGCTAGCTTGGCGGGGTTGAGTTTGCCCACAACAACGGTATAGCTCTTCTTTCCGGCGGCTGCGATCTTCTTCCGTAGTAGGTCGATTGATGAGAGGTAGTTCGATACGGAGAGGGTGTTGACGAGGATGCCAATGACACCCGCCGAAGCAAGGGTGAGGACGCGAGCGAAGCGCCGGCGCAAAAGACCTGCTGTTCGGAAGGTCGGGTTGTCGAGGGTGGGAGAGGACGGTGAAGGTACAGAGAGGACATGTAAGGAGGCGAATCGGGACTGGAGTGCGAGAAGCAGAGATGCGGGAGGATCGGAAATGTGGAATAGCGAATGCGCCTTGAGAAGCTCTTCGTCTATTGGGTTGCCCGATATTCTCCTGTTGGGTATTACCCCAGCAGGATCTCTGATCACCTCCGTCGCTACTATGTTGCTGTATCCCAACTCTCCGAGCGCCTTTGATATCGGCTCCACATGGTTCTGATATGTCAAGTCTGCCATGATGACGACTTTTGTGTCTTTGTGGCCGAAGTCTTTGGTGAATTGCTCAATGACGGCATCGTAATTCAGCTCTTGTGATGTGTATACGTATATGACCGGCAGTCGACTCGTCGGACTCAGGCATGTCCTTCCATAGTGGACTACCACGTCTGCATTTGTATGTTCGGCCGCAATCTCGTCGACGCAGCAGGCGCTGTAACTTGTGTCTGCCAGAATGCATATCCTCCAATCCTTTGCGCCCTCTTCTGCGCTTGCGTTTTCCAGTTCCTGCTTTAGCACTTCTACTACTCTTGGAGCATCGACGAGCATGTGGTCTGGAAACTGTAGCGCGACTCTCTTCCATCCACCTTGGCGGATCTCTGTCGCGGTGCGCGCGATCTCGTACGTCGTCCTGAGCGCATCGAGAGAGAGCGTGGACTTGGTTTCGCTTTGTTCGGTGGTTGCGAAGAGGTTATCGTCTGGAGTCGACAGCACGGGGGCTGAAGAGAGTTCGGTCATGGTCGCCTATTTGATCTGTTTGTTGCAACTCGACCGGCTGGTTGTGCTTTGAAAACTTGACGAATAGCTGGAAAGAAATTTCATATCAGGTCATTCACAAGGGCGTTGAAAAGTTGAGGTTGGAGGGGCAGAGCGCCCTGTGTAATAGTGGGGTGCGGGTGTCAATATTGCGCAGGAGATGCGGCAAAGGGGGTGTAAATTATGTATTGGATCCATCATTCATCATGTCGACTAGAGAGTTGGTTATAAACAAGAGACGTGACATCTATATAGTAAATTCACTAGAAAAGAGGCGCAGTAAGGCAATTATCAAGTTGATACTTTTTATATACTTATGCATTTGTGCATTTTAAGTATACGTTTATTAGCACTTCTTTATGCTATTGCATATGTAGTGTTCATTGTGTTGCCTGTGCATTACTTGCGCTACTACTCCGTACCAACCCCGTAGTAGATCCTAATGATCAAGTGTCCAGCAGAGCACGACATGCTCATAACTCCTATTGGTGATTTTCCAAGAAGACCGAGCGGCAGTTCCGACGTTGATAACATGATGCAATGTCTTAGAGGTGTCTCATCCAAACAGGAAATTCGTCTCTTTTACGAGTTACCACATGCGGATACCCGTCAACCGAGCTAAAAGCATCATCATCTCGGCATCCACAAGCTCGGGAACTATTCACCGCTAAGCGCTTGGCATTTACTTGCGTCCGAGAGCTTACATCGACATCGTACGGTTCAAATACTGGCAAAAGTATGCCTGAAATGGAAATTCGTCTATGTCAATGAGATTGCCCAATCGGATGCAAGGCAACCTCAGATTGTCTCTCAGCCAAATGTCTTGTTTGGTAATTTGTAGTATCATGCTGGGTCAAGTTGAAAATGGCGTTGTGGCTTTCGAAATTGAAAGGATCGTGGTACGAAATTAACGGCATTGACATTGTTGTACAAACGTCTGATCAATGAATCACCCGTGACATGTGAGACTTTTTACTGTAGGGCGGGCGCACTTATAATATCTGCTTGTGTCCCATCTTCCCTCTTGTTTTACAACGTAGTCTCGGACATACACCATCGACACAATGTCCAATGCCAGCGGAAAAGCACCTTCCAGTCACTTTCTTGAAAACAAGACCATAGTCATTGCGGGAGTAGGCCTTGCAGGGTCTGCTTTCGTTGTCGGCCTTCAGAAACTATGGAATGCGAAACTCGGCCAGCCAAACATCATCATATATGAACGCGATGCACAAGATGTAGCTGCTCAGAGGGAGACGTACAATCTGTCTTTGACAGGATACGACGACTCAGGTGGCCTTGTTGCGCTCAGAAATCTTGGCTTACTCGACGACATCTTGGAAAAGGCCGTGTCTGGACTCGACGGAGCTGGGTCTTTCAAGATATGGGATTCGAGGTGGAAAGAACAGGTCTCTTTCACTAGAAAACCCGTCTCTGGGATTCCAACAACCAGCATTCGAATTGCTCGAGAGAATATCCGTCAAGTCCTCCACAACTCATTCCGTCTTAATGATCATTGCGTTATCAACTGGGACTCACAATGTGTGGCTGCTACCCAACTCCCGAATGGTCGCCTAAGAGTGCGGGTGGTTCATGGTAATGACGACGAGAGCGAACCCGAGTGTGATCTCCTTATAGCTGCGGATGGGGCGAGCAGCAAACTACGACAAAGCCTTCGACCAAATGACACACTTCTCTCTAACGGCGCAGTCCTTCGAGGAGGAATAGCTACATTCAAAGAGTCTCTTCCGCAGCCACTCAGTGAAGATTGGGGCTTCGTCGTCTCACGCACTGGTGTTTCGGCGTTCTTTTCCCCCATTGGTGAAAACAGAATCTTTTGGACTATCGGACAGAATGAAACCCAGGTGCCCAGACTGAATCGCGAATCACTAACCCAAGCACAGGCTGTCATAGATAAGAGCCTGGAGCTTGGATCACACATCCCTGAACCTTTCTCGAGCATCGTCAAGCGGACAGACCCCAAGACAGTTTTGCTTCTAAACTCGCGAGACAAGATGCCATTTTATCACAGCGACATTACAAAAATACCTGCCATCTTTCTCGGTGATAGCAACCATGCGCTCAGCCCGTTTGCAGGAACTGGAGGCAATTTGGCGCTGGTGGATGGATGGGATTTGGCAACCCAGATCTGTAGCCAGAGCAGCTTGGAGGAAGCAGTCAGGGCATACGATGAACTCAGTGTGCCTAGAGCAACAATGTTTATCAAAAGATCAAGACGACTGATAGAGGCTGCTCATGACACTGGCTTGCGATACTATTTGTTTTGGTGCATGTTGTTTGTGGGCAAGTTTGTGAGATGGGTCATGTATAAGATGGGGAACTGAGCTGAGGTTCTAGCGGGGCGTGTTGCGGGAGAAGCGGCAGGCTACCTAGTAGAACTTATGCAGGGATACTAATAACGGTTGACAGGTCATTGTACGGAGTTCTGTACTGTGCCTAGGAGTAATTTGCTACGGATAAGATTGCTGGATTTCTTATAATTGATGTCGTTACTGGAGCCATTACCTGTTTCAAGAAAATTGTTGACTGATCAAGAGGACGGATTGGGTTTTGAGAGTTGAATAGACCACGTACAGGCATCTCCATCACACTGCTAACTATGCACTGTACCTGTCACTGAGTGCTCCACGCTTCAGGAGATACAGTGCTGATAGACAGTGCACTTGTGTATCGCACGCCACACTTTACGCGAGATAAGCCCAATTCGTAGCGATTAACGAGTCCCGACGCGATCGCGACGCGCTGCACCTCGACCGTTGCATGGGTTCTCTCTCTCCCATGTTGTCTGATTCTCAGCCCGCCGCTGGGGTGCCGGGCCTGTCAATTCTCTAACTCTTTGCCTCCAATTCTGCATTGTTTTCTACTTTATTCATTCATTACCGCTCGGATCCTTACCAGCTCCAAAATATCTAGCAATCTTCCCCTCACCTGGTGTCCGTCCTTGATCTGTCTGAAGCGGTCGTCTGTGTTTGATTCAAGATGCCGAGCGACAAAGCAGCGAGCGCTGCTCGCACGCCGGCAAAGGCCACCCGGCCAGCTGCTGCAGCCTCCTCTTCAGCCAAACAGAAGTCGATAATGTCCTTCTTCCAGAAGTCTTCGCCCGTCTCTGCTTCTTCCGCTGCTCGAGAAAAGGTCTCTTCTGATAACCAACACTCCTCCCCTCTGAAAGAGACCAAAGCCAACTCTTTGCCAAAGATGAAGGCCTCTGCCAAATTCTCCACCCCAGTGCCCTCCAGCGATGCTCCAGAACCCACAAGCTCGCAGGAGAATATGGATTCGACTGTCAAGCGAACCAAGGGCAAGGCTTCTGAACCTAGATCTGTCAAAGACGAAGAGAGCGAGATAGCTCCCAGTAGTCCCATCCGAAAGGTTTGCACCGTCTTCTCCCCAGGCCTTTAATGTCTGCTAACCGGCCTATGCAGGGGAAGAGAGCTGTCAACTATGCCGAATCTTCCGATGACGATGAACCCTTTGCCTATGGAGCGGCTTCACAGACTCGGCGGCGTGGTAGAGCCGCCCGCAACGTTGTCAGAGACGAAGACGAATACGGTGGAAGCGATACAGCCGAGCAAGAAGAAGAAGGTCCGTACTATCAAATTATCCTTATTCCATCTTCGAGAAGATAGCGCTAACAAGAGTTGCAGATGACATGGACGACTTTGTTGTGTCAGATGAATCAGACGGAGAGGCTTCTCGGTCCAAGAAGAGAAAGCGACCTTCGAAGCCTCAATCGGCACGCAAGCGCACAAACCTTTCGTCTTCTCCCAAGGAAGACGTAGAGCTGAATACTACGAATTTTGACGATGATGACATGGATTTGGACGATATTCCTGCTGGATCTACAGCCAAGCAATGGTCTTACAATCCAGACTCTACTGAAAAGCAAGCCGTCGTCAAACCTACCGAACGAGTCGCTACAAAGGACCCCAAGGTGAAGGAAAAGGCGTACATGAAGGAGCCTGACGAGCGTTATACTTGGCTCGCGAACATTCGAGACAAAGAAAAGCGCTCGCCCACTGATCCTGACTATGACCCACGAACTCTTTACATCCCTCCCATCGCGTGGAGTAAGTTTTCACCCTTTGAGAAGCAGTATTGGGAGATTAAACAAGATCTTTGGGATACCATCGTTTTTTTCAAGAAGGGCAAGTTCTACGAGCTTTATGAAAAAGATGCAACCATTGGCCACCAAGAATTCGATTTCAAGATGACTGATCGAGTCAACATGCGTATGGTCGGTGTCCCAGAGGGCTCACTGGACCACTGGGTCAATCAGTTCATCGCCAAGCAGTACAAGGTGGCCCGTGTAGAGCAGATGGAGACCAACTTGGGCAAGGAGATGAGAGAGCGCCAAGACAAGAGCGGCAAAAAGGCTGACAAAGTCATTTCTCGAAAACTTGGCTGTATCCTGACTGCGGGAACCCTGGTTGATGGTGGCATGCTCCAAGACGACATGGCGGCTTATTGCGTTGCAATTAAGGAATCTGTTGTGGATGATTTACCAGCCTTTGGCATTGCCTTCACAGATACTGCTACCGGTCGATTCTATCTGTCTGGGTTTGTCGACGACGTTGACCGAACCAAGTTTGAAACACTGGTCGCTCAGATTGGCCCCCGAGAGCTTTTGTTGGAGAAATCCGGCTTAGCGACAAAGTCTCTTCGCATTCTCAAGAACAACACTAGCCCTACCACTATATGGACAAATCTTAAACCAGGTACAGAGTTTTGGGATGCAGACACCACTAGACGAGAACTCGCTTGTGCAAAATACTTTGTTAGGGAAGAAGACGAAGAGGATATTTGGCCAGAAGCGCTCCAGGAACTCAAGGATGACGACCTTGTCATGTCTGCCATTGGTGGTCTTGTTTCCTATCTTCGATTCCTCAAGTTGGAAGGCCCGTTGTTGTCGCAAGGCAACTTTGAGATTTACAACCCTATCCAAAAGAACAGCACACTTGTTCTCGACGGCCAGACACTGACCAACCTTGAACTATTCGCAAACACTGTTAACGGCAATACCGATGGCACCTTGTTTGGTCTACTTAATAAGTGCATAACACCTTTCGGCAAGCGTCTATTCCGCCAGTGGGTTGCTCATCCGCTGTGTGACATTGATCGCATCAACGAGCGTTTGGATGCCGTCGAGTTGTTGAACGACGATCCGTCCGTCCGCGAGCAGTTTGCCTCCCAGCTGGTCAAAATGCCCGATCTTGAACGACTGATTTCACGTATCCACGCCGGCGCTTGCAAGCCCGAAGAGTTCGTCCGCGTTCTCGAAGGTTTCGAGCAAATCGAGTATACCATGACTCTTGTTGGTGCCTTTAAAGGTGGAAACGGTCTAATTGATAGACTCATTTCGTCGATGCCAAACCTAGAGGAGCCCCTAGCATACTGGAGCACGGCATTCGATCGTCAGAAAGCAAAGGAAGAGAAACTTATGATCCCAGAGAGCGGCGTCGATGAAGACTTTGACGCCAGTGCGGCCCGAATTGAGGAGGTGAAGAATCAGCTAAATGATTTGTTGGCCGAGAAGAAGGCGGAGCTCAAATGCAAGACGCTCAAGTTTACAGATATCGGCAAGGAAATCTATCAAATAGAAGCGCCAAAGAGTGTCAAGATCCCATCCAGCTGGCGCCAAATGTCTGCAACCAAGGATGTCAAGCGATGGTATTTTACTGAACTCACCGGCCTTGTTCGAGAGCTCCAGGAAGCTGAAGAAACGCACTCCCAGCTCATCCGGGAGGTTGCGTCGCGATTCTGCAAGAAATTCGACGTTGACTACGAGACTTGGCTGAAAGCCATCAAAATCATCGCCCAGCTTGACTGTCTAGTCAGTCTTGCCAAAGCCTCGATGTCACTTGGAGAGCCAAGTTGCAGGCCGCAGTTTGTCGATGAAGAACGTAGTGTCCTGGAGTTTGAAGAACTGAGACATCCTTGCATGATCAATACGGTGGATGATTTCATTCCAAATGACATCAAGCTCGGTGGTGACCAGGCCAAGATTAACCTGCTTACCGGTGCCAACGCAGCTGGTAAGTCTACAGTTCTCAGAATGGTAAGTTTCTCTATCTACATTTTTACAATACTCGCCTGTTCGTCTTGGAAATCTAACTCGCATATAGTCGTGCATTGCCGTCATCATGGCTCAAGTTGGTTGTTTCGTTCCGGCCAAGTCGGCTCGTCTCACTCCCGTTGATCGCATCATGTCACGCTTGGGAGCCAACGACAACATTTTCGCTGCACAATCCACCTTTTTCGTGGAGCTCTCTGAAACAAAGAAGATTCTCGCCGAGGCTACTCCTCGCTCACTCGTCATTCTTGATGAGCTGGGCCGAGGAACAAGCTCATACGATGGCGTAGCTGTCGCACAAGCTGTGCTGCATCATGTGGCAACTCACATTGGCTGTATCGGCTTCTTTGCGACGCACTACCATTCTCTTGCTACTGAGTTTGAGAATCATCCAGAGATTCGCGCTCGCCGCATGCAGATTCATGTTGACGATGAAGAACGTCGGATAACGTTCTTGTACAAGCTGGAAGATGGGGTTGCAGAGGGCAGTTTCGGCATGCATTGTGCCGCCATGTGTGGCATCTCAGACCGCGTCATTAAGAGAGCTGAAATAGCCGCAAAGGAATGGGAGCATACCAGCCGTTTGAAGGACAGCTTGGACAAGGCCAAGACAGGATGCTACATTCCACTGGGCATTCTCAGCGATGTCTGTTCTTTGCTTGGGAACAAAGGTGATGTCGGTGCGAAGGGAGTTGAGGTTTTGCTTAAAGCCATTGAAAGCCTATGATATTTTTATCCGCGTTTCTAGCATAAAAGTTCGAGGTGGTGCACTGATCTCACGACTTCGGACTGGTGTTTGTGGGCATTGTTATGAGGGATTTTATAAGTCATTAAGAAGGGTATATAAACCACACATACGGCTTAAGGCGTAAAGGCGTACAAATACGTATATTAGACATAATTTAAAGACCAACAAAGCATGTCCATCTCTCTATGATTCGAGTAATGATCCATGTAATTATACAAATAAGTGTTTTTGTCTATTGAAGCAAACTCGAACTAATCCAAAAACATATTCTAACATGAAACATTTCAACATCAAGTAACAAAACTACCATATTACAGACACTCCGGCAAACATTCTAATCCAAAATCCAAAACTCATAACCATTCTACCACCTTTATCCAGTCTTTTGGCGTTTCCTCGCTGATCTTCTAGTTGGCTCCTTTCTTTCCGTCTTCTTTGGCGCTGCTTTTCGTGGTCTGGCTGCCTTTCCCTTCAACGCCTTCTGCAATACCGTTACTTTCTTCTTAACAGGTCGAGGTGTAGCCGCTTTCTCTGCCTTTGCGTCAGGCTTCTGTGGTATCTTCCCAGGTGTAGGAGTCGCATGTCTGCTGTTGACCGCAGAAGAAGGTCTACTCTTCCTCTTCCTCTTCCCGTTGACATCCTTGTCCGAAGCTATTTCCTCATCATCCGAATACCGAACATTTTTGTCTTGGACATATGTTGAATCTCCCTCCGACCTCAACTTGAACTGCTTCCGAGCCTTTCCGGTGACAGGGGCATTGAGCTCGTCGGGAGCTACCCAGCCGTTGGGCAGAGGAGTCGGGCCTCGGAACGGAGGCCAGGGAATGTCCCAGCAGCCTTTGTTGTCGTCGTTGTTTGGGTCAGAACGCCAGTAGGAGCCGTTTGCGTTGGAGGCGTTGAGGGGGTACAAGGTGCGAGAGTAGGCGGGATATCGGCGAAGGAATTGCTTTCGGAGGTTGCCGAGGGGTTTGGGCATGGCGGCGGATGGGATCCAGCCGCTGCGGTTGGGGAGGCGTTTGGTTGATCCTATGCCGCGACGGATTCCGCAGCAGCGATTTTTGTCGTAATGGAGCTGCAAGATGTTAGTTATGAGCATACAGATAGATTAAATGTGAGAATTATATCGTACCTCGATTTCCTTGGTTCTTCCTAGGGGGGATCTATCCCGTTTATGTTTCTTAGGAGCCTTGCGGAAGCATTTTGAGCAGTAATAGTCGTCAGTCGGCTCAAATTTAGGATCATCAAGTCCCCAATTGGGCGATGGAGCGCGTCGGGGTGGCCTGGTGCGTTTCCCGTCTTCGTCTGTCTCGCTGTCTTCGTCGTCATCTTCGTCGCCTGAGAACGTATAGTTGCGGTCTCCCTTCTTGCCTCGCTTCTTGCCTCCTCGTTTGTGACGTTTCGAGCTTGAGGGATCTCCATGAGGGTCATCTTCTGACTCTTCGTCATCAGACTTGTCTTGATCTGGTTCATTCTCGAAATCAGACCCATTGTCTGGTTCAGATTCTGAGGACTCGGGGGATTGAAGTTCAGGGGATTCGGCCATCTTCTGGGTCTCTGGTTGGCTAACTTCAGGCTCTTTTTCGCTCTCGGCCGCCAGTGGATCTGAGTTTGCTGGTTGAGAAGCAGCCCTACTTCGGGTCATGCTTGGAGATGATACATCGAATTCATCGAGTGGAATGTTGGCGAGGACTCTCTCAAGTGCGGTAGGGAGAGCTTTTTGATGTGCATCTGGATCAAGAGCCTCTGTCAGAGGTGTCTCGCAGCCATTTATTGCACGATTAACGGCTTGCACAAGTGCTCTGTTAACAGTAACAGTGCCATCCTTTGAAGGATCAGTCGATTCTTCACCAGATCTTCCCACATGGAATCTTTTTGTCGGCCGCGGTCGTCTTGGCTCTTCATCAGACTCATCCAGGTCCATTTCTTCCGGACTTTGCTCTGCTTCAGAGTCGGCGGCGCGAAAGACAGCTTCGATTGACGGAAGTTCCTCTTCTTCATGAGAATCGACGGCCCCAGTCTCGGCTTCATTTATCTGCATTCGAAGATTATCCTGTTGTTGATTGAATGCCGCAACATCTGGTGGTAAAAACAAAGATTTTTGTCCATCATTCTTCTTATAGCACGCGACCATATGAGCTGCGTTCCGATCCCAATCCGCTTGATTAGCGTTACCACTGAACTCGTCGCCGCAATAGCGACAGTATCTTCCACGCTCTGCTCTGGATCCTTTGCAACTGTTCCGATTTTGATCTCGTCCATCTTGAGCAGGATGGTGTGTGTCGACTTCGCAGTTGTTTCCATCGTCGCCACAACGATCACAAAACTCAGAACCCTTCTTTTGGCGATGGCTCTGTGTTTCCGGTTGGTCAACAACCATGTCATCATTGGCCAATGCCACTGGTGAAGGGTTAAGACGCCTCTCGACTCTTTTTAGGGGAATAGAGATGACCCCTTTGCCGTCGAACCGCCGTATGGTTGCTTTGGTAACTCCTAAAGCTTCCATGAGCTCATTCCTATGCTTTTCTCTCAGATGGCGATGAACTCGTTCCTTGCTCCAATGCTTGGGTATAATGCCGTTGCAAAACATACACTTTCTCAGCATTAGGGGTGGTATCCGATTCAAGCGAATGTTTCGCATGTCCCATAACGCTCGTTGAAGGCGTGCTTGCTCCGTGAGCGTCCTGAATCTCGTTGCTATATTTGGCATATTGTCTCCGGTGCGAAGCTGATGTTCGACAGATGGCCCATTCGTTGGGATTTGAATGCCAGAGCTGTTCGACTGTGAGCACGATTCGAAGTTGTCATAGACACTGGGTTGATGGAGCCATGATCTTTGCCGCATGTCGCTATCACCAGATGCATTTCTACCTAGACGTTGGGTTTTGGCCGGCTCGGGATGAGTCATTTTAACCAGTTCCGTCTCTCGTAGTCTTGCCCTAACAGCCTCTACACCAACAGAGCTGTCACGAACTGGCGTCTGGACTGCCTCCTGGGCTGGCTCTTCAGCTCTATCCTGAGGAGCTCCTTCTTCCTCTTGCTCCCTGGCATCTTCGTCCTCAGGCTTTTCGATTGCAGCTTGAATGTCGGCCACGCGTCCATATCGTGGGCCCCAGATGTTGGTCTTGTCAACTTGATCCCGCCAATTCCATGCTTTTGAATCAAGAATCTTGATCTTCGCCGATGGAGTCGGTATCCTGGCACGAATACTAAACCACTCTTTGTCCGTGGTATTGGGCCCGATGAAGAAACAAGGCATATAATCTCCATCATTGTCAATGTTTTCCATGGTGGCGTCTTCGGCTTCTTTTTCTTCCCTGTGAAGCTGGTCTTCCGGTGTGTTGTCTTCATAGTCGCTGTCTTCGTTGCCGTGTTCTCCATTGCTTTCACTGCCAGCGAAGTCGTCGTCATCCCCACCATTCCAAGCATCATTCTCTTGGCTGCAGTCGCTGTCATCGCTTGCTCCACCACCTCGAAGACGCACAGTTGGTTGCTCAATCTGTGAATGTTGCTCTGTCAAAAAGGTATTCGAAAGACTTGACAGCCAACTCTGCGGGGGCTCAACGGGTATGGGATACGATGGGTCCTCTTTCCCTAGACAGCTGTTAACAAACGGAACATCGGAATCTCTAAGATCGAATTTACCTCTAAGCATATCTTTCCCATAATTGCGCTCTTTATGCGCCGTGAGAAAATGCAACGGCGGATCAATGGCATATCGCGGCGGCTCTGGCTTTCGACTCTCCATTTTAAAAGTCATCTTCGCCAATTGGAAGTCCATTGGCTCAACATGGAGCCCAAAGTAAAGCATTGTCAGTTTTGTGGGAATATCAGGTGTGACGCCTTGGAACCGAGATCCTAAGAGATCGTAGAAGTCGCGGGTATTCTCCTCTTGTATGGCTTTTAGGACGGCTAACTCAGATGGTATAAACAGACGAGCCTCGTGTGTGGTAAACTTGTCCGATAAGATTCGACCTATCGTCATGTCGGGATCTGCGAAAAGCCTTTGGAACTCCTGAAGGACATCATTCCACTTCTCGTCTTCGGGTGTAACGAGCAAGTCAATTCGCTCCTGGGCTTCTTCTTCGGTAATCGATGAGGTCTGTTCGAAGCCTCCTAAGAACTCTTCTGCGACGCCGCTCTGCGTGTCCATATCGTCTTATAGTCTGAGATGATGTTCGCTTATAAAAGATGATGGAAAAGAAGGGGCCAAGAGTGATATTCACTCTCAACAGTGGTTGTATAGAAGCGTCAAGGCATAAATCAGTGTAAGAAGGGTCGAAGACTAGGAAAGAAAGTGAAAATGCATGAATATTGTGAAACGCAGCAGAGGATTGTGGAAAATAAATGATTGGGAAATATGTGATCCAGAAATAACAAGAGCATGACTATCCTCAGATGCAGTTGGCTCCCGCATTAAGAAATGCCTTTGTCTCAACACCAGTATGGAGCGCATCTCAAAGGCTCTTTGTATTTACATATCGCAAGAGCAGGACGTGCGCCTGAAATGATCTCATATCTTCTTAGAGTTGACAGGAAAACAACCAACATGTGTTCTAATTTAGGAATTTGAAAGGTTCATCCCAAAGGAATACTTACAAAGAACTGGTTGCAGCTTTTTTATGCCATCTTGTCGGCACAATACCTGGTGTATCCTTGACCAAGTCATTCTTTTCTGCATTATTCGCGACACGAGGAAGGGATGAACAAGTCTACGCACTTGGATGAGTCTTCATGAAAGTAAAATTATCCCATAGCTCGCTTCGATGAGACTCTGATGCCTTCAATTGAGAGTCCCATCTCACCCAAGTTGCGCTCTGAGTGTAATTCTTTGTTAGTTCAACAATGACGAGAAACGTGAGCGCATCGCAACCTCTTTGTATCATCACTTGTCCTGTGCTCGCGCACAGATATTCTAGGGCTCTATCGGTGCTTTTGCTACCGCATTCGGCACGTTAGCCTTTAAACAGCAGAATAAAGTCGGTTTCCTTTAATGAGATTCCCTAAATAGATATACATTTGCTCTTTCAACGATGCAATAGCAAGCAAGTGGCCCACGTGCTCTTCATGATGCGTAACGTCCAGCAAGCTCTTCCAGTTTCTCTTGAAAGTCGGAAAAGTAATTGATGGCTTGGATGATCTTTCCTTCGTTTGTTCCAAAACCGCTCCTTGTGAATGCAAGTTTCCAAGCGCTCTCATCTCGCAGAATGGAGGCATATTTCAGGGCATTCAAGCTCTTCGCGGCTGGTTCATCTGCAAAATACTGGCCCGGTCTCTTTGTCGTTTTAGAAACGTCCAGACGCGATAGCGCATGCAGAAGTATCGGGGAAATTGTGATGTGATTCACCCCTGCTAGTTGTAACACTTCATCGACAGAGGTGAGAGACGCAGCAAGAACGCGGGTGCGATGATTGTATGCATTGTAGTAAGCCTGAGCTTCACGGCAGAATGCGAAAGCTTTATTGTGGTCGATGTACCTTGTAAAAGTCAGCTTGCCCATATTACGGTATTGCCTCACATACCCTGTTTCAAAATGCACTTTCAGTTCGTTGATATAAGGCGCGATATAAGTGCAATTTGCATCCGAGGCCAGAACTGCTTGCTCCATGCAAAACATAGTTGTCGCCAGCGTAGTTACGCCGTTGGCTTCCAAGGTGCGACATGCACAGAGACCGTCCCAAGTCGCAGGTATTTTGATACAGATACGCTTGGTATCAAAATCAGGCGCCAATGCTTTGAATATGGCAACAATCCCTTGCTTGAACCTTAGTATGCGACTCTGAGCTGTGCCTAGTCGAATGACTTACTTTGAGCGTTGACCACCGTTCCCGCCTGTGAGTATGACAATTTGGGGTTCGTTTGAACATGCACGTATCCTGTGATGTAGGGAGCAATCAACAACTGCAGCTTGACCATCTATGTTTATTAGCAGAATAGCTTGGTACAAGTAGAGCTTTACATACCATAATCTCGACCATGAATTCGGGTAAAGACGTTTGACCTCGAATCTCATGTAGTCTATCGGCGTCTCTCGCACTCTCTCGGATCAATACTTCATGGTGTAGGGATGGGTCCCCATTGGAAACCTTGGTGAGTTCGAAGTATGCAATGGCCTAACGATATAGTCAACATCTGTTTGCGGGATAAATCAGATAGCATCTTGAGCTACCTGGTTCGAAGTGCAGTCGACAAAAGGCCCCAAACTCTTGGCCACTAATGAAGTCAGTTAGTTACTTGTCCATATCTTGTCAACGAAGGCGCTGTTACCTTCGCTGTCTAGTGTATCGCAATCAATAACACTGTGTTGCCGGAGAGCATCTAGTAGAGACGGCATCGTGTATGTTAATGTCACTTATAAATTCTTTAAATGAGACATGAAAGTTGAAAAGCCTGAGAATATTGATTCAGGCAACTCGAAGCCTCAGGAAGCCAAGCAACAGCCGATAACGGCGGCTAATTGTGGTGGTGCCACTCTTCAAGATGAGAGTTTCAGTCTCCAAATATGAGCGATGATCTTTTTAAAGCAATTTAACTTGTCGATCGTTTTCGAATAAGGAATACTTGAATGTTCTTTCTGCTGTAAAATATACATGCATGTGCAGTATCATCTCCATATCAGCCCACTGACCTCAGGTTGATGGCGCTGAGGGTGGTCACATGATCCAGCACGTGTCTCCCCTCTGATAGCCGAATGCAGAGAAAACTCCAAGCTATCAGCCGATCAGCGCTAGATTGCCATCGCCGTCGAGCCGCAGAACCGACAACCCGCCAAAAATCCTCTGGAGCAGAGGGAAATGGACTGAGCCTTGCGTGGGACGCCATGCGCTCTGATAGTCGGCGATTATGCGGTCACCATTGGTCTTAGCTCTTGCGCCGGAGCTTCAATTGCTGTCCAGGCGCAGCATTCGAGCGGCATCGCCAAGATGGCTTTCCACAAGCCCCAGCTTGGGAGCTCCTCGAAGCTCCAAGGCGCCGTTGGGCACTGTGTTTTTCCTGCAGAACCGTCTATTCGACAGATCGAGCTGCCTTGATTCTATAATCTCAAGGCGCAATTCCAGGGCAACTTCAACCTCCACAAGCTCGACAACCCCGCCATCAAATCCTCAGTCGCAAACGCCTCAACTCTCAGAACTCGCTCCCCACCGTCGACGACAGGCCCGGAAGCAAGCCCTTGCTCAAGCTACTTCGTCCGAAGCTCCTCTACCTCCCGATGCCTCGTCACTCCTCACATCAGCCGCGGCCGCACAGCCCAAAGATTCCTTCCGCCGAACATTTTCCACCTTTCTGTCTCTCTCAAAGCCCCGCCTGACGGTCCTCGTTGTCTTGTCGGCCATGGCTCCATATGCGCTGTATCCGGTTCCTGAAATGCTGATGCCGACAATGACGGAAACGCCAAGTCTGAGTCCATTGACCCTCTTTTTCTTAACAACGGGAACTGCGCTGTGCTCTGCAAGCGCAAACACTCTGAATATGCTGTACGAGCCATCCACCGACGCCAAGATGACAAGGACAAGGAACCGGCCGTTGGTCAGGGGTCTGATTTCGAACCGAGCGGCGGCATTGTTTGCCATTCTTTGCGGCGCAGCTGGTGCCGGCGCTCTTTACTTTGGTGTCAACCCCACGGTTTCGTTCTTGGGCCTTTCAAACATTGTTCTTTATGCTGGCGTCTATACACCTTTGAAAGCCGTCACTGCATTCAACACCTGGGTGGGTGCCGTTGTTGGTGGGATCCCGCCCCTGATGGGCTGGGCCGCCGCGGCCGGCGAAGCTGCAACAAAGGACGGCTCTTGGAGGGAGCTGCTCTTGGCTAGTGACGGATCGTCCATCGGTGGATGGCTGCTTGCTGGCCTTCTTTTCGCATGGCAATTTCCGCACTTCATGGCTTTGAGCTGGCCCATCCGCGAGGAATACAAAGCCGCCGGCTTGCGCATGCTCGCGTGGACGAATCCGGCCAGAAACGGACGTGTCGCCTTGAGATACAGCCTCGTCTTTTTCCCATTGTGCTTTGGTCTTTGTGCGGCCGGCGTGACGGACTGGTATTTTGCATTGACCAGTTTGCCCATCAATTTATGGCTGGCCCGTGAGGCCGTCCGCTTTTGGAAATTCGAGGGCCACAAAGGAAGCGCACGGGGTCTCTTCTGGGCAAGCGTTTGGCATCTCCCCGGGGTAATGATACTCGCACTGCTGCACAAAAAGGGTATGTGGAGTCGAGCTTGGAGGAGCGTGTTTGGAGATGACGAAGAAGGGGAGTGGGAGGAGGAGGAGCTGGAAGAGATGGCGAGCATGACAGCCACAACAGTGGCACAAAAGGACGAGACGACGACACAACCAGGACGGTGATGATCACTGCTCCATGTAGGAATAGCTTTATGATCTCTTTGAAAGAGTGCAAAAGGAGGCATGTATGTGTTTGATATAGTGTCTGGGCGGCGTATGTATAGTAGAGCTTCACTCAACGCTGTTTTGTACAATTAGATAGATCACATTGGGTACAATCGTCAACGATGATGAGCAATAAAAAAGTCAAGACATTTATAATTCCGTTCCACCAGATCCCATGCATAAGATGCCTCTGTCACTATTATACATTCCCAAGACCATCATGTCTTTTCAATTTTCCTCTTTGATCCAAAATTCCCCGTGTCGACAAAAACCAAACAAACAATCTGTATATCCCATACGCATCTATCTATTTAAGTAGACAAGGAAAGATTGAGAAACCATTCTTCTGTATCAAGTTTCTTTGTTTTTAAGCTTCTTTTTTGTCCAGTGGACGTGAGTGCGTAGGGGATTAAATGGTGTCAAAAAACGCCAGTTAACGCCAGTACTGTGCCATGAATGTAATAGGTAAGACAGGACTCAGCCATAGAAAGACCTAAAAAGGAATGGAGGTGCAGCTCATGTGTAGATATGAGTTGCCATTACGACGTAGAGTCGGATAATAAAGGAAAGTAAAGCATGTAGCAAAAAAGGGGGTAAGTAGGGGAATAAACGATCAAAACAAAATGCCAAAATTATAAAGAAAGATTTGACAAAAAGAGAGAAAGAGAGAAATCACATTCGACCCCCATTGGAACGATGGACGAGAGACTCGATGCCCATGTCGCTGGACAGACGCTGGCTATCCAAGTAAGGGCTGCTGTCCTGACTGGTTCCGGTGCCGCCGCGGGACACGTAGCCGTGGCTCATGCTAGTCGTGGAACTGACGCTCGACGAGTATCCGTGACCGCCGTAGTACGCAGGTCCCATGTTGTAAGGGCCCTGGTGATGCTGGGGGTGGAGGTGGTGAGAGTGAGGTTGGAGATGCTGCTGCTGCTGCTGAGGATGTTGCTGCTGCTGCTGGTGATGGTAGCTGGCGGAGCTGGAGTAGGAGTGTGTGCCGGAGGAGCTCGTCGCGGGGCTACTGTAGGATGCGTCTAGTTCATCAACGGGGGTCAGGCCGATGCCGGAAATGCCGCTATCGTCGTCATACCCTGTGAGTCCCGTCTCGAGACGGTCACGGCGCGAAGCTGCGCGGGCGGCGCTCTGGAGGTTCTTGAGGCCGTTGGACATGCACTAGATGGTGGAAGGGACACACAGTGTTAGTAAATGGCGTCTGGTGAAAGCGGAGGTAGAGAAGGGGGCACGGCGGTGAAGAGAAAGATGAGTGTCTTCCTCCTCTCCGAGTCGGTGTAAGTGATGTGTGTAGAAGCACACGTAGGAGATGTGTATACAATAAGAAGAATAAACGAAATGGCTTACCTTGGCCTCGACAACGTTCCACTTCTCTCCGGTTCGAGCTGCCAGACCGCTCCAAATCTCCTTACGCATGCTCATGTACTCCTTGGCCAGCATTTGCATCCTGCGAGTGTCCCAGTCATCGACGTTCTTGCGCTCAATCAGCCGTTCATGACGCTTGCGACAAGCATTGGGCGTCTTGGACTGGAAGTACTGATCTCTGATCTGGTTCCAGTTGAGGCCCTGCTGGCGAGCAGCCAGTAGCTGCTCGTCATCCTGCTGGGTCCAGGCTCCAGAGCTGGGCCGGTGCTGCGATGACTGGGCCGGAGGCATGGGGAGAGTAGGCGAAGGGGCACTGGTAGAGTACGGGCCGTATTGCGGTTGTTGAGAGGGATGAGTGAGAGGCGGGGGAATCGACATGGCAGCAGACGAGGAGGACGGGGCGACGTCGTAGTAGTTTGTAGGAATCATGCGGGACGGGGCAGCGTACATAGCTGGAGACGGCGCCAGGCCAGCCTGGAGGCCGCTGTAGCCCTGCTCGCTGGAGTTCCTAGTGTGTCTCGGCATCATGGAGAAAAAAGGTTTGACAAGTCGGTTTGTTTCGGTTCGATGAAAGAGGCGAATGGAGTTGCCACAGGTGGAGAAGTTGTGGTGATGATATGCAAAATGATGGAAGAGAGTGGGAAAGAAGACTGATGCTTGGATGAGGTGATACGAGACCGGCTCGGTAACCACTTGCCAAGTAATGAAACAATTATTGATTAAAAGGTCGAAATGACTGGTCGAAGAAGGTCCTCGCGGTCTTGACCGAAGTGGCCTGCAGTGCGGTCTACCGTGAGGGTCTGGTCCTTGTAAGAGGAGGGGGGGGGGGGCAACAACGCCGAGTCGTCTGCAGGGGGGAGAGAAAAAAAAAGAGGCCCCAAAAGAACGGATGATGACAGGCAGAGGAAGATCTCCACAGACTTGACGAGTTGACGAGAGAGTAAAAAAGAGAGGAACACAAAGACCCGGAAAAAGTAAATAGTAAAAAGGGGGGGGCAAGGAAAGGAAACGTATACGAAACAAGTTTTGAGTGGAAGATTTTGAGTGAAAGGAAAACAAACACACACAGACAAAATAAAAAAGAAAGCTTCTGGAGAAGAAAAGGAGAGGAGAAAGCAGGCTGCTGGGGAGGACATGGGCCTGCTTTAAGTTTTGCGATGCATCATTCTGTCAGAGGAAAAGAGAGATGTAATTCCAATATGGCCTTGGGCGGCTGTCAGGATGAAACAAGAAGATCTAAGCCGAATCGGACATGAAACGGAGCGCGTGTATCTGAACAGCCCAGTCCTCTGGGAATGGCTCGCCCACATTGGTCGGTATGCCTCGACGATAGGGCCACGGGCGGTTAGACGGCCTCTTTGGGAAAGGCGGCTATCGTCTGTCTGGGAAGGCTGGACATAGCTCTACGGACATCAGCACACAAGTCCATGGGCAAAAAAAGGGAACTTTAATGAGTGTTGTGTTGGGGAGATGGTACAATCAGCAAGTTTACTAGGCAGTTCCCAGGAAGCGCTCGCCTCGAAGCCTGCAAGGCGGCTAATAGCAATAGTAATGAGACAAGGGCATGGGAAACAAGACACAAAAAAGGGCCTCGAAAAGGTTCTTTTTTCCTCCTCCCCTTGTCCACAGTTCTTCTAATGCCCGTTTAATGACCATGTGGACCAGGCCGAGCCGTCAGGGTTGTATGGAGAAAAGCTCGCTCGCTGCCTTGCAGAAAATGGCATGTCCCAAGATGCGACCCCTGGCAGGAAAACCAGGCTGGAGCAGCAGATTACCAGAGCCTGGCCCGAAAATGACATCAAGAGCCATCTCCAAAGGGCCTTGAACATCCCTGAAAGCCCTCGAATAGCGGCGCGAACAGGAAATGAACGGGATCATTGCATTGCATTGCATGTTGTTTTTCATGGGTCAGGCGGGAAGATCACCGTGGGGGAAAAAGACGCGCCTAGACGCCCAAGCCTGGAGGGGGAGGAGCTCCCCAGGGCAAAGACACTCGCATGGCGGGCACGTTTCCGCACATGGCAGACGCATGGAGCTGCAGGGTTTCTTTGCCGCGCTGCCCTTGCTAGATAGACCCAGCTGTTGCGCATCTTTTGCAGCGTCTTGTATAAGTCGAAGTAGGGTTGATAGAGGGGGGATATTACATGGGATCAAGTCTCTTCCCTTTTCGCAATAGCGGCCGCTCGTCCCCACAAGCGGATGACGCGCGATTGGCCCATTTGCCATAATCAAGCGCGCGTTTAGGTAACTCAGCTGAGCTAGTCTGTAAGTGTCACTAGCGTGGGTCTATTTCTGGCCTGCGGGCCAAGAAGCGCCGCGCTAGGATCTTACCGCGCTGGTCTGATTGGCCGGCCGCAGCGGGTATTCTGCTTGTATTTTCTCGGCTACGAACTGGTGCTACGGTACCTCGCCAGAACGGCCGCCGTGAGACCACCTGAGGCCGAGATCCAGGAAACTTGAATAGGTTCGACGGACTTAAAGCCGGCCGCGCGAACTGGTCATCGAGAATGCAATGCGGGTCATGAGGGCAGAGGAAACGTTTCAGCGTGACCTTGTTTCGGAGGAAGAAACTGGCCGTGTCTTCCTGGAGTGTACCTGATTTTGAGCTGTTGGTTGTGTCTATGTGGTTATGTGTCAGACCCCAACAACAGCTACAAAAGCGCGTAATCTGCTGTTGGTTGCTCAGTGTTGGTTGTCCTTCTGTCTCGATGTAGTAAAAGTGTCTCTATGTAGTAAAAGCGGCACTATACCCCAAACTTTGCGCGTAATTAATTATAGCATCGCTCTGTGTTACACGTTTCGCTTGAGCATCACGTCATGATTCTATTTATGGGAGATGAATGTCTCAATGGCGGTTTACAAACGGCATAAGCTTGTGCAACACTGAGAAGAATGCGGCAAGAAACGAGATCTCGAAGCTAATTCAGATTCCCCTCCAAAGGAGTAACCGGAATCAGGTGACTCCTTACATAACTCGTTCGTCATGAGAGAGCGACTTTTCGTCCTACTCCTTCGGCAACATTCGTCTATGCAACTAAAGTCCAAGTTGCCGACGCTCGGCAAATTCAAATAGACTTAAAAATTGCTAGACAAGGACGAAAGCAGACTTAGTAATAGAAAGATGCACTATGATAGGGCAAAACGTTTGGTATTGGGTGAAATCTGAACGCTAAGTGGCACAAACATCTAGAAACCCAGCCATAACCAAGCCACATCGCACGATGCATCATCTCCCAAGAGCCTCGATACTTACCAAACAGGCAATGCCTCCTGATATTTAAGCCCAAACCCTGTTCAACAGCCTCCTAACCGACTTTTTAGTATTAGGCAGCGCTCATGTGAGCTCATGTGTGTCCCAATAGGAAAAATAGGATAAAATAGACTTGATTCTTGGCAGTACCCTGCAGTAAATAGCGTCGGCCAGTTCACCGCGCTTTGCATGATGCCAAGACGAGCTGAACATCTTAGTTGATGACGATGCGGCTCAAGGCTCTTTTCTGTATGTGTTTGGGAGCCCAACAGTGGCATGTTCAACCTGATAGAGAAGATAAAATTACGGAAAGGTCCTTGTAAAAAATGTTTATAAAGGGCATGTCAAGTTCCTCGGAGGCAAAGGATAGAACTGCGACTCTCTGGACATCACCATTGAATTCCATCTACTCGTCACGTTAATAATAATTCTCAACTTGTTAATAAACAATGGTGTCCAATTCAGTCATGAGATGCTCGCTCCACACGCTCCTCCTCCTCAGCCTGTCATCAACAACCCTCGCCGCCACAAACCTCTTCTCGCGTAAGCCTCCCGCACGCCTCCTCGCCCAACTATCGCCATCCTCGCCCTTCCACGACGCCTCGTCCCACTTCCAAGACGCCTCCTCCAACTTCCAAGATGCCTCCTCCCACTTCCAAGACGCCTCCGCCGTCGTCATCGCCGCCCAATGCCGTCCCGGCGAGATAGTCTGCAACGACGGCTGCATGCCCTCCGTGGGAGTGTGCTGCACCGACGGCGGCGGGGGGTTCTGCAAGCAGGGCTTCTCTTGCGTCGCGGACGGGTGCTGCCCCATTGGACATGTCTGCGGCGATGAAATCACTTGCGATCTTGGCGAGGTGCCGTGTGGCGAGAAGAAATGCATGCCGAAGGACGGGGTGTGCTGTCCGAGCGGGTCGTATTGTCAGGCTGGTGAGGAGTGCTTTCAGAATGGGTTTGACCATTATTGTCAGCGTGTTGGTGGGAGTGGCGATCCGAGTGATGGCGGTGGAAGCAAAACTACTGGAGGAACCATTGGTATCGCCGAGACGTCAAGTTCTTGGAGTCAGAGCACGAGCTTGTCCAAGACGACCCAAGGAGAAGCTCCCGCTTCAACATCGGCCGAGACTCAAGGAGAGGCTCCAGCCTCAACATCAGCTGAGACACAGGCAGAGGAAGCGACATCCACATCGACATCACCGCCGAGTTCCTCTTCCACACCGATCAACCACCCCATAGTCACTCCATTTCTTCCGAACCCATCAACCACGTCGACAACGACGACTGAGGTCATCTCGTCATCAACAACTGCAGCAACCGCAGCGACCACGACAAGTGGCGGATCTCCAGCAGTCGTGAAGATGTCGGGAGTGACATTGGCATTGGTTTTTGTATCCACCATCATGTTGGTTCTCTGAGTAGACAAAGGAGGGAGAGAAAGTACATGTAGATTTAATTTGCACTAGCATTGGAAACACATTTAGCAAACCATTGATGATCAAGCATGTAGAGGGTATCCAAAAGAAAAAAGCGCACAGTGGTATTCCAAAGTTCCAAACTATCTTTCCAAATTCCTCCAAAATCAATGCAATATCAAGGAAAATCCCGCGCAGGGTATAAGTATACACAATAGAAAAAAATAATACAAAAGAAATTGAAAAATTACGCTGAAGTGTATACCGACAGGTGGCGCCCAAAATTCTCCCATCTTTAGCATTAACCGGTCTTTCTTTTCATTCTTCCCTGCTTTCATCATGCGACTTTTCACATCTTTCATAAACTGGTGCCTTTGTTGCATTTATGCCGTCTTCATCAAAAACTCCAAACATTAACTTTCGGGCGTGCCATCTAATACTCTGATTTTTCATTGTGTGTTGCCAGCTCTGACACAAAGCCAGGATGTTGGCCCGCGCTGCTGGTAGAGCCGGTGCTCATTCTTTGCGGGTGCATCATGGACGGGCTCGGCTGGGCAGACCAGCGCGGGTCAGACGAGGACGAAGAAGGGGGACGATATCCCGGGCTCGGCTGTGGAGACGGGTAGAGGCCGTGTTGGGGCGGGTAGTCGCCGGGCAGTTCCATGATGACCATTTGCTCCTTGGGAGGGATTGGCGGTGGCGCGTACATGCCAGGCTGGGGCGTTTGTTGGTATGTTGACTGTCGAGGGTCGTACATCTGCGGTGTTTGAGGTGGGGCAGGATAGGCGTAGGGAGAGTAACCCGGTGAGTAATTTGGTGGCATATGGCCTGCCTGTGCCAGCTGAGGGCTCTTTTGGCCCATTCCATAGGAAACGGAAGACTGTCGTCTAGGGTCTGCAGACGCGGCCGTTGCGGGCGTATGGGAACGGTCGTTGGGGTTGACCGTCCTGAGCTTGCCGTCCTCCATCATTGCTTTCAGAACACCAGCATCGAGCAGCTCGGCCTTCTTAATGATGCGCTGGACCATCTCCTTGTTGGCTGCCTTGAGCTGGGCCTTGACAAAGCTGACCATGGCGATGTTGGTCTTGATCTCGATGTCTTCGCGGAGGTACAAGCCGTCAGAGGGGGCTCCGAGGGCCTCGAGGCCAATCTCGCGATGCTCCGGCGGCTCAATTCCAGGCTGGTTGCCGCAAATGCGATACGTGTTGCGCAAATCGATGTTCAGGGGAGCGTAGATGTGAGTCTGGAGGCCCCAGGGCATGTCGTGGAAGCAGCCGTTGAACTTGATCTTGCTCCCGCCCATCTTGCCAATGCCAGGGATGACCTGGACACGCTCCTCAATCTCATACCAGGTGCTGTAAAACTCGTCGGCGGCGGCATTGCGAGGCGCAGAAATGGGCTTGTGGCCGAGGACAAGCGGGTTGAGGGTGATGACTTCGCTGTGGGAGTGGAGGATGTCAATGGCGAGTTGTCGCGGGATGAAGCCCGGAATGGGTGTGACGAGGGTAAAAGCCTCTTTCTTGCGCAACATGGTGCTCATTTACCAAGCGAAAACTCTGAGAGAGCCAGAGTTTTCGACGTTGTAGAAGGAGAAAAAGAAGAGGGGAAAAGGAGAAGAAAAAAAAAAGGTGAGATCAGATCCTTCTGACGTCTCTCCCTTTGGATACAGAGTTCGAATTGGACAATAGCGATGACAATAACTGGATTCAGCCCCGCAACCAGCCTGAAGCCCCCCGTAGCCGTAATTGGCGCACGCTCGAGTGGGTGTAGGGGTTCGATTTACTTTATTTAGCGGAGGTCCAGCGCAATGTACAGGTACCGAGGCGGGATGAGGATGCGGGAGATTAGAGTTGAGATGGAGTTGAGATGGATCTAAAACCACAGACCAGACACGGACGGCAGAAGAAACGCGAAACGGGCGATGAAGAAGAAACAAAACTCGAACAGAGCCGGGAAAAAAGATTTTAAACGAACCGCGCCGTTCGAGTCCCTGGAGCATTAAATCAAATTCCCAGCGTCAGCATTTGCTTGGGACGCACAGGCTTTTCCTAGAGCCGCATAGCTGGATCCCGCTAATGAAATAGTAAGCACTGGCAAGGCCTTTTCATGGTCCTGTCAGCATGTCTGGATGGGCACGCCACCAACATTAGCGAGCTGCTTCGCCCCCTCCGATAAACAAGATCCATATTCTGGTAGTACGAGGGAGTCGCCGGGAGTATTGCTACATTTGGGGGGTAGCACGAGTGATGTGTTGGTTGGGGTTGAGAACCAGAGTCACACTCGTTGTTTCGTTACAGTAGTACAGTATGGAACCTGACTAAAGAACCCGACTGGACATCAAATGGAACCCGACTCTTGGTAAGTGGTATTGTAACTAGAAATCGAAGGTGCCAGCAGTCCCTGGTAAACTGATACAAAGCACGGACAAATGCGTAATTCATCACATATCGTAGTCCTCCAAGTAAGGTCAACTATTTCAGTACTGTACGAGTACGAGTACACACTCCTGCGCTTGCGGCGGAGCCCGCGGGAACGGGCTTGGAATGTTTTGGCCTCAGCTTCTTGCTACCCAGTTGATCGATGATGCGGGAAGCGTGGCTTTGACGTCAGACGTCCCGGATCACAACAGCTGGTCAATGCCCGATTCAAGCTTCTGGTAACGTCGTAGGATCCGTCGATTGCGCGTTCAGTGTACATCTACTCGTACATGCAGCCTTTCGGTGCTGTTAGGCTTCGAGTAGCGCACTTGTACCCTCTGCACCGCCTGCCGGAAACGCAGCAACCCGACTGTGGCACTTCAACGTTGGGTCTTAGCAGGGTCTTCAAACGCCCATCAGCCAGTGCACAACAAGTGACTGGAGCACAAGGCCGTTGCTGTAAAGGCTAGGTAAACAAGCTGATCCCTGTCAAACTCTGAGAGCTTGGCTTGTCCCACTTGTCTCGGAAATATCTGGCCGTGGAACATGATGGGAAGCTTGCGGCCCAGAATATCAGCGGGTGCGAGTACTTCCGGATACCTGAAATAGATCTGGCGGTGGAGCCCCGGGGTGACTTTGGCAGCCATGCCCCTTGCTGGAGCTTGTAGCTTTTTGCCTCTTGCGGCTTGAGTTCATGGAGACCCGGTTTGCCATCTGTTGCTGTCCCCTTGCAGAAATGGCGGGCAGAGGCGATGCTTGTTTGTTCCGTCCTCCATCATCACCGCCTGGAGCGTCTTGTCTTGACTGCTGTACAGCTACCAATCTAGTAGCTATTCCTGCTTGTGCTCCGTGACAGCTCAGCTTCGTGCTACAGCCCGTTGATCCCAACATCTACACACCCATCTGACCTTCTGTACAATGGCCAGATTCGCTGCCATTGGCGCGCTGTCGCTGGCCGCTATCCAAGCAGCCCACGCGCTGGTTTTACCCGAAGCAGCCGTGCTAAATCAGGCACCGCTCGGTGCAAATGACGAGGTCACAGCCTTGATCAAGGACAATGCCATGATCGGCCCCCACCACCTGGACGACGATATCGAGGCGGCCGAGAGCTTCTTCAACGCCGTATCGTCCATCCGCGGCCACATCCACGAGGACTTTGGCCAGGCCGTGGCCGATCTCGTCGGGCTGGGTAACGGCAACGGTTACACGGGAGACATCGGCAGTCCCGGCCACCATCACCACGACGACGACAGCAGCTTTACGATATACGAGCTAATCTCCAAGAGCAAATTCACCAAAAAGTTCGCCAAGCTAGTCGACGACCACCCTAGCGTGGTGGATCTGCTCAACAGCACCTCTGCCAACTACACGCTCTTTGTACCTGTGGACAAGGCCTTTGAGGACATCCCGGACGATCATAAGAAGCCTAGCAAAGAGTTTATCGAAAACGCCCTGCTCTACCACATTGCCAAGGGCGAGTATCCGGCACTCAAGATCCTGCACTCGTACACGCTGCCCACTGCCTACGACGAGGAACTTCTCGGCGGTGAGCCTCAGCGTCTTCGTCCCTCTGTCAACTTGGGCGGAGTCAAGCTCAACTTCTACAGCAAAGTGATCGCTGCTGACATTGTAAGTTGCCCCGCTGAGCAATCGCGTCTAATAATAGCCAACCCGTCGCCGGCATGCTGTTGCTCGTATGTACTCGTACTTTGGACTGACCCTTTCATTTTCCTTCCTTTTCAATTAAATAGGCAGCCAAGAACGGCATTATCCATGCCGTCAATCACATCCTGGTGCCGCCCCCTTTTATCGGTCGAATCATCACGCTGTTCCCTGACCGGTTCTCGACCCTGCTGCTTGCCTATGAGAAGACGGACTTTGTCAAGGAGATTCACGGCATCAACCTCAAGGGCAGCACCGTCTTTGTCCCCACCAATGAGGCTTTTAACTGGCTGGGGCCCAGGGCAAACGCCTTTCTCTTCAACACCAACAAGGGACACAAGTACCTAAAGGCCATTCTCAAGTATAACATTGTGCCCAACGCTACGCTCTACACCGATGCGTTCTACGACGAGAGAGAGTCGGAGCAGCAAAAGGAGCCGGTTGAGGAGCTTACCAGCGAGCACTACGACCTGCCCACGCTGCTCGGCGACGCACACATCAGCGTCGACATTGCCCGCATCTTTGGGTTTGCCTCCATCAAGGTGAATGGCTATTCGCGAGTGGTTATTCCCAACGGTGTGGCCAAGAACGGCGTCATCCATGTCGTCAACCGAGTTCCTCTCCCTCCTCACAAGGGCCACCGCCACCACCATTCAGAGAACGTTGGTGAGATCGACGTCAAGGATCTGATGAACAGACTTGCGGATTACGTGTGATGAATTATGTGCGACTGCGCTGAAGAAAACAACAATCATTTGGATAACTGCCTGGAGCAGATGATGAATACACGGTAAAAATGAATTTCACGGTATGTACCCATGTTTGAACGACACCTGAGTCAACCCGACTATCGAATGTAAGATTCCATGATTTGAAACGCCGCATGCAATATGTTTGAGACCAGACTGAAGGATTGAACAATGTGTAACTATTGATGACCTCTCTCGTTTGAATTCCTAAATACATAGCAATTTAGGTACATAGCATTAGCATCAGCACTCATACTATGTGGATGCTACCACGCTCATTGAACACTTTTGACAGTTACTCTGTCTCGTAGTAGTGCAGTCTAGAACCGAGGTAAGCGACTCAATACACAGAATACAATAGCATATCTTGTAAGATTAACAGCCACATGAAACCCTAGCAACCATGTCCTAAATAGCAAATGATTGACTCCCTACTGCAACTGTGCTTATCGTCATCTCAATGATCAAAATTAGACCACTTCTCTTTGTTCTTCTCCACAAATTCCTTCCAGGTCGTCGGCTTCTCTTCCAGCAAGGCCAAGCTTCCGGCCAGAGATTCACCAGCATAGTACCCGGGGTCTTCCAGAAGCTTCATATTCTCCAGCAGCTCCTGGGCAGCCACGGGGGAGAGAAACGACTTGAACTTGTCATCGTCAATCTGTACAGCGTGGGCCGGTTTGCCCATGACCTCCGAGAACTCGGAGATGAGCTGGTCAATGGTGTAGTAGTCTGACGCCGCAAGGATGCGGCTTCCCGCCTGCGAGGGGAAGTTTTTTATAGCTGCCTTTACAAACTTGCCTGAGGTAGCATTTTGTTGTCAACGTTGTGGATCTTTTTGTGCTAAAATGCGAAAGGAAGCTTGCAGGTAATCAAATCAATCAATCATTATCTTACCCGTGTCTTCGGCGGCATCAAACAGGGGCGCCTTTGCCTTTGACGGCTCAACAGGCAGAGCCAATGTGTACCCTGCGGGCTCGTTGGGCGGGTTCTTGCGAATCATTGTCTCGAAGCCGCTCATGAACATGCCCGGCAGGACAAACGTGCCGGGGACGCCGCTGGAGCGGATGTACTCCTCGATCCTGGCCTTGCCGTCAAAGTGCGAGATGTTGGGCAGGCGGCCGTTGCTCGCCTCGGAAGCGTTGATGAGCGAGGAGAAGATGATGTGCTGGACGCCCGCGGCCTTGCTGGCGTCGACGACGGCCTTGCCTTGGGAGATTTCGGTGTCGGAGGACATGCTCTCCCAGAAGTTTGTGACGAGGAAGACGGTGTGGGCGTTTTGCACGGCGGGGGCGACGGATGAGGATGAGGACATGTCGGCCTATACACGGGGGATTTTATATATATCATCTCTGGTCAGAGCTTTATTACTGGATCGTCGGGAAGATAGATGGTGTTTTCTACGCACCGAGACGAGTTCGACGCCCTTGGCTGCGAGCGCTTTGGCTTTTGGTTTGTTTACGTCGCGGGTGATGCCGCGGATTTTGAATTCTTTGGATAGAGCTGGGTCTGCGAGGATGGCTTCGACGACGGAGCCTCCTTGGTTGCCCGTGGCGCCAAAGACGGTGATGATTTTGGACATGGTGAGATTATAGGTGGTGAGATTGTAAGTGATGCTTCAATTGATGTCGGCGTGAATGAAATCAACCCAGTGTAATTGAGTCTCGATACAAACGAGGTTCAAAATAATTTAAAATTACCAGCTATAGGTTCTATGAGATATACACAGCCTGGCGGGTTAACTCGTCATGACGTATGAAGCTCAAAACACAAGAGGAGTAGCGCCGCTCCGCACAATTTGGTGAGGAGGATTCACCCAATCTTCATTTCCACGCATCATCTTTGAGATAGGTGAAAACCACCATTATCGATGGCTTCTCATAGGTCCAGCTGAATTGAGATTTACCCTCTAGCTCCCCGACTCGCAGATGCAATTGATAGCTTCTGATGCTGTGTGATGTAATGGGTCGAGTCTAAGCTGGCTTGGCCTTTAAGAGGTGTGGTGTGCTGTACGTGGATTTTAGTGGCCTTCAGCTCTGCGCCTAGCTGAATCTGAGGATTTGCTAATTAATTCCTGCATTTACTTTTGAGATTGACATCTTTTTGCATGTAGGATTAGGTTTGTGTGTCATTCCATGGTTTGTCTGGGGTATTGTACAGGGCAGGTCGTTCAACACGTACTCAAGTAGTATTGGTACATGCGTTTCTGAATGATTCATATGGAGAGCTAGAAAATAATTGTATATATAGATATATGGATAGCTAGTATTTCATGCAAGATTCTATTCAACCTTTGTTGACATATATCGAGTAATCTGTCACCAACAATGGTTCAGGAACTAGTACTCTTGCAACTTTGCGTACACAAGATTGGGATAATGCCATCATCATAAAATTCTAAAGACCAACCTCCGTCAAGATGGCGGATACTGCTCTCACGTTCTCAAAAATAGCCCATTGGCCAAGATCCTGATTCCATTCAACGCGGGCTCCCTTGATCCTCTGTCTATATCCCTCCACGACTTCCTTTGAACAAGTTGAGTCTCCGCCCCCTGATATAATAAGCGGCTTCATATCAAGAATTTCCAATGGAAGATCTCCTTCAGCTGTGGCAAATGCATCACACGCTTTTGCAAATGACTCTGGGTCTTGCCCAAGCAAGCTTAACCGAACTGCTGACATTGCAACATATTCTGTTGACCTTGTCTGCTCGGTCGTGCCCTCGGATATAATGTCGTCGACCACTGCTCCCATTCCCAAGGTGCGAACGAGTTCACCACGCTTTCTCCACACCTGTCTAGAGTCGTCAGGGAGCGGTAAAGACGGTGGGAACAACAACACAAGCTTATTCATCAAACGAGGGTTGAGAATGGCAAACTTGAGGGCAATTAAACATCCAAAGGAACTTGCAATCAGCGTTCCGGGGTTAGACTCGCTGATTCCTGCGTGCGAGAACACCCCCGCAAGATCTTCCGCCAAGGAGTCTACGCTCAAGACGCTCAGCGGATGCGTAGGACTGAGGCCATGGCCTTCAAAGTCAAACAAGTGCACGTTTGCCCTCTTTTGGAGTTCCAAGTTTGCAATGAGAGGCGAGAAATATTCTGATGTGTCGCCGAGGCCGTGAACAAAGACGACGCCGTTTTTGTCTTCAAGGCCGAGTCTTTTGTAATGTAACGGCTTGCCATTGATAATGGTCAGTCCAGCTGTGCCGTTCAAAGAACGTGCGGCGTTGTCGAGATTAAAGACGGACTGGGAGGCGAGACGCTCCGTCGTTGCGTTCACAGCGGTGACTCTATTGTGAAGAGCGCCAATACCAGGAATGGTGACGGTGATTTCGTCTCCCTCCTTAAGAAAGATAGGCGGGTTGCGTCCAATACCAACACCGGCAGGCTAACAAGTAATAGTTGTCAGGAAACTGTAGCATGTATGTCATGGGGTAAAACTAACCGTGCCAGTAGCAATCACATCACCAGGCAATAGTGTTTGTCCTCCAGAAAGCGTATTTATCAAGGTTGGAATATCGAAAATGAGATCATCTGTCGTTGCGTCTTGTCGTAACTCGCCATTGACATGCGTTTGAACGCGCAGCACCGACGGAAGGGCTTCCTTTGGAACTGCAACCGGGCCCTGGGATAATCAGCAGCCGAACAATCAGGAAGAAATACATTCACGAGACATACCATGGGACAAAATGTATCCGCAGACTTGCCAATGTAAAATTGTTTGTGATCTCGTTGCCTCTCGCGGGCCGTCATGTCATTGATAATCGTGTATCCCCAAACATAGTCCATGGCCTTTTCCTTGGGAATCCGGAATCCGACCTTGCCAACAATGACTCCAACCTCACCTTCATAGTCCACGCTCTTGGAAAACTCGGGGTGTAGGTAAATGTCCTCGCCATCTGCAATGATGGATGTCGCACGCTTTGTGAAGATGACAGGATGGCTGGGCTTGTCGACCTTGTCCGAACTGTCGTATCCCGAGGCGTTAAACTCCTTTGCATGCTCCATGTAGTTCTTGCCCACAGCTAACACATCGCGTCCCACAAGCGGTGCCAGGATCTTGACAGATGAGAGGGGAAGAGCAGAGCCAGAGGCGACTATTTGCGATGGGCCGGCTTCGATAACCTGGTAGAGATCTTTGATGGGGTACCCAGAGAGGAGGCTGAGGGGTTGGATTGTGCCGGCTTCTGCGTTTAAATGGCCAATCTGTGTGATGCCCGTTTCGGGGCGAGTAAAAGCGGCATAGTTGGTTAGATGTTGCGATGATGAACTCATTGCGGTATTTGTAAGGAGGAGGTGCTCGCTTGTTGGAGGCGTTGATGGTCGTCAAACAGTATAACTTGTAGACATTAATAGACAAAGGCAGAAGTCGGTGTAAATGAATGAAATCTGACTTGAGCGTTTGTATAAGAAAAAGAGCAAGGCTTTTTGGACGGATAGTAAACGACTTGAAATACTATCCAGAGTGAGGAAGACGGTGATGGTTTAGCTCAATACATAGTTTCAGGTGCGGGCGAATTCATTTTGCCGGTAGCGTGTGGAGTATGGTGAGCATTCATGTAAGATAGAAACCCACGCCTTTGCTTTCACTAACCTCGTACAATGATACAAGCAAGCAAATAAAGATGGATTGAAAGATATTGAACATTACATTGAGATTTCAGCAGTACATTTGAATTGCGGAGATAGAGCTTAAGCCTCTGAGAATTGCCGTCGCCTGGGTACATATATGTTGATTAAGTGCCCACCAATACCTTGAGGATTAAGCACTAACCAACAGTGGTCGTGAAGAGGTGAAAGATGAGAAGAGTCGAGCAACAAACACACGGTAGTTACTATATACTCCTTCAGTTTCTTAGAAATTTTTCAGTCTCTATCTCATCTGATTGTGATCCGACCAAGTCCCATTCTACAACTCTTAAAACCTCCTGTTGTTTGTAATGCACTTACTTGTTGAAGATAAAGTATCATACCACCTTGCCCACTTTCCCGGAGGGACGAATGCTTTGCATTAGTCGTACTAGGTACTGAGAGTTTCGAAGCTCAAGAAACCCGACTCTAAAATCGAAAGCCCACTGTAATGGAGACGCATAATGGAAGCGAAACGCCTCAGACAGACCTCCACTTCCAAGACCCTACGGAAGTAACCAGATCTCACCCCAATAAGAAAAATTACTGCTCTTGTACAATGCGTATACATTCAGAGCTATACATAGACAAAACCGTATAGTATTTGGGTTAATACTATGCACCCGCCATAATTTGAAGTAGCCAGACAAGCAAATCAGAGCTGAGATCCTTCGCAACCTCCAGCATTATAAATCGCTGCTTAGAAATCCCCCCGCACCCTCCACCTCATTGCACGATATTTCGTATCAAGACGCAATAGTTGAGGAAATACGGAATAAACCCGCTATATATAGGTACAAAGAGATCATGTAGGCAAAGGGGACTTGCGGTCCAGGTTAAGGAATCATCTGTGTCTATAATAATTCACACATTTAGTTCTCATTAATCATGGCGCCCATCCGCACGGCCATTATCGGCCTCTCTAGCACCGCAACCACATCGTGGGCCAGCGCTGCCCATCTACCTTATCTTCTCTCCGCCCGCGGTCGTGCAAAGTATCAAATTGTAGCCCTGTGCAACAGCAGCGTCGAATCAGCAAAGCGCGCCATTGAAGTCTTCAAGCTGCCTCCCGAAACAAAGGCCTACGGCAATCCCCAGGACGTTGCCGACGATAAAGACATTGATCTCGTGGTTGTAAGCACTCGGGTCGATGTCCACTACGAAACTGCCCTGCCGAGTGTCAAGGCCGGCAAGCAAGTCTTTGTAGAGTGGCCATTGGCTCACGATGTAGCTCATGCAAAGGAACTCGTTGACGCAGCTAGAGTTGCTGGTGGACGGACGCTGGTTGGCAACCAAGGGCGTGAGGCTCCTCCTATTGTCAAGGTCAAGCAGCTGCTTGAGCAGGGAAGCATTGGCAAAGTCTTTAGCAGTGAGGTCAGGGCCTTTGGCGGAACTGTTGACCGAGAAGCTCTGCTGCCAGGACTCAAATACTTTACTGATAGGGCCATTGGTGGCAATATTGTTACCATTGGAGTTGGACATTGTGAGTGAAATCTCCATCACCTGGAGTATATTAATTGTCCCCTTTTTCAGCATCTAATTTCTTCCAGTGTTTGACCAAGTTCAGTATGTCATCGGGGAGTTCCAAAACATCCAATCACAGCTCCAGCTCCAGCGCCCCAACGTCCTCCTCCGCGACCCTTCCACCAAAAAGGTCGTCGAAACAGTAAAGTCCAATGTCCCTGATCTCATCATCATCGACGGCACCCTCGCCGCATCGCAAATCGCCACCGACGGAGCCAACGTGCTGTTCCGATTCCGTCGAGGCCAGCAATTCCCCGGCGACCCTGCCCTCTCGTGGACAATCAATGGCGAAAAGGGCGAGATTCGACTCCAGGCGTTTGGCGGATCTTCTCTGCATGCCGGTTCGTACGGTGCGCCCGTCACCATTGAGGTTCACGATTTCGCATCGGATCAGGTGCAGAAGAGTGAATGGAGCTGGCAGAGCTGGCAAGAGGAGCTGGCGATCGTGGGGAGAAGCGTTGGTGTTCTTTATGACAAGTTTGCGGAGGGTGAGTTTGAGGGAGCACCTTCGTTTGAGACGGCTTTGGTTCGTCATGAGCAACTAGCAACCGTTCTGGCTGGTTGGGATGAGAAATAAACAATTTCGAGGAATGGGGAAAACGGAAAGTAAGACACTTGTAATTGAATTAGCAGCCATTTTCAAATTCACGGGCTTGAATTCTTTTTTTTTTTTTAATCAGTCTGGAATAGCTAGGTCTTCTTGATGAAGTCCTCCAAGTCCGGACAGGCTTGTAAAACACTGGCCAATTCATCATCGGATAGGCCACTCATCGCACGAGTGTCTTTTGACGTCTCCTTTGCCTTTCGTTTCGATGTCCTCCACTGGACACTGGCTGCTTCATCGCCGCTCAGCTGAGGGAGATCATTCAAGGTGAAGTCTCCCTTCAAGGGCCCCGTGCTTCCATCGTCAAGCAATCCTTTCCTGAAGAGCTCAGATAGCTCCTTTTCTTCGACAGTACAGGATGTCTCGTCGAATCTCTTGCGTTTCTCGTCGATATCGAGGCGCCCTTCGAGGTACTTTTGATTCTCAACTTCTTGGTCGAGTGGATTGGTCGGGGCCTGGCTGCTACCCTGGACGAGGTTGGGGGTTGAGTGCATCTCTCCGGCTGTGATGGTGTTTTGTTGGTCGGTTAATTTCTCGTCTGACTGAGTATTGCTCGTTGATTCAGCCATTTTGGAGGATGTGAGGATATGCGACGCTTTGCTGGAGATCGCAGCATCGTTGTTGAATTCTGCTGCTCTTATACATGATGGTTGATGTATTCACATTGTTACGATGCCTTGTAGTGGCAAATTGCATCAAATTCCAGACGTCGCGCAAATGCGCACCTGTGTGAGTCACTGGCTGCTTATGTGTGTCACGCCGTATGACGGTTTGCTTGAATATTAGCACCAAACATGGCATATATTGGAGGGCATGAGGCGTAGCGCTCCAAATTCGTTGACTCATTCACTGTCCTATCCTTTTTATCATGGTCAAATACATATTTATACGTAAATCCCATCTCATCTCATGAACCACCCAGGAGCATACTGTTCCATCTTTCGCCTATCTAGCGGTAGATATGAACCAATGCACCCATCTCGATGACGCACCCTGTCGGAACGATTCCTTCTTCTAGAACACGTCAGCGTGACATCCAGATGAGACACCCAAATAGCTTCCCTCAAGCGTAGCTGATCAGCACTATTTCGTCCACCCGACACGCAACTTTTGAACACATCATGAGACAATTCTCGCATCCGACGTCATTCCCAGCTCCCGACCATATCGGAACCCGCGGTCGCGGCGGTGGGCATGGCGCTTTCTGGAGCTCTATTGGAACCTTAGCAACTTAGTTCCCCTCTGTGCTGCATCTAGATAGAGCTAAAAAATTTCCGCCTCTTGCAGCCGAGTACCAGTCCGGGGATCCTGGGGTACGAGATGGGGGAGTACTGCTACTCTGGGTTTGCCAACGTCAGACGCAGCCTGATTGGTACCCGATCGGACGATTTGATGTACAGATGAAAGCATGTGCCGGTGCCCGACCTGATGCAGGGTGCTGCAGATAATCCCCAGAATGCAGAATGCGGCCCCTTTGGCATGTGAAGATTGATCTGTCGCCAGCATCTGCGAACCCCCGAGTCAGCGCTGCAGCGGCATTGCAGCACGTGGACGCAGCAGCGGAATACGGGGGAGGAACTGGGGGGAGGATTACGGGGGGCTTACAATATGGGGGACGGGATGGATATTGGGGGGTGACCCTGCACCTAATTCCAGCTGTGGATGGTGTTGATGACGGCAGCAGCACGTTTATGTTGAGCTGTGTCCCAGACTTCAGTGACTGCTCGCTACGATGCGCGATAGTAGAACAGAAGTAGATGTACCACCTCTTGGGTGCACGCAGCGCTATACTCGGCTTGTATGGCGACCGTCATAGGTTCACAGCGCACTGTAGCCCAACTGCCGGGCTGGTCCCAGGTACGACTCCCAGAGTACCCCCAAAGTACACCTGTCCAGCCCGCGCCCCCAAGCCGCTATCGTCCCCACCTGCATATGCCACCAGCGGGTGTGGCAGAGCGGTCAGATGCTCCAACCATCCCCGGATTCTCCAAGATTGCCTCAAGAACTCCCCTGTCGCCCATCCTCCCTACCAACAACCAACAGCACTTTTATTCCCCAAGTCGCATTGTTCCGTAACCTCTTCCTCTTGATATCCAAACCGCTCTCTCAACTGCTCGTATAATTAGAATCGACGTTGCCGACGGGAATGGGACTGCAGCTGAGCCGAAGCCTCCTGCTGCCCACCTGAAGATCCGATCCTCAACAAATCCTGGATGCAACGCAGCACCTACTGTCATGGCCGACTTCTTCCTCCGCGCACCTCCGATACCTCAAATACACACCGGCAGCACCTCTCCACCGTCGCCAAAGCGCCAGAAACAGGCCTCGGCATCTTTGCAGCCTCTGCAGCCTCTGCTTCCTGCTGACCGGACCCTCGTACAAACCGTATCGCAAACAGTCAAAGGAGCGGCAGGCTTCTTGCGATCCTGGAAAGATGGCGTGAGCAGCGAAGAGCGTGAGAAGGCGAGGCTCCTCGAAGAAAGAAAAAACATACTCTGCTTGCGCATGAAGAGCGTATGTACCTACTAAACATCCCCGTGGTTGGGTGTTGACTAAACGAAACTAATTGATGTGGTAGGCTGAGACATTGAAACAATGGCAAGCGGCAGCACAGGAACTCGACGTTCTCGAAGGCAACGATGACTGGAGACGAGACGATGAAAGCGACGACTACAATGCCAGGCTCATTGAAGAGCGACTCCGGGCGCTTGACGAGGCCCGAGAAAGTCGGGACATCCGCACCATGATGCACCTCATCCGAACTGCCCTGTCGCGCGATCTCGGCGGCATGGGTAACGTCGATCTTTACCGGCACTCATATCTTGGCACGAAGACGCTGATTGAGCGCTATGTTGAGTCGACAATCGAAACCATCGATGCTGCCATTGTCCATAGCGCTACGGACCAAGGCATTGCGTACAAGGACCTGCTAGAAGGCATGTTGCTCGCGCGCCAGAGCTTTGGCCGAAGCGCCCTTTTATTATCTGGCGGCGGGACATTCGGCATGGCCCACGTCGGCGTTCTCAAGGCCTTGTTCGAAAACCAGCTTCTCCCTAGGATCATATCCGGCGCCAGCGCTGGAAGTATTGTCTGTGCCGTTATGTGTACGAGGACGGACGAAGAGATTCCACAACTGATAAAAGAGTTTCCCTATGGCGATTTAGCGGTTTTCGAAGCCCAAGACAACCAAGATGGCCTGTTGGACCACTTTCGCCGTCTGCTAACGGAGGGCTGCTGGTCGGACATTGCCCATCTCAGGAGAGTCATGAGGGGCATGATGGGCGACATTACCTTTCAAGAGGCGTACAACCGCACCCGACGTATCCTCAACATTTGCGTCTCTTCTGCGTCCGTATACGAGCTACCACGATTGCTCAACTATGTCACTTCTCCCAACGTCATGATTTGGTCTGCTGTTGCAGCTTCTTGCTCAGTGCCTCTCATCTTTAACTCGTCGCCCTTGCTGGTCAAAGACCCAGTTACGGGCGAGCACCGCCAGTGGAACCCGTCGCCCCAACGATTTATCGACGGCTCGGTGGACAACGACTTACCCATGACGCGCCTTGCGGAAATGTTCAATGTCAACCATTTCATCGTGTCGCAGGTGAACCCACACGTCACTCCGTTCCTCGCCAAGGATGATCACCTTTCACCCGAGAATCAACATACTCACAAGAGCGCCAAAAATGGTGGCGATGAAATGGATTGGATATATGCCTGCACATCGCTCGCCAGAGACGAGGCTCTCCACCGACTGCAGTTTATGGCCGAGATGGGTTTCTTCCCTAACATGATGACCAAGTTTCGAAGTATCCTCAGTCAAAAGTATTCGGGTAATATCAACATCTTACCTGATCTGACCCTTGATAACCTTCCCGTGCTTCTCAGAAACCCCTCTGTGGACTTTATGTTGAAGTGCTGTCTCGTTGGTGAAAGAGCAACTTGGCCGAAGCTATCTAGGATACGCGATAGCTGTGCGATAGAGTTGGCGCTGGATCGCGCAGTGCACCGGCTCCGGACGAGAGTCGTCTTCTCAGAGAGCCAGAGCAATCTCCGAAGCATAGTTTCATACATGGGAAGCTTGCGGCTTAACAAGCATGATCAGACACCCAACCAGGCTAATCTTGGCGTACCGATTGCTAGTCACGGCCAGAAGCGTCAACGACGTAGATCAGGCGGGAGCCTCCTCTTGCCCGGCCCAGGGTTGGTCCTTGACACCGATCCAACAGATGAGGAGACTGCTGAAGAGGAACGCCTGGAAATCGCCTCAAGGAGACATGGACTTGCATCTTCCGCTGCTCTTCGCAAGCCACAGCTGAAGAGGTCAGCCTTGAGCCAGACGCATGTGCCTCAGTTGTCCGCCTCTCAATCAAACCCGAGATTCAACTTCTCCAAGCCGATAACACCCCCGGCAAGTGTTCACGGTGAGCTGGATGCTACTGATGTCGCGAACATCAACTATCTGGATCCAAGAGTTCCGATCACTTTTAGCGATGACGGGAATGGCCGCGTCGGGCCGCCGCTGGGGCCTGCGATTTCTCCGGTTGATGAAATCGAGACGAGTGAGCCAAATCACACGAGCGACACGGAAGTGGAGCAAGGGACCGAAGAGAGTGATCCTGATGACAGCCAGTCTGCACCTGTTGAGAACACTCCTAAACCAGCTAATTATGGCGCATTTGGCCCTGCTGGGGAAGTCATTGGCGGCTTTTGGTGATTATAAAGGATTGACCCCTCCACTACGAGCCAGAAGGGGGAAGACACAGCATGGTGTTTTTGGCGGATCAAGCCGCACGGAATCCAAGCATAGAATGGCGTTATCATATACTTTGTTTGACAAATGGAAGCCGTTTGTTTCCGTTTCTTTTCTTTCCTCTTCTTTATGCCTATTATTGAGGTCAGCTATATCGGGGCTTGTTCATCGGGGTGGTGGCATTTTTGAATAGAGGAGAATATGGCATCTGGCCCGTGAGGCCACAGAAGGTCGGTCGTTAAGGCGAATTTTGATGTGAGTATTCGGTGTGGGAGAGGGAACAGTGCTACGTTAGTCGGAGGGGAGGAGGAGCATTACTGGTCAAACTTGTATCTTGGCATATACTTGAATCAAATTCATACCAAGAGGCTGTCCAGATTATCTTGAAGTATTTGTCGTGCGACATTGCGGCTGGAGGCTTGTCCATTGTGCGAGCGCCATATACCAGAATAGTAGGCTCATCTGCATCGACGGCCGCGTGGCCTAATGGCTAAGGCGCTAGATTTCGGTTGGTAAACGCCACCTCTAGAGATTCCAGGTTCGACTCCTGGCGTGGTCGATTTTTTGCAGTTTCTGTCAAATTTATATTTTTTTTTACTCGGTCTGAATGATTTTGCTGTTCTTTCTTATGATATGGCGCGGTTGCTTTTATCAAGTCGCTGCGGCATCTGCGGCATCCTAGATATCTAAAGAGCGTGCTTTCTTCCCCCCCCCCCTTTTTTTTTTGAAGCGCTGAGCGGATCTCGGGCTGTCGGCAGTCGTCTGCACAGTTCAGGATCTCGGGTCAGCACGCCAGAAAGCCACATTGGGCACGATGCTGTTTGTGGCGGCTGAGTAGGCGCTTTAACACGTATGATGTTACAGTAGTGCCATGGGGTGATTTTTGGGCGAGGTGGCTACCTTGTGAACAACCTTAAGGTTGATGGGATAGAGATTGCGAGGTTGGAGGGGTAGTAGTAGGGCTGATGGTCTTTGTGTTACATTTACGTCTGCTGTAGGCTACGTATATGCTACAAGTTTGGAATCAAAAATAATTGTCCGTTAAGACGAAAGAGAAAAGAGAGCTAGTTGGGATAACAATAATGCACCGTTCAAAGGGTAACGCCGTTTCCAATGTGGTGCCTAATAGAGGGGCTCAAAATATGCTCACTTACAAACCCACATGCAAAAACCGCTCTCCTCTGTATCTTCACCTGCAGTACGAGTACATGTCCGCTCGACGGTGAGATGACAAGTGGATTTCTCATCAGTAATCTCTGAGTCGTACATGTAGTTAGTTTACCGATACACAGCTGCCTGCACAAACCAACAGCCAAGACCAAGTAAGATCTTGGTCAACACCAGTATTAGCCCAGAGGTCGAGACCTGCTAGCCCATAGCCAAGCTCAACGCTTTCGAATCAGACATGTGCAAGCGCCCTGTACTATCGACCGTAAGGCTTACATTTCGTAACCGCAAATGTATCCGTGATTTGTCTTCTTCGCCCTCCAGCCCAAGTAAAAAGCTACCTACTGTAATCAGCTCAGCTCGCTCCCGGCCCATCGGCGTTGGTGTCACCATGGCCCGACCAGCCGCAGCAAAAAGAGGATCCATTCAGCCCGCACAGCGTCTCTTCTCTTTAACCGTCGCAGTTTTTGATTGCACAAGCATGAGCCCGCAAAGCTAACAAGGGGGAAATCAAGAGGGCCCGCGGGAGCTAGTCGCCCATTGCGTCAGAGAGACTCGAATTGCAAAATGCGCACGGCGGGCCAATGAGGCGGCGAGCTCAGCACGCAATCGCGGCGCCTTGCCGCATTGAGGACCTCCTTAGGCCAGGCACTTGGCGCGGATCGTGGGGTTTGTCGAGTGGAATGTTGCAATGGTTCGTTGCTTTTGGTAAGGAGCAGAAGCTTGAGCTTGAGCTTGGGGGCGGGGATGTCTTTGGCTGTTGTTGTGCTGGTGTTTTTAGCTCCGTAAGCAGGACGAGGAGGGGCAAAAAAAAAAAAGGTGATGAGATGATGGAGGGGGAGGGGCTTGGAGGAGGGGAGGGAGAGAATATTGGGTGATTGTGTTGCGTTGATGGGCCCCTCGATTACGTTTTTTGGCGGATGGGCAATGAGAGAGATATATAAGCCTCTATTTCTCTTCTTCTATAGTTGATTCTCTCTCTGTTCCTGTTGTTTCTTAAGCACTAAGCTTTCCATCTTTCTTTACTCTAAACAAAAACCCCTCCATCATCATCAACATGTCTCAGCCTGCTCCCCTCCGTCTGGGCTCCGAAGCCCCCAACTTCAAGGCCGACACCACCCAGGGCCCCATTGACTTCCACGAGTTCATCGGCGACAACTGGGTCGTCTTCTTCTCCCACCCCGAGGACTTCACTCCCGTCTGCACCACCGAGCTGGGCGCCTTTGCCAAGCTGCAGCCCGAGTTCACCAAGCGCGGCGTCAAGCTCATCGGCCTGTCGGCCAACACCGTCGACTCCCACAAGGGCTGGATCGACGACATCAAGGAGGTCACTGGCGGCCATGTCACTTTCCCCATCATTGGCGACAAGCAGCGCCAGGTTTCCCTGCTCTACGACATGTAAGTCTTGTTTCTGCATGTTTCTGTCCAACAGACAGACAGACGCTAACAACATACAAACAGGATCGACCACCAGGACGCTACCAACGTCGATGAAAAGGGCATTGCCTTCACCATCCGCTCCGTCTTCTTCATCGACCCCAAGAAGAAGATCCGCACCATCCTCTCCTACCCTGCCTCCACCGGCCGCAACGCCTCCGAGGTCCTGCGCATCATCGACTCCCTCCAGACCGGCGACAAGTACCGCGTCACCACCCCCATTAACTGGCAGCCCGGCGAGGATGTCATCGTCGCCCCCGTCATCAAGGACGAGGAGGCCAAGAAGCTGTTCCCCAACTTCCGCACCATCAAGCCTTACCTCCGCCTGACTTCTCTGCCTGAGGTCTCATAGATTTGGGAGCGTTTGAATGCCTGAAAGAAACAAAAGCCAAAAATTAAATAAAACCCTTGAAAAACAAGAAACCTTATTTTGAGAAAGCAATTCACCGGGCTTGCAATGGGGATGAAAAGTTGTCAGAGGAAAAAAAAAGTTCCGCTAATCGTGCAAAGTTACGGCATGGCGCTCAAGGGCAGTTTTCAGCAAGAAGCACGTCACTGATGTCAAAATGTTTGTTGTTCATGCCACGGAAAGCCTGATGACATGCATCTCTCATCATGGCCTGTGGGGGGCTTTTTTAGATGGGGGCAATGACCATGATGTTGAATAATAAAAAAGATACCAATTTTTTTTCTTCTAACGACATTGTTTGATGATGAGCGTGCAGTATCAGCTGGAAACTCGTATTAAAAGCTTGCGTGAATGCATTAAGAGTGTTGATGTTTTAAATACCTATGTGGTGGGTATGGACCGTTTCTGCGGCTGTCAAACTTAATATTTAGGAGAGCCAATTATAACCCTGCTCTAATTTTGGTGAATTTTTCAAGTTGCATGTGAATGGGATTTGAGAAATGCATTGGATGATGCAGGTTGCGTGCTTCTCACTGGACAGATTACGGTATCATGATTCAACCGATCTTATTTGTTTCGAATGGAAGCTTAATCTCAGCACTAACCTCCTTCATGACTTCAGGATCCCGTTCTAGCCAATTTGGAGATTTCTGAACTGGCATTAGCAGCTTCAGTAGGGGCTCTTGTAAGCTGAATGGGTGAATATCCCCTATTGTCGAATAACACAACTAGCTCCAACAGTCAGGCCAAATCAGAGAAAGCCACAAAGCAGCGTGTGTACTGATAAGATCATGAATTGTTTTTATGTACCTTTCGAGCTCTGATTACCCTGAGGCTTTTACAAATTGCCACAAAGTGCTGCCAACAACCCTCCTCTGCAGCCTCCTGCCATCCTCGCCGCACACCTAGTGAGTGTGTTCGTTGTCACTGTCTTTGACGTGTTGGAGATTCGACACACCGTATGCAATGGTGACTGCCTTTCCACTGGTTGTTTCCACAATCATGCATACGTTGCCGGGTATGGGAGATGTAAATTGTAATAGTTCTTAACAGCGACGGAAACAGGCACAAGGCTGCTAATTCTCCCAAGTATTATGCATGACGACTCCCCATGCCAACGCCCAGCTCAGAGACCACATGATGTGAGTTTTGTTTGCATGATGACATGCTGAAACAAAGAAAATGACATCTAGACACAGCCATGATGCTGCCCAATGGCATATACAGCAGATGATGTGTTTGTTGGCCTCCCGACTTCACCTAACATTGATGTTACCCTGTAGCCTTTTCATAGATTTTTGGGCATCGCATCGATTAATGGCATAATTGCATATACGTTCTTGAGTCAATTGCTCTGTATGCGGTGCCATGAACATTCATATCGAATATATACACTGGGCAGTTACATAAATACGTAAGTGCATGTGGCCGTTGTTCGCGTTCGGTATACTATTGCCGAATCTGGCATCTAATTCGTTGGCGCCTGTTGGTGAGCCATCATATTGATGGCGGCAGAGCCACTCATACTAACGTTTCAGGCCAACGTCTAGCACTTGCATAGGCCATGCATATTGAGTCGCCGATACGAATCATGGCAGTGTCCATGCCCTGGATACTGGAATTTGGTATGCCATCCGCGTGACCCGCCTGGAAGAGAGCCCTGGAGGAGAAAAAGCTGCACATTGCTGTGACTGTACTGTACTGTACTGTAGCTCGCAGAAAAGGAAGAGCAAGAGTCAGGAAAAAAAGGTGGTGCCATCATGATCGACAAAGAGGCTGCTGCGGTATTAATTAGTACGCATAATGAACATGGAACTGCCCTGATGAGTTTGACGGAACAGGCAAGATCCGAGTGCCAACTGCCGGACGGCATGAGTCTTATGCGCGTGTCTTCATTTTACTTGCTTCCTGCTCGTGTTGTTGTGCAGAGGGAGGATTTGCTCGTTGATTTCCCGCGTGTGATCTTATAGAGTCAATGCGATCCATCAATAGAGTAGTTGGGTAGGCTGCTGGTTGGTTGCTAGAGGCTGAGCTTATCTAGACTGGACTGTACGAGTGCTGGAGGGAAATTGAGCCTCTTGTCGGAAATCACGTAATCAAGGGCCTGGATAAGGGGATTGTCAATTTTGACCTGACGTCTGCCATCACCACGACTAGACGGGGCCGTTTGTTTCATGAAGCATCAAAGTGGTTTAGCCTGGAAGCATCTCCATTCCATCCCACGTGCTAATATGCCCGGCTGGACAATGTGGACAATGGGCGACCCTGGACTTTTTGCTTGGCAGCGGTGCGGCAAATGCGTCTGGAGGATTCGAGAAGCCCAGCCACCCAGCATTAGGCGCTCGTTGTATGTACTAGCAATGTCTAGTATAGCAGTGGCATATCGAGCACTGCTACTAATGCCAACATGATTTGATTGTTTATTGCTAGTCTAGTACAGGTACGGGCAATTCCCGAGGCATCTAGAAGGGCGGGAGAGGAAGCGTGTGGAGACGGACATGCAAGGGGATTGGATTCGCCTCGTGCTCACTGCATATGTTGCTGTACGAGTGCTCGTACAGGAGCTTGCGCAAGGAACGTGAAGAATTGACGCACTCGCCATTGTCAAAATGCATAGGTTGACTCCATCCATGTAATGCACTGTACTCTCCTGCAAACGAGCACGCGGGTCCCCAGCGTCCACGAGGTCTTGGGACAATGAAGAAATCCACGCTGGATGGGGCCATCTCTCTCAGCCCCAGCAAACATTGGGACACCGAGGGATCAAATTCGATTCAGCCAGCAGAGCGGCTCCCCTTTCGCTGCTTGGCTGCGTATCGTGGTTCCCACTTTGCGTCTCCGATGCAGCAAGGAGCTCCGTTGTTGCAGTGGTGGTGCCGGTAGTCGCTGTGATGGTCGGCGGCGCGAACACCCCTATTGAGCAAAAGGGGAGAGAGGGAATATGCACTTTGGAGTAGTATAGCACCTGAACACCTCCAGTGCTCCATATCAACATGTCCGCGGACTGCAGATTGAGTGGCCTCCGGTGAGGGGAAATGCGGACCGGGTGCTAGCTCTGGGCCGAGTGAGAAGCTTAGCGGACAGGACAAACAAAACTGGAGGAATCAGTCAATCCAATTTCTACAGTAATGATGCTGAAAGTTGGACATCTCGGACGGGGACGGGGACGTGGACGAGGTGGATGTGCTTGGCCCCACGATGGAGAGTCATTCTGGGCTGATGTCAAACTGCAAAAGAGTCATTCATTCGATCGATGGGCTTGTCTCTCGAGTTTCAACAGAGAGCTGTCACTTTTTGCCGCCTTGTTTGAAGGAAGATGACGACAATCGGAGGATACACGTACCGTAGACAGCCCTTGTCCTGCAGTCTTGACCATCTGGAACCGCCATTGAGCGCTTCCCTGCCGCAGCGCCCCTGGCCGTCGCATGCACACTAGCAGTAGTCGAACGTATTTTCTTCTTTTTTTTACATCATTCCGCTGCCATCATATTGCATTTGACCACACGCAGGCGAGCGAATACGGACTGCAGCAGGCCCTGCCTTGGCGCTGGCATGGCAGGGCATCGAATGGGATGGGATCCATTGATGGGATGGGATGGGATGTACTCGTACGGTACACGCGGAGGTACCTGGTCTGGCGCTAATTGGTGGGTGCTCGAGGGTGTACCGCAGAAGGGCCTTATCGAGAGGCCTTTGGTAGTCCCTGGTCTGTCTGTATTTTTGTCGATGCTGGCTGGCTGGCTCTTCTTATTCTTCCCCTTCTTCTTCTTCCACTTCTTTTTTTTCTTTCCGTAATCCCCCTGTAAAAACAGCACCCATCTTACCCATCTTACCTTTTGTAAATCCTCGTCTTCAACTTTATTCTTTCTCTCTCACGCCCTCACAATCTACTACCACTACTACTGCTGCTAATTTCCAGTCTGCTCCAACTCTCCAGCCACTGCCTCCAGCTACTACTAACTGCTAAAGCCCCCCGCTGTCCAGCCTATCAGAACCGCCTGTCACCCTCTGCCAGTAGCCTGTACTTGTCCCTGTAGTTCTTCGGCAAAGCCCACAACCCCCCTTCTTCGCGTCTGTGCGTCTGTTTTCTGGAGACTGTATTTTTTTTTTTGTTGCTCGACCTCCCTCTGAGCCCACATCGTCAGCTCCATCGCGCCAAACGGGCTGCGCACATCACAAGCAACGAAGTGCGACGTTGGCCCTCAGACAGTTTCGGCTGCCGTCTTTGAATGGTACGTCATGGCCGCTTTGAATCTGAATTCTCCCTTGTGTCGCTCTGCTCTGCTCTGCTCTGCTCTGCTCTGCTCTGCTCTGCCAGCTTCTGCTCTGCCCCGTCCCCGTGCCTTCTCTGCCTTGCGAACTGCGAGCCTCGCTCGAATGCCACATCATCGCGCACTTTGGACACATTTCACGCCTCGCCGGTCCCACGTCGCTCCTCCCCCTCCCGCTCGAGATTCTCGGTTCCCGGATCGTCTATCCGGGCTCCTGAAAATCGCTGCCTCTGCCGGGCCTGCAAGAGACGGAGGTTGTGGCGAGCGACCATCATTGCTTTTCCATCTCGACTGGGCCACGGTGCGGTCAGGGAAAATCATCCCCCCCTGCCTCCCGGCCTCTTCTTCTAGGACCCAAGCGGGTGGTCCTAATCCCCATAGTTGCTTTGGCCAAGAAAGGGCTGATCCCATCTGACAAGCGTTCTGGAAAGGGATTGTCACTGTCACTGTCATCTTTCTCTCACACATACACTCTCTCTCTTGATCCTGTCATCATCACAACCCCCTTCCCTTTCTTCCTCACCTGCCCTATCCAGCGGCGTTGCCTCTCCTCGGCGCCTCCAGAAGCATTGGTTGGTGTCATGGCCGAATTTGCACCACTGACTGGTTTTCAGAGCCCATCACCGAATAGCTTCTACACTTACTCCGGCTCTGGGGCCAATGACCCCCGTGCGCATAGCAGCAACACCGACAGTACCTACCGAACAGCCTCCACTAGACTTCCTCGAAAGCCGTCTCTCCAAACCGTCCAGGGCCACGCGACCTCACCATCCGGCGGCGGATCCTCGTCTCACCCTTCCAAATCAAGAGCGGCGTCCGTGTCCAGGCTTCAGCAGCAGCATGGGCGACAGCTGAGCCTTCAACATAGCCTTGAGAAACCATTGCCAGAGCCGCCGGCCTCGACAAGTCCCACAACGCCTCCGACGGCGACCCACACTGCCTTCGACAGCATTTCGCAGAGCATCGGTGCCGTAGACCCGCGCTTCGTCGAGTCCCGGTTGGATAATAGAACAAGCCCCATGGACTCGGCGGGCTCGGCTGGCGTTAGCCAGATGTACGGTGCATCGGGCCAGGAGAATTTCTACACGCAAGAGATGACGAACAACATGGGCGGCGGCGGCCTGACCGCTGCGAGATATGCCAGTGCTGATGAATATAGAGAAGCTCATAGAGATGCGCATAGGGAGCCACATAGGGAGGGATTAACTCCAAGGAGCAACGGCTCTGTATCGGCAGGCATGTCGCCTGCGATCGTGCAGCAGCCTCAGATGCAGACTCCCTCTGCCACCCCAGTCGGCGGTCCCTCTCAAGGAGCTGGGGGGTCTTCAGCACATCTGTCGGGTTTGATGTGCAATGTACACCGAACGACGGGCCAGGAGCCCCCACCGCTGGTTGGAGCTACTACGACGATTCTTGGTGACAATTTGTACGTGTTTGGCGGCCGGATTCTCTCGCGAAGCCGTCCCGCGCCCTTGACTTCTGACCTGTACGAGTTGGATCTCATACGCCGCCACTGGACGCGACTCGAGGTGACTGGTGATATTCCACCGCCGCGATACTTCCATTCCATGTGTGCTCTCGGAGGCACCAAGATGGTTTGCTATGGTGGTATGTCCCCGGCGCCAAATCAGCCTATGGGCGCAGATCAGCAGCAGCCTGAAGTTACCGTCATGTCCGACATTCACATATACGACGTCCCGACAAAGAAATGGTCATACGTCCCGGCACAAGACGCCCCCCAGGGCCGTTATGCCCACTGTGCAACCATTCTCTCGTCCTCTGCCACGTTTTCGTCCAAAGCCGCCCCTCTTTCTGCTCTCCAGCACAACCCATCCAACGGCAACCCCAACGAAGGCCGAATTGGTATCAACATTGACGGCTCAGGAGGCGCCCAGTTGGTTATTGTTGGAGGACAGGATGGTGCAAATCACTATATCGAACAGATCAGTGTCTTCAATCTGAGGAGTCTCAAGTGGACGACGAACCAACCTCTGGGAAAGAGTTGCGGTGCCTACAGGAGCGTCGCTGCTTCGGTGCCTCCCGCTGTAAGTGCGAGAATTGGAATGAATGCCCAGAACGGCCAGCAACGCACCGATAGCACCGCTAGCCAGGAGCCCGGATCATCAATGCTTATTTATTCCAACTACAACTTCTTGGATGTCAAACTCGAGCTCCAGATTAGGTCTCCTGACGGGATCTTGACAGAACGGCCCATGACCGGCAGCTATTCACCACCCGGTCTTCGCTTCCCGAATGGCGGTATCATTGATACTCACTTCGTGGTCAGCGGGACGTACCTCACATCATCGAAGCAGGAATATGCGCTCTGGGCTCTGGACCTCCGTTCTCTCACCTGGAATCGGATCGATGCGGGGGGCAGCGTGTTCAGTCAAGGCAGCTGGAACAGGGGCGTCTTGTGGAACCGACGGAATACATTTGTCATACTGGGCAACAGGAAGAGGAGTTTGGTCGACGACTATAATCACCGACGCATCAATTTCTCCAACGTTTGCATGGTAGAGCTGGAGGCGTTTGGCTTCTACGATAACCCGCGCAAGACGGACCCCATGTCTGGCTTCATCTCAGCCAGCAGTCCTTATTCCGGGTTGGCCCTGAGCCTTGCGAAGAAAGCTGGTGCTACCGCCGGCGGCCGCTTCCACTCTCGGGCGAGCGAGGACTTGGGCGAGAAAGTACTCTCATTCCGGGAACTTGCTGACATGGACATCCTGTGTATCGGTGGCGAGCGGATACCTGTCAACTCTCGAATTGTTGCGCGGAGATGGGGTCCATACTTTGTCCAGCTTCTGCGAGAAGGCACCGCAACGCAGGATGGCAGCGACGCCGTGACCCTGCGATCTGGCCTGTCGAGCAATCCCCTGCGCGCGTCAGCATTGACCATCACGCCAGGCCGAAATTTCGACGATGCGGCAACGCTGGTTGGCAGCACGGTAGGCTCCGTAGGAGGTTCCATCTCAGGACCGTCTGGCGGCTCTGGACCGACGATTCATCACGGAATAGGAAATTCGACCGCACAGAATGATGATGCAGTTGCAGCCATCAACAACGCCCCGACACCTCGCAGCTTGATGCCCAATTCAAGGCCGCGGTGCCTCTATCTTCCACACACATACCTGACCATTCAGGCTCTGCTGCATTTTTTGTATACTAGCTCTTTACCCTCGCCGACCTCCTCGTTGTGCACACCACAGATCCTCTGCTCTCTCTTACAAATCGCGCGGCCATACAGAATTGATGGCCTTCTCGAGGCCGTTGTTGAGCGCCTACATGCTTTGCTCGACAGTAGGAACGCAGCAGCAGTGTTTAATGCGACGGCCATGGCAGCTGGTGGCGGCCGGGGCATCGACGGATCTCTGAATCCCAACTTCTTCGTTGGCAGCCTGGATCCCGTCGGGTCTCCGGTGTCGACGTCAGACTTTTCCCTCAGTGGCACTACTGCCAACGATTCCTTCTCGTCGGACCTGGCTTCGCGTACAGCAAGCTTGAGTCTCGCTCCTGGTATGCAGCATCCGGCACGTTCATCTAGCGGCGAGATCTCGGCGTCAACGAGCGCGAGCGGATCCGAATGGGGATCGGAGATGGGTGACAATGACCGCGAGGGTGTTGTCTGGAATGGAGAGCTCAGCAGTGTCATTGGCCTGCAAAAGAGAGGTCTCCGAGGACTGATGGAGGGCCGAAGAATGAGGGAGAGGACAGGAACAGGAACCGGAGGCGCGGCAGGCATGGGGGCCGCTGGCATTGCAGGCTATGGCGGCCAAGCTAGTGGCCAGCGTGTAGGATTGGGCATCGCCGGACCGTGATCGGTGGAAAGAAAAAAACAGCGGGAGATGGCGAGAAAGAGGAGGGAAGAGAAGGTGAAGGCAAGCTTGGGAAACTCTGATGTTTATATCATGAGCGATTTGATTGATCATCTATGTAGATATTCTTTTTTTGATTGGAGGAAATGCGCTTTGTTCTTTTTCTTTTTGTCAAGATTGGAGGATCTCTTCCAGGTATATATAAATGAGGTTACGAAGCATCGGCGGGTCATGTTAATGCAATGGCTGATGAAACGGCCGCGAATTCGATCCAGCGAGCCTAGAGCCAGTGACGGAGATTTTCTTTTTCTTTTTCTTTTTTCCTTTTTGTACTACCCTCCTCCTTTTTCTTCCTTGTTTTATTCTTACAAAAGCCAACTGATTGATACACGATTTGAGACTTGGGGGCTTGTAGTATATATATTGCTGACTATGTAATAGATACATGTATGAAATCGCCTACTCGAAGCTACTTGGTATGAGAGCCACTCAACGCTATGTGCCCTTATTATCGCCTCTTACCGTCAGGATCTTAAACCAGCTATAGTTTGACTCTACCCCCTTCGAGCTCTTTCCATTCCTTCTCCCTAAAGGGCACATACGAATTACCCCTGAGCCAGTACAGCTCGGCTTCGTCTTCGCCCGCTGTCGAGGTTGGCTTCACGCCTGCAGCTCGCAAGGTCTGCTTCTGCTGCTTATTCGTTCCCGTGGTCTGGCTTCCCACGCCCACATCTCGAACGAGGCGCAGGAACAAAGGACGAGCATACCGCGGCAGCTCCGCCTTGACGTGGGCAGCCAGGCTCTGCAGCGTGGCGTCATCGGGCACGGGGGTGTTGAAGGCGATGGCGGCACAGCCGGCGCGGCCGTCGTGATGCGGCAGCTGGACGCCGTAGACGTTTGCCTCGCGGACGGCCGGGTGGAGGCCGACGACCTCGCTGACCTCGGTGGTGGACACGTTCTCCGACTTCCACCGGAAGGTGTCGCCGATGCGGTCGCTGAAGAAGGTCAAGCCGCTGGCGTCGCGGCGCAGGACGTCGCCGGAGCGGAACCATGCGTCGCCCGGGGCGAAGACGTCGCGCAGGATCTTGGAGTCGGAGGCGCCCTTGTTGTTGAAGTAGCCCTGGAAGCGCATCTGGATGTCCTCGGGCGGCAGGCGGTAGAGCATCTCGCCGGGCTCGCCGGGCTTGACGCGGCGGCACCGGCCGGTCACGGGGTCGCGTGCCGGTGCGTCGGTGGTCCAGTCGACCTCGACGATGGCCGCGCCGCTGCCCAGCAGAAGCGAATAGAGCCAGCCGGAGCGTCCGATGGCGCCGCGGCCAAAGTCGTTGCTGCTTAGGTTCCACGTGGAGCCGGGCGACTCGGTGGCGGCGTAGAACTCGGCAATGGTTTCGATGCCGAAGCGGTCCTTGACGCGGTCCCAGATGTCCGGACGGAGGCCGTTGCCAAAGGCGGCGCGGACGAGATGCTTCTTGTCTAGGTTCTCCCCGGTGACGGGGTCCAGCTGCGGAGGAGCGGCTAGCAGGTAGCGCATCGTCTCACCAACATACTGGATCGACGTGGCCTTGGAAGCGCGGCAGTCGTCCCAGAAGGTCTTGGTGGAAAACTTACGGCCGAGGGCCTGAGTTGAGCCGGACACGAGGGTTGCACAGAAGGAAAGGAGGGCGGCGGATGAGTGATATAGGGGCATGCACTAAAAGGCCGAGTTAGGTTGATGTGCTGACGAGCTGAGGAGAAGAACAAAGGGATACTTACCGTATACATGATGTCGCCATTGCCACGACCTAGCAGTGTTGATGCCATGCTCCCGCCATAGATGCATTTCCCCCATGAAACTACGGCTGGCTTGGGCAGGCCTGTGGTGCCTGAGGTGTAGATGAGCATCGCCATGTTAGCCATGCTATCATCTGATCTGGCTGAGTTGGGGGCTCTCTCCGGAGCTGTTGACGAGGCCTCAGCCTCAGCCTCTGACGTGAAGATGACAAAGTTGACGTTGGGTAGTGCCTGCTTCACGCTTTCATCGTCGAATTTGGAAGCAACAGCAGGATCTATGAGACACAACTTGGTCTTCGCCGCCTCAATACAGTGCGATAAGGGCTTTCCGGACAGGTTATAGTTGATAAACGCCGGTTTAGCACCTATCGACCACAGAGCGAACCAGATGACGATGAAGGTATCTGAGTTTTCAAAGTCCATGGCCACGACATCCTGGGGCTTGACGTCGAACCGGGTCCTGATCCAGCGGCCATACCGCAGAATCTTGTCGTAGGCTTGGGCATATGTGTACGTCCTGCCCTCAAAGATGAGAAGTAGCTGGTTGGCGAGGCGAGGATTTTGGGCAGAGGCTTCCAAGGTGTAGAAGAGGTTGATTGTGTCGTGCTTGAGGCCGTGACGGACACGGAGAGTGGCCTTGGCGATACTTTTGATGAGCCTTGCATCGTACCAGATGCTGCTTTTGGCGTTGAGGTAGGCCAGGGAGGCGGCCGCCGCGGGGAGGAGGATGGGAAGAGGGACTGGCATGGCATTTAACGGTTTGCCTTGATACCTTGAGATGTAATGGGAGAACTTACCTGGCATTTTGTTTTAGTGTGGGAGTTTGTATAAAGTGAGAGTTGCTGCTGAGGATAAAGTGAAGCAAGTCCGGGATCAAGCCGTTGTTGGACCTGTCTGGCTCAAGTTGTAGTCAACTTCCCCTCAGTTTTGTTTTCAGTCTCCTATAGGGCCTATTGTTTCTCTGTGCTTTATTTACTAGGCGAATTAAATGTCATAATGCCCATCCGGATAGGGATTACCGCCGATTCGGGGTTGATGAGCCTCGGCATTCAGGGTAAATTGTTTCCTAGATGAGTAGGGTTGGAGTATCGAGGCGCATGTATATCAATGTACCCCGGATTTGGCGACACACGTACGCAATAACACGACGCAGACACCAGAAAAAGACAAACCAAGCAAAATGCCACGCCGCATTGGAGAACTGGACAGATAAAGACAAACACACAATGGAAAAAAAGAAAGAAGAAGGAGAAAAATCTCCGGGCCAACAATGGAAAGACTGTTGGTTGAGTTCGTCTTCAAAAACCCCTGCGGGATAGTATTTTTGGCCAGGGAGGGCGGGAGGCGGACATGCGGCGGTCGAAACGCGGCGTTGTGCATACTGCATGTGTACTGGTAGCATGTATGCACGAGGGAGGGATCGGTGTTGGTTAGGTCCGCCGCGGCCGGGGGCTATGGGACGGTAGGGGGGCGAAAGGCGTGGTTAGGCTTGCGAGAAGTCGATGCGTGAATGATTCAGAGTCGTGGTGATGGTGTAAGTGCCGGTATTGGAGGACGGCAAAAGCATCCAATCCGTTCGACGGTGATGAAGTACCGCCCAACTCGACCAGACACCATCCCGTGCTTTGCTTTGACTGCAGTTCAGATAGACAAACTATCTATACCGACTCAGCAATAAGGAGTACCTCCGAGTACATGTATCAAACTCCAGGACCTTTGGAATCTCCACACTATCTTCCACGGGATGCCTCCCCCCTTGCCTCGATGAAGACGCGGCCGGCCGGACCAGATATTCGTACATCACCCCGACCCTCCGCTCACCAACAAAACCCCCAAATCCGTTTGTCCCTTAAAGCGATTAATCGCGGGGAAACACATCATCATCTCATCACTTTCCACGGAACCAGATCCGCGCCGCGTCTGGTCTGCCCTTGGCGGCTTCGTTGCAAGCGATGCCTCGGCTCCACGGGCTAGCTGGCTTCCTATCCCCTGCGCTGCCGTGCGGGGTTCGTCCGCAGTGGATCGAGCAAGGGTTCAGCTGCGAAGCAAATTGGCTGCAGAGAGAGCCTAAATCCGGACGAGGGTTGTGGACTTTGTAATCTAGTACGAGTAGATGCCGGACTCTGGGGGTCTTTGAGGACGTCTGATACGCCAATCCAGAAAGCGAAAGCGAAGGCGATGGTCGCCAATCCCGATCCCGTGTGTGCGTGGCTGTTCACAGCTGTGCAGACTAGGTCTAAATAGTATAGCAATTCGGCGCTATAGATGCCTCGGAGACAGTGCATCTTTGGGCCATTTTGCTGCTTGGTGGTCCTTACCAGATGGAAATGGACAGCTTCGCATGCTGTGGAATAGGATTGTCGCGTGGCCGGTTACTTTGTGTTCAGAAGTTTAGCTTGCTTTGTGTTTCCAATGCCGTTTCCCTCTTCCGCATCTCTCTCTCTTTTTTGGTCCAAGGGTTCATTGCGATAGATGGCATATCTGCGATAAAGTCCGTAAAAGCTTGGTATCCCATTTCAAGCTCTATTCCTCATCTTCGGTACAATTCTGCAAGCAGGTTCAAAACGCGGTCACTGATGCGTGTCTTCGGCCTCCTAAAGAATCCATACGCGCTGTTGAGTTGGTGATCTAACGGGTCATCAATAGCAAGACGCTCAAGTGAGAAGGTCTATTATGATACCCAACTATACACAAACATACATGCGGCTTGATCAAAAGGACTGCTGCCACTGAATAACTGCTGCGCAACCGAAAGACTGATAAAAGCAGTTTTTCATCATTTGGTGATTATGAGCTCTTGGTTGCACCGTAGTACCTATTGATGAACCTCGGCTGCCGGCCGCACAGTGCTCGGAGCTGAGCCGAGTGTATTGAGACACGCTTCGGCAAGGGTAATTGAATTCCGACGTCGTATATTCTGGTTGCTCTGTGCAATGTGATCTGTCAAGTGTTTGGAGTCCCTGTCTGTGGGATACAAGTGGAATCAAGCAATCAGACATGATGCAAGGTAAGCAGGATTATGAGTAATGAAGGACTTCATAGTCCGGATATCGATCGTGCTTCGGGCCGCCGATAACAAGAGGAGCGTCCTCATGGCTCATGTTAACCATATTCCAACTTTCGCACTCTTGTCCCATTTTTCGCCGCCCATTAGGCCATGGATATATGCGTGGCACACGTACAGAAATCGTCCCTGGTCAACCGGTCGGAGAATGACTGGCATGCGTAAACTAGAGATGAGCGCAACAATATCTCCCACCTGTACTATATCTGGAACAAGCCCAATCTCTCTATTCTCTGTTGTGACAAAGCGCTTCCTTTGGCAGGTGTTCATGATCTTTAGTTGAAATCTCGATCCTTCGCCCTTGGTAAGCGTAAAAAATGACTGGAGTGCAGTAGACGATCGTGGAGGTGTGGGCTTTTGCTGCATTGTCGTAGATGCATAGGCCTGGATAGCTTCCAACCAAGGCCAGAATGACGACTTGAGATTCACAATCTCTTGTTCAGTCTCTTCGGAGCTGTGATACTCCAGTAGCGTCTCACACAGGGCGTACCGGCTAATTTCAGCATGCTTCCCACTTGACTGCGATCTTGCAGAAGACGCGAGATCAACCCAACTGGTAAAGACTTCAAAAGCTGCATGAATGTCTTCGGCAGTGTCATCCAGGTTCCACCCATTGTTCGCTTCCATTCTAAGGCCATCCCAAACAAGCCTCTCGTTTATCGCTGAATGTTGGCGGCTTTTCACAGACAGCGGTTGTCCGACCTGCCGTACGCGGTCGACAATGGATCCCTGTATTTGGATACGAAGCGTGTTCTCTGAGAATTGCAGGCTCGGACTCGACATTCCACTAGCGGTAAACGGTTTCTTTGTAACGATCACACGTTGATCGGTTGCAGTCCAAGCAGCATCTCCCCAGTCTACCGTCTACGAGGGTAACCCTGCTCTCCGATTCTCTGTGGGGACATGATGGAGGAATTCCATGCAAGAGTCGTTTGTGAAACATGCCACAGTGGCGGCTGCGTAGATTCGGCCCAGCGTTTCCGAATAATCTGGAGCCGGAACAATAATATCCAGCTCTTGGAATATTCCAAAAAGGGCAAAGATTCGATCTTTTGGATCTGTGCATTTCTTCTCTGTACCGTATAGTAGAATCTCCAACAGGCTTCGTTTGTTGCTGCTCTGGTTCACAGCTCCGCTACCCTCTCTCTTCTCCGCCAAGAGCCCACTCAAATGCGCCTGCAATCGCATAGCAGAGTGCCAGTCTCACCATTTGTAGTCTGATGCTCTCAGCATATCCAGGGCAATAGCCAAATAAAGCCAAGGGAGAGAAACGCTTCCATGGAGGACTCGTACCAGCTGTTGTGATGGCAAAGCCACTCCTGGATTGTCCACATGCGAGAAAACCATGATCGCTTAAATAGAGGGCCAATTGGGTCATCTGAATCCTTCTTCACCTGTAAGCCGAGCAAGATCGGAAGACATCTTTCAATGCGTTCCTTGTCCACGCTCATAAGGGCAATATCTTCCAAACAGCCAATGGCCCTTTTGCTCGGTTCGTCCTCTTCTCCAAGCCACACGATTACCTCTGCAGCCTGCTTATAAATGTCTCGCATGAGTGCGACCTGAGCGCTGCGTTCGGCTATGGATGTCTGATCGATACAGATCCCATCGATCCATAAAGTCAGGTCGTCCATGCTCCTTAGTCGCCGGAGAGCAGCCATGCAATTTTGCGTGATGAGCAGCGTGGCACCATCGCATTCAATGGGATGTGACGGAGTTTGTGCGTCCCAGGAGTAGGAGAGTGCCTTGAAAACCGGGTTTGAGTCCAGGGCAACTTCTGCTAGAGTGCATCTCAAACCATCTGTTAGATGAGCCGCAGCTTCGAGATGGATCAACCTTATTGATCTGGATAATGCGAGGGGGATATGCTTGTACGAGGCCATATCTTGTGGAATCGCCTTCTTCGTGGCCAAGCACCATGGTTATGAAGTGGTCAACACAATCTGATATTAGCGGAGGATGACAATGTCCTCGATGACAGCTCATGTGACTTGTTTCACGTATCGGAGTTCACACACGTGATGAGAGAACCAATGCGCCATCCCATGCCTTGGTGTGTACACAACACAAGATGATAGTACGATATTGGCTGGTCTCGTTCCAGCGGATTGGAGAACCAACGATTTATTGACATGTATATTCCAATGGAAACAGCCAACTAGAGACTGTCCTCTTGTTTCTCTTGGCTGGCATCACTGTATCTTGTGCAAGTATTGGTCATACAAAAGCGAGTACTAATCCGGAGAGCTCTTGATCGAGTATGGATGGAATCACATACACGCTGTTTCTGGTTCTGGCGTAAAAAAAGTCCTCTCGTGTCTATGCGACGGTGTTTCACAAACTCTTACCTGTTCTGTGAATTATAGCCTTATCTATGGTTATAACTTTGTAATTGAATGCCGATAAAGCCGGTCAAAGGGGCCATCTCGAGGTCTTCGCCACAGTCCGGAGTCGACATGGTTCGAGATACACTTTATATGAAATCGAATCCATCAATGGGAGCAATCCCTGGAAGGCTAGAACATTGTTAGGCCGAGACCTAAAATATAGCTTCTCTCATCGCCATGCTACTAGGTGCAGAAACAGGAGCATCCTGCAGATTTGAAGCTGTCCAGGTGATATCTCAATGCAGTCTCATTTCAGCTCCGCCACACCCGATCTCCCGCGCGCGAGAGCTTTTCCAGCATCGCATCAAGTGTCCAATGTCTTGATAAACCAGGTACGCCTTAGCCGGCAGCAAATTACCATGCCTGGACGATCGTCGCCAATATCGGGCTAGCTGTCTCAATAGTTCGGCCTGCGCCAGCTATTATCGCCACAATATTTGCGCGCTATTGCGCCAGCTGAAAACTAGACAGGCAAGACAGGAAACCGTGAGGCATCCAGTACCAGCAAGCATTGTTATAGGAGTAACACATATTTAAAAGCCACAGTCTTGGCACTGAAAATGTTTGATGGGAGGGTGAAACCCAAGGCGTTGAAGCAGAAAAACCATTGGTCAAATCACAATGGCGGCTCAAAACAAGTTCACAACCTGTACCTTTATTCTCAAGAAGTGTGACTTTTCCAGTGCTTCGCTCGCACCAAGTGAGTCGTTCCCCAGTTATTGGGTGTAACTCATATCAAAGCCACATTGCTAACCTATCCATCAGCATGTGTTAAGAACTTTTGTCAAGGAGAGCCATACGGCTTTGGCTCTTGCACAGCGGACTTCACTGGCGTACCAGCAGAATGCTGTTCGCAAAGCACGGTTGGCGATGTAGCACAATGCATGGCCGACTTTCAGCAGCAGCAGGGATATGGCATCTTTGGCGATGCTTGTCTTTCCGTTGAGCGATATGTGACCGAATGCGAGAATGCCAACTCCGAGTTTGATAACGCTTCCTTCAAGCAGCAGGCTGGGTGTCTTTGCCATGACAGCAAACGGCAACTATGCTCCAGACACATGGGATAATGCGGTGGCCACTTGCGTAAGCACGGGAGAGAGCGCTCACCCGACCATCTGGAGCGCTTTGCAAAAGAATTCCCAAGTGATTGGTCTTTGTACCAAGTTTGCTGGCGCTGCTGCTCCAACCGGCCCCGCGACAACCGGCCCCATCCCGACAGACACGGCGAGTTTCGCCTCTACTGGTGATGCATCTCCAGGAACGACAGCGGCCGACACGGCAAGCCCAACTGAGACGGGTTCAACTCCTGCTGGAACAACAGGCTCGAGCGATCAGACTCCAGCACCATCCAGCGCAACTAGTGCAGCTAGTAGCAGCGCGGCTGCGACAACCACGACGAGCAGATCGGCGGCGGTCAGAGTTGGAGAGGTGAGTTAAAGACACTAACCACTTTTTGCTTGTTCGAATGCATGCTGACTTCTTCGGGATATGTAAAGATGAGCTATTCTCAAATCAAGTTGGCAGCCGTAGGCCTTGGACTGATGTTGCCCGCATTTTTGATGACGCTGTGAGGGGAAAATCCTTGATGATGGACCTAACCAGACAGATGGGCTCTACTGAGTAATGATGAGATGCGGCGTTTATGGATACCTTTTGTGTTGATTTATTTGATTTCGAGGTTGGTATCATGAAGGCTGAATGAATTGTGGCTTTGATCGTTGAAGTACAGAGTACGGAGTAGTAGCGGCCGTTAGAACAGATAGCGCCTAATTGGAGATTCGTGGTTATTGTGTGACCTGATAGATCATGGCAATTGTTTGAACAAATTAATCCATTTTAACGAGACTGAGGACAAAAAAAAACCCCCTAAAGATATTAGGCCGTGTGATGTGAAGAAGAAGAAGAGCTAATGTGAAGTTGTCATTATCACATCAGATGCGTAGAAATGCTGCGGCAGGCAGTGACATTCACGTGACTGCGCTTGTACCTGAATTAATGCCACTTAGCCTCCAACTTCCATCGCGTCTCAAGCAGCCATTCAGTTTCAGAAGCCAATTCGAGATCCAGCTGCTTGCATATCTTCCAGGACGGCAATCATGGCGCCTGGGGAATTAGGGCAGCCGCAGGCATCCGGCGATTCTGCGCCTGCTGCTCCATCGCCCACCTTGCCCCCTCCTGAGAAGCCGCCGGCAGTCAGACAACGGTCATATGTCGTGCTGTCCTTCTGGCTGGTTGTCCTGCTGCTTGGACTGCCCATCTGGTGGAAGACAACGGCGATTTACCGAGCCGAATTACCTCTGGATAGGATGCTGAAGTGGGCTGACGGCAAGGTAAGAGATCAAATCCCAGACCCTGAAACGGCGCCTTGTCCCCTCCAACTGACGCCATATGCTGCACAGGCTTGTCGACCCGTCTTCCCCCTCCAGATCTCGATACAGGCCGATTCCCTCCAGGAGCAAGAAGCTCAGAATCTTATCCGGCTGACCCAACATGCATTGGACGATCTAAACGACTTCTCCGGCCACCACCTGCGCTTGCAGCTTGCGCCACGGAATGCGCCTCTCCCGAGAGACGACTTTCAAACCGCCTTGACGATTCGCCTCAAACCGGGCACCAGCAGCTCGGCCTCACTCAACCAGGAATCTGCTGTTCTCGACATCACTTACCCACCCAATCATGTCCCATCTCTCACTTCGCCATCATCCCCGCTTGCATCTTACATTACGAACGAGCTCCGAGCCACCTTCGCCGAAGAACAGTCCATTATATCATACCTCCTTTCTACATCTTCCATGTCCACCGGCGTGCGTCCCCAAGGCCTGAGTGCTGAGGCTGCCGAGGCTCTCTCTAAGCGGACTACTCGATCTCTGCGATACGCTCCGACGTACCATCTCACCTTTTCTCTATTCACCGATAATGCGCTGCCCAACACCTGGGATATCGAGACTGCATTGGACGAGTACATCAGGCCAATGCTGGAGGTTCTGCGCCCCATCCACAATTTTACTATCGACACACAAGTTCAGCTGTACGCCATACCCGGTGTACAATCCCAAGTACTCAGCAAGGACCACCTATCCTCGTTTATCAACGCTGCCGAGTGGCCGCTGTCTCCATCTATTGGCAAGGCGCCGACGGTCAACTTTGTCATATATATTGGAAACCAGACAGTTGGTCTGGACGCTGAGGCCGAGACATCTCGGTCGTGGATGATTCCCCAATGGGGCACCGTATACTTGCTCTCTCTACCCGACACGGAGAGCCATGTATCGACCGCAGCGCTGAAACAGCCCATGCTTACATTTGGTGGCCATTTGCTGACACTAATGGGCACTCCTCAGTCAGGATCTCTGCCCTTGAGACTCTCCACCCTTGGCCGTATTCGATCTACCGATCTTTTACTTCGTGCATCATCTACCCTAGGGTCCCTTGCGAGATTGTCCCTCGCACTGCCCTCCATCTCGATTCCTCGCAGCGTTGCAGATGGTGTTTCAAAGACGATGCACCACTTGGAGCTGGCTTGCGCCGATCTTGGAGGGCCCGAGGGACTGATGCATGCGAGAATTGCCGAGGAAGAGGCAGAGAGGGCCTTCTTTGAGAAGAGTATGGTGGGACAGTTGTATTTCCCAGATGAGCACAAGATTGCCGTCTATCTCCCATTGCTTGGGCCGGTGTTTGTGCCTCTTATCATGGGGCTAATTAACGAGGTGAAGAAGCTGATAAAGGAGGCTAAGCAGAAAGCACTGGATGCTAGAACTAAGAAACAGCAGTAATAAATTTTAGATCTTTTTTTGATTATATGAAATAGAAGATACCCACGAATCCGGTTCCTTTCCCACTCTCTTTTAATGTCCTCTTTTCGTGATATTATGACGGATTTCTGTGCTGCTTGAATGGCTGCCTTACCTGCAAATCAAAGTGACGTCGCAGCCAAGCTAGCTAGAGCGAAGCTTCCCGGCGAATAACTGGAGCTCCGGCAGTCCCTTGAGCAACCGAAACTTCATCTCCACCACTAAGACAAAGGCCGCTGTAGACCTTATTATCATTCATCCCTGGCGACCGCCGCTCTTTGCCGCCTTGCTCAAAATGCGAAAAAGAAGAAGATGCTGCCCGAGCCTTCCTTCACGCTAACAATCCCCAGCATCCACGACGGCACGGCGCTGGATTGTCGAGTCTATCACCCAGCCTCGTTGTTTACAGGCGCGCGCGGCTCACAGCACGGGGCGGCGCCTTGGAAACGACATGCGGCTGTTTTTGCGCATCCGTATGCTCCGCTGGGCGGGAGTTTCGATGACGGACTTGTAGACATTGTGGCATCACAGCTGCTTCGCAAGGGGTATCTGCTGGGGACGTTCAATTTCAGGTGCGTGTCGGGGAGCTGAACTGAACGAGGCGCTCGCATTTGGGCTAATGAGAGGGAAGAGGTGCTGGGCAATCTGGTGGACGGACATCGTGGACGGCAAAGCCGGAGCGCGACGACTACATCAGCTTTGTTGGCTTCATGGCGCATTACGTTCATCGCCTTGTGTCGTCTGGCGTAACTGAGCAGCAGGCGGCGTCAGTTAGCCAGCGTCCTGTGTTGCTGATGGCAGGCTACTCGTATGGAGCCATGATAACGACACAATTGCCGCCTCTCAATGAGCTTCTGGAACGCTTTGTTTCGCCAGACAGTGGATCCAATGCTGCTCAGATTCGACTGCGGGCTGAAAGCTGGGCTGAGAAGCAGAGCCAAGCTCTGCGGGAAGCTCGCGGTGCTACGATAGGTGGACAGCAAAAAGCCCACGGAACCACGAGCAATCCAGCTACTCCACAGGTACCGGCAAATGGCAAACTCTCGCCGGTCAACGGCTTCACCATACCCCAGCCAGCCTATCTGCTCGTGTCTCCACTGCAGGGTCTCGTTACGCATCTTGCTACCATGTCCTTGGTGCCGTCGGTATTCGCAAGGCGAAGTCCTCCTCCGGAAGATGAAGCTGAGACTAAGATGGCGCAAAATCCCACCCTGGCCGTCTTCGGAGATGGTGATATCTTTGTCCCTGTGGGCAAGCTGCGCTCTTGGGTGGCTCGGCTGAGCTCGCAGCACGCATCACAGTTCCGTGGGCACGAAATTGCGTCGGCTGGTCATTTTTGGGCCGAAGAGGGAGTGTTGTATTCCATGCTAGATTTGGTTTGTGATTTTGCGGGTAAGCTGTACGACAGCAATTAGAGTGATGGGTGCCTATACAAAATGGGAGACTCGGTCATGGATCAATGTTTATATGTTAGATAGACCTGAATGTAACAAATGCCATTATGATAGCAGGCTTCAATTGCTTTTATTAGCGTATTATAATACTGGCCTTCACCTTTTCTAGCCTGTTGTACACATCTCCTATCTTCAGTTCCATGTGCTATACTTTGCCTACATTCATGTCCCTTAACGAGGTGGCATATATCAAAAAATCAAAACCCCTTAAACGCCTCTGCAGATTGCCACGATACTGGCCTATTTTGTGTCCACCGACGTGGCGACCTGGACATTTTGCTCGTCATAGGAGAGTTCACGTACAACTTGGCCGATCAACTCATCATCCATCTGCATAAAAGAAACCCGACCCTTTACAAACCAAAAGCCAACAGCTGCAACAAGCATAACACCAAAAACGGCAATGGCGTAGTTCATGTCGCTAGGAGCTGGGTTGGGACTGCCAGGGAACAGGAAGAAGACGGTTGTGATGACGCAGTATATGATGGAGATGATGTTGAGAGGCACACCGAATCGACCAAGGCGGAATTCCCCTGGAGGCAGCTTATCACGGCCAACAAGGAGGAGGACAATGATGGGCATGCCGTAAGAGACTGTCAAGGCGATGGTGCTGACACTGAGGATGGCCTCGAGCACGGTGTTTGCAAAAAGATACAAGACGCCTATCAGGCTGATGAGGAATGCCTGAAGCCACAAAGCACGGCCAGGAACTTGCCATACCGGGTCGACGTGGGAGAAATAGGCGGCGTAGGGGATTCCGCCATCGCGAGCAAAACTCCATGTAAGACGAGAAGAAGAGGTCAAGACGCTGACTCCCTGGCCCATTCCGTTGAAGATGAAGAGGGCAACCAAGACGGCGGCACCGTTAAGTCCAACAGTCTCCTGGAGCAACTCGACAAATGGCAGACCGGTGGGAGGGTCCAGAACATTGTCGAGGTTCTGAATGGTGAAGAGGCAGATAACCATGAAGATGAAGCCGGAGATGGCACCGCAGATGACGGACAGATACATGGTCTTGGGGCCATTGCGTCGAGGAGCAGGAATCTCTTCAACCATGTGGATGACAGAGTCAAAGGCAGTCAGACCATACGCGCCCTGGACAAGACCCATGAACCAAGTGACACCATCGGGCCAGCCAGTCTGGTTGATCCAGGTACCAAAGACGAACTTGGCTGACTGGTACTGGAGGTCGTGCTTGACGCCGACGGAGATGAGCAGCGCCAGGCCGAGGATGAAGAACAAGCCGACGTACCAGACGCCGACGAAGTTGTTGAACCACGGAAGGAACTTGTCGTTGCGGCAGCCGACGTGGTTGATGGCAGTGAAGAAAACGGTGATGCCGACGTAGACTAGGAACTGCACCCAGCCCTTGCTCGCGCCGTCCCAGTCCGGGTCAAACATGACCTTCATGCCCAGCACGAACTCGGTCATGAAGGCGTTCTGCGAGGCCGTGAGCGTCCACCAGCCAAACGTGTTGATCCAGGCGCACATATACGCTGTGAAACGCCCAAGCGGCGTCTGGCTCAGCTGCGAGATCCAGAATGCCTGGCCTAGAGCAGTGGGCATGCTGCTGCAGAGTTCGCCCATGGACACGGCAACGCAGATGTTGCACAGCGTGACGACCAGGAGGCCCCAGAGCACGGCAATGGGTCCGCCGTTTGTGAGGCCGCTGGACATGCCCTGGGCCTCGGTCGAGTAGGTGCCCAGGACGCAGAAGGCGAGGGCCAGCATGCTCCAGATGTCGAACTTGCGGGTGAGGGCCTGGGAGTGGCCGAGGGCGGCGAGATCGACGGCATCGCGGGTGGCTTGGTCGGCGGTGTCGAGGTCGCCGTCGATGAGCTTGGTGATGTTGGGGTCTTTCTTACTGCTGCTCGCCATTGTGGATTATTGTTGCTATGGGTTGGATTATTTCTCCTCTGTTCCGTTCCTTGTTTCACTTGTTGAGATATTTTGCAGTGATGCAAGAGGAGAGCAGCAGATGTGAATGGTCAGACAGCATTCCCTGGAAGCCTTTGTCTTGTGAGATTGAGCTTCGTCTGATGTCCCAGATTAGGGAACAAGCGATGAGCGGGCGAATTGCAAAGCAGCGAGTCTTCAGCAATTCAAAGGGCTAAAGAGGTTTTATATAACGAGAAGGAGGAAGGACATGAATTGACATCCCGGCGTGTAGGGCGCGTGATGGCGTTTATGTGAGTCTTTCCTCGGTCTTCTCCTCACCTTGGCTTTTAGATCCCGACATGTGTGTGTCCGTGTATGTACGCGACAACCCGGACATGTGTGCACGTATGCCGTCGTTACGCACACATACATTGCTTCCTCTTGTTTACCCCCTGTACCGAGTGCTTATCTCTACAACTTGGAGAGTCCGATCTCAGGCCAAGCGTCAATCTGTGTGCCACACCTCATCCACGCCTCTAGGCGACATGCGGACTAGACGATGATAGCGATGGAGGCAAAAAAGACTCAGTTGCCACGACGTAACCTGACCAAGGCCGATAACGACGGGGACCTGATAGGGCGGCCCTGATAACAGCCGCTTTCCAGCCAACTAACGAGCTTCCAAGATATGCTAAGGGGCGGTGCTAAACCAGGGTTACCCCGGACTTCCCCAGATTTCTTCAAGCCCAGCTCCGAGGCAGCTTTCCCAGAGGCACTGGATCGGCGCGAGCGAGAGGACTTGGAAACCCCCTCCTTTGTGTTCATGGCTTGCTTTAGTGTTGTCGCTTTTGCTGCTTTATGCCCGTTAGCAGTTTAGTGTCATGTCGTTGACTCCGGCGTTTCTCGTTTTGTGAGAGCTTGGTTCCCGGCATTATCGCATTCTCTAAGGACGAAAGCTGAGAAAGCGGCCTCTCCCGGCCGAGTTCGATGGAGCTCGCGTGCTAACGAGGCACAATCCCGCCCTTGACGCCGGCACCCTTGTCGGACCCGGCGAGTTCTCCGCTAGGAAACATATCCAGATGACTTTATCTGCGTATCTCGCATTGTTAGGTCTGATATGTGCCTTGATACCCGTCGATTTCTAATGGGATGCGAAACTTTGCTGATTTGCATCACGTACGTGAATGTTTGCTGTTTATCTATCTGGTGTCCATGTTCAGATTGGGAAACTCGGCGAGAAGAGAGGGGTGGTTGGCTGTGTGCTTATTGAATGCTCGTACTGTACGGCAATGATCGAGTGCTGAAGCAAAGCGGTAACGATGCGGTGAATGTGTCCTGATCCCGCGACTAATAGCCTGGCTCCGAAATGCGCATCGTAATGAATTGATGCTTCCGAAACAAATAGAGCAGCTATCTAAAGCGTTGAACTTACAACTTCGCTTAACCTCCATATTCCCCTTTGGAACCCTGCTATAGGTCCACAGATCGTGGATTCTCCTGTCATCTAATACGCGGGGAAAGGAGAATACCGGGCTCGTGAATTCAATGGTCACTCAGCTGGATTCTCCGTTATCGTTCCTCCAGCGTCATTGTGGCGATGATCCGTTGTAGCGCCCAAAGTGGCGAAGATCCGGTCTGCGGAGCTGATGGAGTTTTGAGGGGGAGATGCTTCCCGTCTTACCGGTCTTGGCAACGTCTTGACAGGGCATCAAAGCTGATGCGCGTAAAGCTGTAAAAACGCCTTTTTCAGTGTCAAATAAAAACACCATTGCCTTCTTGTTAATTAACTTTCGGGTTGTATGTTGTTAGCATATGCACATGTTGTCATTGGACATTCGCCGATGCCAAAACGTTGACCGATAAGACATAGTGGCGATTATAGCGTTGCCTAGCAATAAAGCCAAACAACGTCGTTACTAAATTTGGACAAGTAGGGGGTTGAATTGATTATATGTATAAATCCCACGGCCATGCGGGCGCGAACAGCGGGAGCTGAAGATAGAAGCTCTGCTGGCAAGCGATTTGGGTCCTAGGTAGGGCGTTAATTGCAGCCCGGCATCCGGAATTCGGCGGAAATTGGGCACATGCTGTCAGTCATTCATAAGCTCTAATGATGAACCACCAGGGATTGACTTTGTTGAAAGTGACTCGGGATACGTAATGGAATGAAATACTCGAGCTGAGGATGTAAAGTTTGGACTGATGAGTGCATAGATAGGAAGGAGATTAGTCTCAACTTTGCAAAATACGGTGTAATGATATAACTTCTCCTCGCTATAAAGTGCCACAGATTTAGTATCTTACTACGTGTACATGCATCAGAAAAAGTGGACGGCGATTGTGTGTGAATAAAAGAAGTAGCTTCAGAATTTAGACTGTAAGAATCCATGATACCAGATCTTGTCATGGTATCCAACAGCATTTCCATTGATACGTTTGTTCAATTTGTAACTGATACGGATGTGTACATGGACTGTCGGTAGCCATGATACTTCAGCCCTGTTACCAAGTGGGAGCCGTGCAAACGTATTACGATGTTAGACTATTGTCAATCAAAGTATTACTTGTAATGTATTTGGATTCTGGTGTGGAGTAGCAGTTGATGCTGGCCTAGCCATCCCCATATTGCTTATCATTCATTTTAGAGCACAGTGCTTTGTGAAACGGAATTAGCCCCTTATACGAATAGGCTAATCAAATTCTCAATAGTTTCTATGGGTGAGCACGGCACATGTTATCCCTCGGGGGAAAGGAGGCTTGTAGGAGCCCGCTTGGAGTCGCCATATTCTCTCGGCATAGTTGGAATCGTAAGTGTCGAAGATCTGACGAATGCCTATAGGTCCCACTCTCGCTGATATCAGCTTTATTGACTGAAGGATTACAATAATACTGTTTCCCTGCTTGGCCGTGCCAGAGCTTTAGGCCACAGAGATCCTAGTCACTCTCGATATTACAGCAGTAACTTGGCGCACGCATGCCTTGGATTAAGCCAATAATGGAAAGAGTTTGTAATGTAGATATACTATCTCCATTGTCATGGAGACTCATGGGCTATATTGACATTGTCTGATAGTTTGTTCTGACCAGAACCCTCACGATGTTACTCCAGGTAGAGGAGCAATGCTGCTTGAAGTTGTATTTTCGTGTCCCTTTCCGAAACGCAGATGTTGGACATTTGTGAGCAATTAGGCGCAAAGAAACCTGCTAGATATTTATTGTAATACTTTTGGCAGAGCCTACATACATAAGTCTGTTCAGTCTGCTGATCTAGCCAGAGGGAAGCTATGCCACTGATTCCTTCGATCACCCGGACTTCCTGGCCATATATCCATCCAGACAGCTCTTAGGTCGTCGCGCTCAAAAGAATCATCCTTCAGCACGTCAAGATCATCGACGAAAGATTTGATTTTTTGAACGACAGGACCTCCGTCCCGAGAATTCCTTCTCACAAACCAGCTTTGCCCGACCCATTCTAGAGGGATCCTCTGTTCACTGTCGATCGAGAACCTTCCGAAGTTGCCAGCGCCATAAATTTTTAACTTTAAATCGATCATAGAACTTCCGCCGGTGTACTCTCTCATTGTAGCTATTGTTTCAAATATCGATTGTGCAAGGGCCGAATCCATTGCGTTATTGATGAGCGCCGCGCGGAAAGCGTCAACGGGTAGCTCCCAGCCACCCATGTCAATAAATGATTCTCCATGCCTTACTTCGGGAGGATTGATGACAGAGCAGTCAAGCACCAGAGAGATACGTTTCAATCGTGGAAGCCGGCCAAGAGTTTGATAGATGCCAACTTCATCTCCATCCCCATGGGTTCGAGGTATACGTAGCTCCGGTTTCTCCAGGTTCAAACATATGTTTGAAAGTAGACTTATCCTGTCGCAGGAGAGCACAAGACCCTCGATATCATCGTAGTACTCCGAGGCTGGGACAAAACGAAGCTCTCGAAGAGAGTTACCGTGTTGATCAATCACTGCACACCAGGCGGTGTCTCCTATTTCTCCTTTCAATTCGAGGCTTTGCAGTGGCTTTATAGCTCGTAATAGTCGACATACGGACGCATCGGCAGCCATTGCTTGCTCTAGATTCCATGCTTCAGGCATTAAAGAGAGAGAAGAGAGAGAAGATAGTCCACCATCCTCTCCAATAATGGCCAGGGCTTGTACTGCATCAATAGTAGTAATTCCCAAATGCAGTTTAGTTAGCTTGTTAAAGTCGGTATAGTCAGATCACTGATGAATGTGTCGCTCAGAAGCTCCGTCAAGGAACAAAGTGTGCAAACTCCCCTTTCCCTGCACTGTATCGCGTACTTGGCCCTCGTTGATGAAGAAACCCTTCCATTTCGGCTTACCGGACTGCCTGTGTAGCCGGATGGCATGGGCTAACTCAATGGTATCACCTACCGGTTGACCAGCCATGCCAACATATGAGAGCCTTGGCGCTAAACCTTTTACCATCTGCATCACGGCTTCTTCATTGTATCCAATATATCTATCTCCATCATAAGAAGAGTATTTCATGTAAATTCCATAAAGGTTCGGAGATGTAGCAAGGGCATACTCCTCTGGCGAGACATCGTGATATTCGTTACTTGGCTGATAGAGACTTCGAAGACTGAAGGTATAAACATGTAGTCTGGCATCTGGGCAATTGTCGCGTAGCGCTGAAAGCAAGCGCATCGGTACCTGGCTTATGCAATCATATACAAGATCAGATAAACAACTCAGTCGGCTGATGAATTTCGCTATTCCGACCCAGGTTTCTTGATACTTGATCTTCATCCGTAATACCTCCTCTGGCACTTGTGGTAGTTCGTTTGACTCATAGAGAGGGGATCTCAATCTTGAGGGACAAAGAGGACTGGGCTTCGCAAAAAAGCTTTCCTCTTCAATCTCTTCACGCCCGATTTCGTTTTGTTCTGAGTCCTCTTCATAGGCCCGAGAACCACTAATCCTGAGATTGCGAACAAAGCTAAGGCGGATATTCATATCTGGCGTCTCATCTATAAAAGTGAAACTTTCGTCTGGACTCAGTCGGTCGATCTTGAGATGGATACGCCGGAGACGGAACCTCATGGCCGCAGAGGCGCACTGTCGATTCGCCAACGAAAAGGCGAGTAGGCCGCCGTCTTTTGACGAATTCAGCCAGGAACATATACCTTCCAAAAGATGAAAAGGCAGCCTTTCTAATGGCGCCGAGAGGGTCCCGGTTGCCATCCTGGAATCTTTGCTAACTTCCTTTCTCTTTAGTTATGAGGTGAAGACAGGAAGATTGGAGGGCGGTGTCAATATCGGTGGGTAAACTTTGATTTCGACGAAAGCTAAAGCACGGCGTGTTGTTCAAGGCTGGTCAGTGTTACCGTTTTATCAGCAGATGTCTGATCGCACGATTGAGTAGATTCGGTATATCGGTTACTGTCGCGTTGTCAATTTCCTTGTGTAATTAATGGCAAGGAGATGATAACGCGAAAAAGCAAAAGTGGAAGAACGAATCATATTTACCCAAAAAAATGGTAAACTTCACGTGTTTTTGCTGTTGCGAGGCCCGATTGGGCCAAGTCGTGTAATGAAGGTCCAATACCAACATGCCACAGAGGCAGCTGCAGTAACGATCACATGCACGACTACTTAAATTTGAAGTGGATATAGGTAGGCATATCGACTGGTACATCTATCTGGCTGGTCTCCCTGTCGAGGTCATGCTCATCAACAGCTCGTTCTCATGGTATTTTATCTCCTGTGGGGCATTTCCATAGCACAACGGACATGAGTTTCATGAAAGACTCTAGCTTTAAGAAGGCTCAATAGGTCCTGACGATGACTGAATATACACTCCATGAAGGGTCGCCAAGCACGTCTCTCGTAACTGTCGCTGTTCGGATCAAATTGGAAGGATATGTCCCCTGGTTCCCAATTGTCCAGCAGATCTTCCCTATGAACGCATATTACAATGAAGAATGTTGATATTTGAAGGAGGGTAAAACTAGTGAAATAATTTTTGGCTAGATACAGATGGAACTTTATTCTCTCTGGTAGAATTTTCGTAGCTAGTGTATTGAATGAATGGATTACTTTATATCGAGTGCGCCAGAGAGTTCTCATTATATGGATATGTGCTTTTTAGATGCAAATGTGTTATACCGGTGAAATAATGGTTCTTGACTGGAATAGGCCCTTCAATCATTCCCTTTCCCCCTACAAGTCGCCACGTTGTAAAGTAGGATACTCAAAGTTTGCTGGATTGGATATCCCATATTTGCTATAGTTCCACCTTCAGAAGGTCTATAACCGCCTAAGAGGGTAGGATTGATGTATCCTATATGACACGAGGGTGCCGGGTAAAACATCCGTAATCAGCACCTATATAAGATAGAGCTATGATCCTAACCTATTGGCTCTAAGCTGTTGAAATTGCAAAAAGGCCGAAAGCCAGAGGGCTGTTGAGGCTTATATATCATTAATTTCATCATAAGCCTCACGTGGTCTTACATGTCTCACATGTCTCACATCGACGACTCAAGATACATACCGTTAACACTTCAGGTGACACTCTAGAACAAACAGTTGTGTACAAACTTGACAAGTGCCGCGGCTCCCCTAAAAGATGAATAGCCTATTGGTACCCCGAATTGGAAGTGAATCTAATGCCGGCATAGCCCAACGCTCGGCGATCGCGCATGCTAATTTGCATGCACAGTAGTAATCATCGTGAATAGTGCGATCGATTTGCGACTCTTGGCAGATTGCCGATATGAGAGGGTTACATTGTTTACCACATTACCCACGTTGCAATCATGCAAACGTGCACATCCGCATCTGCAACTACTGTATGTCAGCACGGCAAAGACGAACGAACTCCACATGCACTGTCCACTTCAAGCTAAGTTTACACCATCTGCTTACATAGAAAGACTTGAAAGCTCCAAAAACATATAGTCGTATATGAATACTATAACTGGCATATGGGATATGGTTTGCTTCATTTAATAAACAGTTGGTGTATATGTTGAGGATTGCCACACGTAGGTAGTTGCTAATGTTCAACTTTGCGGCTGTGCGTTGTGGCGCTCGTCTTTATCTTGGCTTCTGCACTAAAAGAAGCATAACATGCAAGCATCAAAACTTTGTTATTTGACTGTATTGACGGCGCAATATCTCACAAGGTATTGGCTCTATAGGACAATCGTTTTTCTTGGAGTAAAATTTGAGTCTGCGGCTTCAATTTCTCGCTGAGTTGAATCGGTCGCTTTTTATCCCTCAAAGGTCTCAAATCCTTGATTATCGTTGTACCTAAATCGCTCAGCCCAGTTTCTCAACTTTCCAAAATCGCGACACTGGTGCGGAGTGCCGTATCCGTCGACACCTTTTCTATCCGCTGCGCTGTCAAATTTTGGTTTGAATGGCTCCAACGTCGAGTCGGATGTGCAGAGGATACTCTCTCTAAGGTAATCCAAGCAGTGGAGTGAGTGGGAGTGCGGCTCGGTGATGTTTCCCTCTAAAGCTTCGAAGAGGTCGGATTGAAGAAGATACTGCATCAAGATCCGTTAGATGCAAGGCAAAAGCAAATGATGAAGCAAAGTCGGTGGGAGGTTGTTCACATACTAGACAGTGCAGCTGGTGAAATACTGCGACAGAGAATCGTCCGGTGCCATCTGTGCTGGTGCCCTGGACATAGTCGGGCACTGGGCCTGCTGCCTCTATGTTTTTTATTGAGACATATCCCTTTCCCTCTAAATTACCACACGTCAGAAAACTGAGCTGTATTATTTCAGATGGGAATGTTGAAGGGCGTACTTGGAAACAGGTTCATCCACGCTTCGTGGCCTTTCTCCGTGCGAGGGTCATCATATACCCTCTCAGGCATGAAGGCTTTATGAATCGGTCCAACTATGATCTCTCGTTAATTGGAAAGCAAGAAAAGAGAGCAAAATGAAGAGAATTCTGCCTACGAGGGGGGATGTCCAGTCCTGGAAGTAATTTTACATCCTCCCTTAGCCCAGCTCTGGGCTGTACACTTTTCCATACAATGAGGCTCACTGCGACGGAAATCACTGAACTCAGCAAAGCAACGAGAGAAAGCTGTATAATCCCAAGATTCGCCCTTCTCTTCTCCATCATTGGTAGAGAGAGACTCTCGCTCTTAGAGCCCAACAGCGTGTCTTCATCTTCAGAGCCAGAGCTTCGCCGAGACATAATGCATTACTTGGAATCAAAAGATCAAAAGCAACTCCCAAGATAGGGATCCAGCTATTGTTTGTCTGGAGTTATCCACCAAAACAGAGTCGGGCGACATCATGTAAGCGATTAATTTAGTCGAGCTGTGCTAAGAAAGGAAGTTGGCTGTGCACAATGAGGGGCATTCGCGAACTACTGCTGGCATAAGACAAACTATGTGTGCTTGGCGGGGACTTGACCCTGCAGATGCAAAAGTCCTGATGATGATAAACGCCTTGCAAGTGAGCATTTACCAGAATAAGAGCCAATAAGTGGCGACAATGACGTTTTAAATGGCTCGATCAACGAAGTCTTGTGCTGTTCCTAGTTTGTCTTGCATACTGTATGTCGTGTAGATTTAGCCGATGAAGGTTAAGTCGGCACAAACCTAGCAAAAGTTCATCTAAACCACACCCACAATAACCGTTGACGGTTAAGATGTCTGTGTTGATGCCCACTGGGAACCCACAACCTTGCATAATCTTACAGCCCATCCATGTAATATAAAAACACTTATCGTCTATTATTTGTGAGCCATCCTCGTACTACACACAACTAGTGTCTTTCTAAGGCGCGATATCTAGGATCTTATCGCCCTCTTGCAATTCCACCACCATGTCCTCGAGACTTTGGTGTGCATGAACCCACTCTCTTACTGGTTCCCAGTCGATGCACTTGTGGTTCGTGTTGAAATCCACAAAAGAACCATCTATGCCCTGAGCCGGGTCTTTTACCCAATACTGTCCGAAAACGCCCAAATCCGGCTTACACTGGATGACCTGCCGGAGCATGTCGACGCAGTGTGTGACATGTTTGGCAATTGTCTCCTCATCCTTTCCAAGGTGGTGTCCGGGGTAGTCGGGGTCTGAGTAATAGTTGTAATTGAAATAGAGGGATTTGCGGATCAGGTTGAGGCAGTGCAAATGGTGATTGAACTCGAAGAGAACCGGGAAGTCTCCCGATGGCGTTTTAAGATGGTCTGAGCTGATCCCAGCACGTTCTGCCTGGGACTTGGACAGTATGAGCGGTTTTGAAGTGGTACCAAGACCTTCCCATGCTTCGTCCACCTCTGGAGAGGGAGCAAGGCGGAAGACAGAAGTTGAGTTGGCGAGAAATGTCCCATCATAAAGAACAGAGTGATAATGAATTGGGATATCAATGGGAGTAGCTGGAGAACAGTTAATCGGTCTGTATTCACAAGAATGTTGGAAAAGGAGAAACTCAAACTCACGATTTTCTTGCGTATGCCGTACGCACATTGCGTCGAGGTAGGAAGCCCTGTGGATGTAGAGATATGTCAAGACATGAGAGCCCAAGGATACTCCGAGTAAGCTGATTAAACAATACAAGAGTATGTTCTGCCGTCGATGACTTCTGGTCTGCTCTTTTGCGAGTATTGAGCTCCCTAAGAAAGGGTCTGACTCTTCAATAGAGCTTTCGTCTCTTTCCCTCTGCATATCCATTTCTGTTGACTTGTAACTGGTTACAGTAGCAATCTGAGTTGCTTTGTTTTTTCTTGAGTCGTACATTAAGAAGCTTCAAGCTTACCTTTCTTTGCGAACAACATAATGTGACTGATATGGGTTAGCTCATTCTCATTGTTGTTCTCGGTTATCGTCGCCTATGTATGTAAACCCCCGTCATGATATCAATGATTATTTTAGCTGCATTGTCGTGCAGGTATTGGGACCACACTCGTATCTACAAGTATGGAATCCACGACATCTCACCTTCCATTTGCAGAATATCAAGACCTTTTTCGGACAAACCTTCGGAATCACGGAATTATTATGCCTTGGCACGATCAACTACTCGGACAAATTGTAAGCCTGCTAATAGGCATCAGAACTAGCTTGTATTCATTCACAAAGCAGGTTCCGTTGGGGACTGTCCCCCACTGACTAATGAGCCACATTTGTCGCACACGACACTGTGATGGTGGGATTAAATATCTTAAAGGAGGAAGAATGCCACCAGGTTCGATTTCTTTTACTTGTGTTTAATAATTATCCCACCAAAGATATTTGAGTCCACTACCAATATTACTACCAAAATGAAGACATCTCTTTTCCTCAGCTGCATTACCCTTGCGGTCACAGTGGCTGCCGCTCCTGTCCCTGTAAGTCATTCACTCCTGGTCCTCTCTCTTCTCAAAGCTAACTACTTGCTCTTTTCCAGGGATCGGACGCTGTTGCTAGCTACGAATGGAAGAAGGACACCCAGAGTACTGATGGTATTGCCAGTTATGAATGGAAAAAGGATACTCAAAGCACGGACGGCGTTGCCAGTTATGAATGGAAGAAGGACACCCAGAGTACTGATGGTGTTGCCAGTTACGAATGGAAGAGGGGTACCCAGAACACTGATGGCGTTGCCAGCTATGAATGGAAGAAAGACACTCAGAGCACGGATGGCGTTGCCAGCTATGAATGGAAAAAGGAGTAGAAGAGATACTATCAACGTTATGGAATACAATTAACAGGTTACTATTGTAGTTATCAAAGTAACCTTCTGTAAACTCAAGTTATCAAATCCCCGCTAAAGAGGGCAAAATCTCGCTCAATCCAGAATTCTCTTCCATTCTGCTCATATCTTAAGATCTTATAATTTGATTTCTTTCAACGCACAATTCGCTACCGCATGCTTCATTAGGTGTTAAAATGGCTATTGAAGCATCACCTGGCCAATTACAGAGCAACAGGAAAATAACTGCTGACTCTTCGCATTCTGTTTCCTTGGTTCCGTAACGTGTCTTGGCAAGTCTTTTGGCTGTCAAGTATCACAGAGGTTCGTATTCAAGTAGTGGCCGTCCCCTGCCCAAATCTGGTTCTAGTATCTTTCTATATTCAGAACTGATATCAAGGTTGCTAACGAAAGTTCTCTACCTCAACAGGATAAACTGCCCCCAACCCCACCGCGCGGTGACAATGCATCGACCAGGATGACTCCCAGGCTTGATTAGCCACTGCGTTTATTAAGCCACCATGCTACTGTAATAGGCCGGATTAATTTCCTAAACCATCGGTATCCGATATCCTGACAACCAGCTTAGTTGCGCTAACTGAACCATTCTTCAAGCGTGTAAGTGCGCCCTCCAGCCCGTGAAGCCCACCGGGCACTACTTCATGCGGATGCGCGCTGAACCAGCCTTCATTCAATCCTCTACCGATGAATCTCAGCATGACAGTTGTAAAGTGCGTGATTCCTACGCTTTGTCCCTTAGAGTTAGGCCAGGTAAGCGCGTCATTACCAAGGTCTACCTGGCTTGTTTCCACTGCTGAGTTGATAAGCGAAACCCCCTCCGGAATTAGACCAGATGGAATGTTCAGTACAACGGCAACCTTTCCAATAGTTTTGTTTATCACTCGAGAGATGTTTAGAACCGTTTCCTTTTCGCTTACAGCATCAAAAGCAAATTCTGGCTCTTCGTTGCCTAAAGCTGCCTTGATCGCTTCGACCACAGCATCGTCTCCTTGACGATAGTCAACAATTGTGTCACCGCGAGACCTGTCGATGAGTGTCTCTACAAAATCGATTCCCCTTCCGGCAATTGCGATGATAGGATGAATATTCGAGAGGACGGCTAGTTTCACAGCGTAGGCACCTACAGCCGATGCCGCGCCGTAAATGATGAATGGCTGAGGTTTATCACAAGGATCCCAAGGGTAAGGGAGTGGAAGACGACGATATAGGCCCAAACAAGAGGTAATGGCTGCCAGTGGAACAGTTGCAGCTTCTGCTCAGTCAAGTCAGCGGTTTGTGCATCTCCTCCGAAAAGTGACTTTGAGACTAACCTTCGAAAGAGACATGGTCGGCCAGATGAAATGCCATGCTCTCCCAAGCAATAGCATACTCTGCCCAGCCCCCTCCCGGGCTCAATGTTTTATGGAAGACGCCCACTCGGTCACCGATTTTGAACTCGGTTACGCCCTGGCCAACTGTATGAACAACTCCTGAAAAGTCGTCGCCCTCGTTGGAATAAGTGACTCCGGGTACGGCACCATCTGCTACTTTCCAGTCCTTGGGGTTCAGTCCAACACAAGCCACCTTGACAATCATCTGAAAGGGTCCCGCAGTTGGTATAGGGGACTCGACAACATCAACCTTGGGCCCTGGATATGCGAGTGCCTCCTTCATTCTGGATATTGGCACAGAAATTGACAGACAGGATATCCTTTATTCGCAGCAGAGAGTTGATTCTCTTCTTGGCTAGCAAATATCACCAGAGGCTCTTTTTTGAGTATATGCTCTCAAAAAGAGTATTGCATCATTTATTTTCATGATCATAAAATATTTATATAAAGTCCAATGCGGACTTTAACAGACAACGCCATCTGTCTCATACATCATTGAATCGCGACAGAGCGGACATGGGAATAACTATTATTAATATTTCCGTAATTGGGAATTTCCATGGGAATATTGGTTAAGTACCCCTTGAAGCTTAGAAATCGTTAATATCAAGAACCTACCCATCCTTTCTCTTTCTGGCCGTGAAGTTCCAGTAGTGCCCATATCTATGCTCAAGAAGGCAATTCATGAGTGGGGCATGGAGTTGCAACACTTCTTAGAAAGGCATTACATAGAAGATTCCACCTCCGCAAGTCCGCATCACAATCCTAAACACACGCAAGTAAATGTATGAAGAAAATAAGCTTAAAGAGCATACTCCCCGTGGTTCATGAATGAATGGGTTACTTGTTGTTTCGGGTCAGCAGCTTTAAGTTTTAACCACTGCAATACTACTAATGGCAACGACATAATGGAAGACTAGTCTGGGTCCAAGTATCGAATATAAATATGTCCTAGGCAACAAACCTTTCAAACCTGCTGCGTCAGAAAAACGAACATTTCTACAAGTAAGCCAAACTTTTGTGCCAGAGTAACCAGACTTGGCTCGCTATATGTGGCTACGTTTACGTGTAACACCAAGAATGCTAGGGGAATACTGTCAGAGACGTACGTCGTAGGTCGGAGGACGTATCATAAGATCACAACAGAATGTCCCACTCACTTCACATTTGAAGATGTCGGTCACGTACCCGGCGGTAATACGTGCGTCTGTGAGATTCACGGAGCCCTCGATGATGTTAAGACTCGAGATGGACAACCGAAGTCCCCGATCGCCAAATTTCCACATGCCACTACACCCGGTGAGATTGATAGGTCGGATGTGCATAACCTCTAGGATGCTCCCCAGCGATGGGACGTCCGTTTCTTAGAAAAGCCACCGCATCGCCGAGATTCAGCGCGGTAGTAATGCTTGCTAACGAGACTCTTGGTCCAAAGGCGCTTATCTGCAGGCTGTAGATATAGTCGCTTTTGTATGACATTGGCACCGCCGACGAACAAACTTTTAGCCTCGAAATAGGACTGGCTGGCGTCGTTGCATCCATCTAGATGTCCAAAGTAGTTTGGACGCCAAGCTGTATTTGCTCAGATACCAACGGAATAAAAAGTTTCCTCTCAAGGGGTTCTAGCTCGAATTGGTTTCGGGAAGCCAGTAGGAAGATGTTTCTTCCACGTCTCTGGAGTCGTGTTCGCAAAACTGCTAGCGTTTTGTAGTGATCAAAATCTCCATACTGTTTGGTAACTATGATTGCACTGCTGTCTAATGCCAAAGATGATAACGAAGATGACGTATTTCCAGTCATAAGGACCGTTTGTGGCCTCCACGAACAGCCCGCTCCCAACATCTCTTCCATCGATGTGAGAGCTGTACCGGGCCCTGGATGGCAGCGGAATGATGTTGCACTCGTCGCAGCATCAACACGTGCCATCACGACTAACATCATTGTCCTGTTCTCAGCTCGTAAAGGCGCTGAGTCTTGGATGAGCGACTGCGAAGACTTCATTTTATGGTCCTGCAGCAGAATATCAACATTCTCAAAGTGGAGACACAGATTTATAGGGGCCTACAAGTCTAGCCGCGGGTTGATCTTACACACAATATCACTATATTAACGATTTACACGCGAGTACAGCTTTTCACCGGGTTGGTGAATATTACCAACAAAGCCGAGACATCGGGCTCAACCATCTCATCCCCACCTTTAAGCATTACAGGCGGTAACATCTCACTGACAGGTCTCGACTTCGTGATAGAAGGAGAGATTATTGTCCATAGCAATGCAGCAGCTGAAATATTGCTAAAAGCAGTCGTGTCATAATCTTTTCTTATGTGGGACTTGATAAACTTAGGATAAACGGACAAAGTGGCCTAGTATTGATGCTAAGTACTATCTAAATAATAACAACGCCTGCCCCTCAGCCAGAGTATTCATACATGTAAGCTGTGGATTAGGAACATAACGCCATTTATCTGCACCAGAACCTCAATTCTGTGACCCCATTGCCTATCTCCGAGTTAAGGTAGAGAGCATCGCTGCAGGAAACATCTTTGCTTATAACAGCATCCCAAAGATGCTGTCGGACAACTTTCCAAGCTCCCGGCGTACTTGAAGAATATCTACACTTACAACCCCACCCGTCGTTGAAATGGCCTACGTCGGCTGCAGATTTCAAGCCCCATTGACCAGCCATTTTGTCCATGCACTCTTGATACCAGCCATCGTGATGTGCACCCGCAATATGGGCGTTGCAACGGACCATTACCACAGGTCCGAAGATCGCTGCGGCTTTGGAGGGCGTGGTTGCGTTAACATGAGTAGCAACATCCACGGCAAGACTGTGGGCGCCGCCCCAGGTGCCAAATAAAGCCAGAGCAGGTAGTCCAATAGGTGTACGCATCTTATCTCTTAATCATAAGATCCTGTACATTAGCTTTCCTGTTTTGCTTGATTGTCATTGTTATCGGGGCACTGCAGGACAACATACCAATGAACGCAATTCAAGTGACTGAGAAGACGCAAGATAGCCCTCCTTTAATTTCTAAGGGGACAAAACCGGAAAAGTAGAATCAGGATGTTCTATATTGATGAGAAAAGACAGACTTGGTGAATGACCTCTTTCATTCTCCGGCCAATTAAGCATTTTATAGAGGATGTGAGGATCAGCAAAACTATTACAGCTAGGTCAATGAAGGGCTATGCAGGATCAAAAAGTAGGATCAATGCTTAGCTCGTTTCAAGCGTTGATGACTGTTTGTTTGTTTGTTTGCTTGTTGTCTATGAAGGATCCCGCTGGCAAAGTAATGAAATCCCTTATGGGCAAAGAGGTTGGTCCGAACTAGCTATGTAAGTATTGCTGCTCTCTATAATACAAACGGGGAGCTATTCTAGGCACGCCGGCTGATATAGGAAATAACAAAAGAAATCTAGGAAAACCTTTCTGCGTTATGAGAAGGGGAAAAAACCTCTAGTAATAAATGCCTCTAAAACATTAGCGTAATCCCTAAAGAATACGAACCCTTTTCTCTTTCTTTCAGGTTATTACTATGGCATAAATAACGTAAATTGGCTGGTAGGCATATTGTTGTAACCTATCTTCTGGTAGCCGATTTACCCAAGCTGGTGAACCTGTATCGAGTTAGTTGCTAGTGTGACTGTTTGTTTGAAAGCAGCGGGCCGGAGCCCAGGCTGAAGCTGTAAATAGCCGCGGTATAGCGTACGCAGCCGGAGGATAAGCGCATAATTACAGGTAGGTTGGATTGTAGCGATAGCTATAACTAGCTAGCAGAAAGCTGACGGAGGCGTAAGATTAAGGAGGTTGTGAGGTTATGGTTGGAGGAGGCCACAGCCGGAGCTGGGTTTTGGGGGAAGCCAGGTTTTTTGAGGGAGAAGAGGCTTATAGAAAGGATTATGCCCTTTCTTTTGATATGCTCACTGGTATTTAAAAAAAGGATTGAGCATCCTTTAGTTGAGCGAAGGAGGTAATAAACTCTTAAAATTTCCTCCTTTTGTGTGCTATTAAAGATTACCAAGCTTTGCCAGCGATTTTTTGGCATAAGAGCCCTAGAAACACCCCGCTTCTACTACTGCTGCACTAACAGCTGCAAAAACGGGGAGATGTTCACAGGGGAGAGTTGGTAATAACTGAATAAAATACATATGCAAGGCATAGCCAAGGGAGTTCAGGATCAAAGCCAAAATGCGCAAAACGGCCGGAGGCATAAGGTTCAATGAAACACAACAGAACAGCTGGCTTATAGCATACGACTTATCGTTCAATGGCTCAACCAATGTACAAAGCTAGTTGATCCATTTGGTTATAAAGGCAGCGACAATCCTACCCAAAGTGGATAGCACATTCCTTTCAAGATCAAACAACTCAACGAAACAAAGCAACAGGCACCAAGAACCCCAAACCTAAATGATAGTCATCAAAATGGGCGATAAAGCTAGTTGAAGGCAGCAAAACAGCAGCAAAACAAGCTTCTTTCATACTGGTATATTCGACTTACTATCGCCAGATCTAACTCTCATCATCTTAATAAGTTCTGCTGCTCGTTTCAACTTCTTCCCCTAAATGTACTCACAATTTTGTCATTGTTAGACTATACGTATACTTGATGTTAAAACTGACTCTGTTTGTTTTTCGGAAAGCTACATACTTTCTGCGCACTGCCGTTTGGTGCTATCCGCGGGTACATACGATGAGCCAGGAGTGTTGGTTGAAATAAACTGCGGGCGTATCCCGTTTGCGCCTAGTCTAGGCGGATCTATACCTCTCAACGGCGAAAGATTAAGCATTTATGAAACATCGGGCGAATGCACGATCCTTTCGGCAACGATACAATAGGAATTCCCTCGCTAGATGTGGAGAAAATGACTGATTGAAATCTGTTGGCATCGGCAGGCGACAGGCCGCATTGGCCATCCAGTGACCCCGTTCACGCCTCTCTGATCCTGCGCTCTTATTATTCTGACTCTTGTTCTCGGCCTCGCCGATGACAACCTTGATAAGCCGTGCGGTGTCTGTCTAGTGGGTAAAATCATGCCATGCCACCCTTGGACTCTCATCATTTTAACCTTCTTCTCGTTCTAGTCCTCCCAAGCCCGATTTTTGATGCCATTTCATTCTCATTATCCACGTCTCAACACAACATCCTCCTCGATTTGTTTCCATGGCTTCCAGCCAGGACGGGGAGCAAGCCCCCCTTCTACAAGCAACTCATCATGTCGACAATGCCAGAGAACCTGCGGTCGGCAATGCTCACCTATCGCGTCTGTCTATCATTTTTAAATGTCTTCTGTTGCTTGCCTTTGTTGGTATTGGAAAGGCACTCATTATAACACCAATAAACCATATACAAGAAGACATTCTATGTCACAAGCCCAACATGAAAGACACAAATGTTCCAGGCAACTCCGATTGTGAGCACGACAAATTGTCTCTACTTCGAGGCTGGACAGCCGCTTTCGAAATTATCATGAGTTTTATGACCGCTGCGCCATATGGTATGGCGGCTGATATATATGGACGTAAACGAATACTCCAATTGTCCATTGCGGGTATCATCTTGGCGCAGGCATTTGACGCGGTTATATGTGCGTAGATATAAATCACGACATATTCGAATACGTTTGAACTGATTGGTTGACCGACCTTATCACACTGCAGGTGGTTTCCCAGAAACGTTCCCAATCCACTTAATGGGGTTGAAAGGAGTTTGGGCTCTAATAGGGGGCGGTAGCACCGTTCTTTCGGCCATGATATTCACCATAGCAAGCGACATCAGTCTAGATACGCAAAAGTAAGCTGACAATACTTTCCTCGTTCACGTTTCGCACAAATTGTTAACATCCTTGGCTGGTCAACTACGTTCTTTTATCTTACGGGTGCTGCAATATCGAGCGAACTGGTCTCCTACTGGGTATTGATGGTTCTTACATACGCAGGCAGCTGGATTTCCATATACGCCGGGTTTGGTTGCCTAGTCGCGTCGTTCTGGATCGCGCTCTCCTTGCCAGAGACTCTCGTACCAGAACTGAGGAGTGGTGGCCCAATGATGGCATCTGAGACACGAATCCCTTCGTCTCACAACTTTCGACTCACGCAGTTCCTAACATCAATGGTCGGGCTAACCCATCGCGCTTTCACCGAGAACAAGAAGCTGGGCATGCTTATAGTTTTCTGTGTATTCACCACGACGGGCAGCAACTTACCACTCCTCGTCACTGGGCGATCTTCTGAGCGACCCGGCTCCTCAGACATACTAGTTAGTTTAGCATGTTCTGCGAAAGGCGTCTTTGAACTATCTTCCATTGCTGACCACCTGACATAGATACTTTTGTCGATAGTTTGGTCCAACATGTTGAAAGTCATTTTGTTGACCATGATACTACCGCTAACCAGTCGCTTCCTGATCGAGAAGCTACGCTTTAGCCCACTGAGAAAGGACATATTCATCTCACGGGCTAGCATTATAGCTCTTGTGACCGGATCTTTGGTCATAGCAATTGCAAAACAGGCCCAGTCAACCATAGTAATCGCAGCCATCTACGTCTATGCTCTTGGATGTGGCTATAATCCAGCTATGTATAGCCTCCTTGGCCTTTTATCCGGGGGCCATCACATTGGCATACTGTATGCAACTATTGGCGCAATGCAAAGTATAGGTACCTTTATTGCCGGCCTAATGTTTGGGGTCTCGGTTCAAATTGTGCCATTTATTTTCACATTTCTGTTCCTGGCTGTTGTTGTGGGTTCCTTATTTTGTTTGAAGTTGGAAGAGAGAGAGGAAGGAGAGCCAATTTGGATTGATATGGATTATCTTGAATCACACAGCAATTGGTAAAATAGCTCTTAGGGATTAGGTTAGAGTCAGAAAACTTAACGATTTAGTCAGAATCTTGTAGCTCTGAATTTGGAGTCTTCGATAACTTGCAACCAAATTACACAAATATCTATTCAGATAACTTGGTTTCATCCAAGCTTCCATTTTATCCTTCAGTCTCGTCTCTTCCCCGTGCTCTCACATTCCAAGCAATTCTGGTGCCACTTTATGCAACCCGATTCTCGCTTAGGCTCAGTTTCTCAAAGAAGCTTCTTACACACCCTTCTGCCTCATCGTAGCCTATGTTGCTACCGATCTTACCTTTCTTACTGTTCACCGGCAGAGAATTTTGGTGCAAACTATACACAGTATGTCGCTGACGCTGTCGCCCCCCTCCCCCATCCCCCCCCACAAAGGTCACATATCTGACTTAGAAATATGTAGGAAGTAGCATCTGTAGCTTTGCACTAATATAGCATCGCCATCAGGGTTGATCAACTCGGTGGACGATGGAATGTTGACCAACCCCTCCCAACCTCGAAAATATCCCACCAGGAGCGAATAAGATCTAACGAAGCAATCGCATTGTACAGCAAATACTGCACGGGCCTCATTCCTCTGTGACCTCATACTTCACGCCCCCGCCTCTCTGGACTGGTGAAAGGAACCAGCCACTTCTCCCAAGTCGATTCCCTCAACTTTTCATACCGGTTCGGCCTGTTTCGGTGTTTCCTCCATATCCCATCTTGAAGCGATCCAGACTGCTCTCTCCTCACTCTTCCAGTGACTGCATGAAGTTCCTTCAGTTCCTCTCATTGCTCTGGAGCTGTGGCCGGCCGATCAGCGCGAAATTTCGGAAACAACAGCTGCTTTACAATCGAGACATTTGTCCTCTGCCTCAGTGTTTCTGCCCTAGCGGTTGCATTTCATTGTCACACGAAGAATCCATGGCGCTAAAACCATTCAACCTCCTTACCTCGACCGCTCACGACATTCAACAACTGTTCGACCGTTCTGAACTCACTGCAGAGTCGCTGGTAAAGCAAGTCTTGGATCAGGTCAACAAACACAATAGACATGGACTTAATCTGGGTGCCTTGATCGCTGCTGCCCCAAGACAGCAGCTTTTAGAGCGAGCGCAGTTTCTTGACCAAGAACGTGCCGCCGGAAAGTCTCGAAGCCCGCTCCATGGTATTCCATTCATCGTGAAGGTATAAGATTCCCTACGGTATCATCTCCTTCTGGGCTAATCAATCCCTTAGGATGCAATCGCGACTGATCCTCAATTAGGCATGGGCACAACGGCTGGGAGCTGGGCTCTTGTCGGCTCTCGGCCACCTGGGAACGCTCATACGGTACAGAAGGTATGTAGAACTACTAACTGCCAGTATCGAAAGGGGAATTGGCTAATTACATCTCATGCTTGATATAGCTTCTTGATGCTGGGGGCATCCTCATTGGCAAGGCTGGCTTGACAGTACGTGTATTGTTACCTTTCCATATACCAGTGTTCGACTGACAGTGATACCACAGGAATTCAACAACTTCAAAGGTCAAGGTCTCATTGATGGATGGTCTCCCGTCAACGGCTATACCCGCTCAGCGTATGTCAGGGGACCTCTCAAGTTGGATGAGGGCGCAATGGGCCACTCAGTAAGCTTCTTTATCTTCTCCTAAGTGAGTCAGTTCATTGACTTCTTTCTTTGACACCTACCGGATCATCGTCAGGATCTGCCGTCAGTGTCTCTGCTGGGCTCGGCATCGTGTCTCTAGGTGTCGAAACCGACGGGTCTATTGTATCACCAGCCTCCCGTGCCGCGCTCTATGCTATGAAGCTGACCATTGGGACCATCCCCATGGATGGAGTAATTCCAGTGTCGAAGAGCCTAGACTCTGTCGGTGCTATGGCTAGGTCCCCAGCTGACCTTGCCATGGTCATAGAGATGTTGCAAGAGACAGGACCGAATCACGACGAAAGACTGTCGCAGCTCATGACACAAAAATGGAATGGGCTAAGGATTGGATTTGTGGATGAGAAAATTTGGAAGTTACCAGAAAGTCTTTGCAAAAATGACGATGAGGCGCTCGTTCAGATGGTAAGGCCACTATCCCTCGGTAACGCATTGCCCTAACATTGCTGCAGAGGAAATAGTACCACTCCGTAATGAAGACCCTATCTAATGCCGGTGTCCACGTCAAGTATCCGGTCCAGCTTCCTCCCGGTGATAAGGTTTGGCCTGGGATTGGAGACATCATGTGTAGGTCGTTTAGCAAGCCTCAAGATGTGTTGTTTGGCAATTCTAACGAGATTTGAAGCCTACGAGTTCCAACAAGTCTTCAATCGCTATCTTGAAACTCTGGAGTCATCTCAAGTCAGGAACCTACAGGAACTTGTCGACTGGAATCGCCAGCACGCCGACAGAGAACTCCCCCAAGGTACGCGTATATGGATGAAGTTCATCATTAGTTTTATCCTGACACATAAACAGAATATCCATCACAGTCATGCCTTGAGAGCGCGTTACAGTGCAATATCTCTGCCGCCGAAAATGCGGAAACCCTGGCCTGCCTTCGCAAGCTTGCCGGACCCGACGGAATCGATCAAATACTCAACCTGTTTAAGCTGGATGCCATAGCATCATTAGCTGATAGTCCTCTGTCGAGCATTGCTTCTGCAGCTGGTAGGTTTCCCCAAGGCCGACTGCGTCCAACCAAAGCTAAATATCCCTTGAGGTTATCCCATCGCCACAATGCCTCTAGGTATTTTAGACATGAATGGGCGACCGTTCGGTATTAGCATGACTGCTAGCAAGAATCAAGAGAAAAAATTATTCCAGATCATGAGTGCTTGGGAAACCCTGGGAGCTCGGAAGCCACCGCCTGCTTTGATGGAGGAAACAAATCAGGCACAGCCGTAATTTACACCAGCCCCGTATATTAGGCAATCTTAGCACGATTGGTTGTAGATGCCTATAGGTACTTTGAAGAACATATACTGAATCAAAGGCATGTCCTCTACAATAGCACTTACACTTACATAACCAACCAGGTAATTATAGCAATGTATCTAAAGTTCGTGCGTAGCTATCCTTGAAGACCAAAAAAATTCACGCTTCAATGACCATCACCATATTTTAACCTCATGAGGCCTCCAGCAATGCGTGATGGAAATAAAACTTCGCAGTGATACGTGAACAAGGTTGACGTCTGTATAGCTGGTCTTAGTCAAAGCTTAGGAACGGGCCATTGTTTTTCGTATGATGGCAGTTGAAGCTGACCTCCATGAGTCTTATGTGCATTGTATTGGACTTGATCATGCAGTAATAGGACCTGAGCTAAACCGCGGCATCCAATGACATGCTGATTCTAACCACGGCTTCTTCTCCCTGGTCCAACAGCAACGCTGCCCCCAAATCCTTCGGGCAGGGATTGCAGGCGGTTCGACCGCGTTGTTTGCCCAAAACGGCTTGAAAGATCACCACATCCCCCCACGCTATACCCTCTACTGCTTTGTGTCATCCTAGGCAAGGCGATGAAGCTGGCGAGGCAGAAAACATTGAACTTTAGAGTATATTTACTTTAGCGATGAGCAGCCTTGCAAATCTCCACGCGCTATCCCATTAGATGATTTTAAATTGCGAAAGCGACCAACTTTTCTTCATATTTGACCACCTAGAGGAGATCTAAGACTTTACATTTCATTATCTCAATCAGACCCCGACAGCCACAATTCGGACTGAGCAATGCACCGTGGCTCGAGAAGAAGCATTGGGTGCGGGGCTTGTCGGCGGAACAAGATCAAGGTGAAGGGTGAATTCTGACTGGTTGCGCTCCGCGATGGTATCGCTAACATTGTATTGCGCTGCAGTGCGATGAAGTCCGCCCAATCTGTGGGCGCTGTCTGCGAGTAGACCGCGAGTGCGTGTATCCGCCTCAATTCCACTTTGTCGATACAAATACTCGATTCGCGGTGCCTGAGATGGGAGAGCGACCTGCACTTCGGAGAACAGGCGCAGAGGATTTGAAGACCAAGCTGAGCTTGCTTTATGGAGAAGGCGATGAGGATGGAATGATCTATAAGTTCCAATTGCTTCGTTACAGGTCGACAACGCCCTCGTCATCATCAAGAGACTCCAGCCCCCCCGTACCCAAAGCTCCCAGTTTATCACGAGGCGAGAAGCTTGCTTCAGCGTTGACCGCTTCGTTCAAAACCCCTCCCGATGGGTACCGGCTACATCACCTTGGCAGATACATGACTGAGATACCGTGCCGCCTTGGTTACAATCCCGCCCTCGATGTTGCAGTAGAGTGTCTCCTGCAGTGTCATACCCAATTACTTGAAGCAAACCAGTTTCCTCAACCCAGTACTCAACCTAGCCCCGAGTATATGAGGGCTCTCCAAACCCTACAAAATGTAATTGCAGATCCTGTCTTGGGCACTTCCGCCGAAACGGTCTGTGCCACCATGTTGATGGCCTACTATGAGGTAAAATGGTCAAGTCCAATTGTTTTTTAAACCTGATGTTGAAACTTTTTCCTAATATTGAGCAGATGATTGCCCCAGAAAGGCGTCCTCACCAATACATAGCGCATGCTGGGGGTGCGTCGAAGCTGATATCCGTCCGCGGTCCGTGGTGTGTACGCACAAGTTTTGAGTATAGTCTTTTTCGCACTCAGCGAGGTCGAATTGTGAGTATCATGGCAGTCTTACGCCCTTAGTAATATTGGAGCTTATTCATTTTATTAGGTCCTTGAGGCGTTGCTTCGAGGAGAACACTGCTTCCTACTTACAGGTGGATGGGAAGACATCTGCCCTGAGAAGCGTGACGGCATCAAGTTTTCAAGCGTCGACTACCTTTTTGAAAGTATCTGCAATATTTCCACACTCGTAAAATACGTTGTAGATTGGAAAGTCGAAGTATCTGACTTGGGTATGGGCGAGATTATAGAGTATGGGAGGAAGCTGCAACAAGAACTGCGAGCGGCTTCGCCTCGGAGCTCAATGGTTGGCGACTTCGAGGATAATCTTGGATTCGAAGAGCGTCCCACTTCGACGCTAGATGACGATTTCCCACTCAGCTTCCATTTCTATTCGTCCGAGGGCGCTATATTCCATACGTGGCGGTGGATGGCCTTGATAATTGCAGACCTTTGTCTAGTTAATCTTGTGGCTGATCCAAGACTGCGACTGAGCATTGCTGACACTGCGCGGCGAATCTGCATGTGCTATGAATATGCAAGTTCATCAAAGCCACTTGGAGCTCAGTTTCTGCAGGTACCATTAATCATCGCATACGTCGTGAGCGACCAGAAAGGCAAGAATTGGATTATAGACAAGATTAATTTATTGATGGGGAGCCTTTATGTAACATATACTGCGGAGTACTTGGATTGCCTATCGACGATGATAATGAAGAATATAAAATGAAGATTGAGATATTACTTGTTCTACTTCTCCGTTTTTCTACTAGTTATTCAATGAAATATTTGAATGTGCATCTTGTGGCCGTTGTGAAAGTTTCAGAATTGTGAAGCAGAAAGAGAAGCAACGCCGCGCTCCCCTTCTACAAAAGATGGATAAAATAAGAATCATATTTGAAAGAAGAAACTACTGAAATAGACTGCACGGCGAGAATAAAAATGATGCATCAGAACGGCAGTAACAAATGTCACTGCCTTCTCATATCGTCATATAGTGGCGCCGCACTCTCAGTAAAGTCCAAGCCACTCCTTGATCGTCTCCAACTGTACTCGTCTCGCCTAGGTGAATCTGTCAGCTGTAGTACCTCGAATCATGTTCTGGTGAGCTTACATGGACAACGCTTGGTTTATCGCCCGAAAAAGACGCAATAGACTCCTCGCCATGCGCAGCCTGGCTAGTGATCATCCATCTGGACGCGTTGCGGTCCGGCGAAGGAGGAAACGGATGGATACCGACACCAGTAGTAGGATCGTTCTCTGCATAGGCAAATATGATACGAGGCGCTTGAATCAGGTCTGCTGTAGAAATGTGCCACTTTGCCTCAACTTCCGCTTGGGTTGGGGGAACAATCTTATATAATGTCTCGCAGGTCATAGGATCCGATTCCGTTTGAACAGATGTCGGGGGGTAGATATTTCCATCGAGAATCTCATTACTGCTCAAGGGGAAGTATTTGCATAGAAGATAGTTAAAAGGAGCTTTCTGAAGAGATGCTTCCGAAGAGTCATCTGAATCCCAGGAGATGCAAGGAACTAGATTAGGCGGGTTTCTCAAGGTCAGAGTTGCGTTAACAATGTCGATTGGGTTCTTTGCACTGAGCGATATGTTGACCATTTTTTCGGGAGTAGCACCGTAAGGGTTTGCGTCTGGGCTGCTGTAACTGAGCAAAGGGATCAGTTGGGCGTTGGTAGCAATAACTCCCATTACCAATTGAAGGTCTGCTGCTGTCTTTGAGACGGTGCAGAGATTGAGATCTTTCGCAATGTCTTCTACCTCGCCCACTTCAAGGCATTAGCTGACGTTTAATCCCAGTTATTGAGGACAACGATAAGGCTTGTAAGACGTACAGTTTTGGAAACGTTTTGCCAGCAAAGTGAAAGCATCCCTCATCTTGGTAGCCGCCGCTGCAGACAAATCCCAGTAGACCTGGTTGACCTAGGAGTTACGTCCACTTAGCAAAATAATTCTCACGCAATGGTTCTAATAGAAACATACCCAATTGAACCAGTCGTATCGCCTCGGGTTCTGGTAGTTTGCTCCAATCGATCGGAGAGGCGGAGCGTACGGTATGGCTCCAAAAAACACTTCAGGATGATTCATCTTAAGTACCGTGGTCAGAAAGCCACCATATGAGCCTCCAGAAACAATGACCTTGCTATCCTTAGCTCCAGGGATAGTATGCTTAATATGATGAGTCTTCCTATTTTCACAGTAGTATATTCCTATTTTCACAGTAATACTCTACACTATACATTAGAGTTACCCCCTAAATTACAATTGCTATACTTATACACTAAAATACAGTGTAACGTACTAGGAAACAATATCTTTATATAAAATTATATTTAGTATAACTATTAACTATTAATTCCTTTTAAAAATATAATTCTAATACTTTCTAATACTTCCTAATACCTTAAATTAATTATATAATACCGTATATACTAGTAAGCTTATTAATATTATTATTACCTAGTTAAGTAACTGGGATAACTTTAATATAATCCTTAGCTTTATTTTCGTCTTTATCCTTATCCTTAGCCTTCTTAATAGTAGTAGTAATTACTATAAGCTATATTATAAATACCCTTTTTCTTCTTTATAACCAGCTACTTATAGTTTTTTATAATAAAGTTCCCTAGCTATAACTGCAGTTATAGCCTTATAATAACCTCTGTAAGCCTATAACTTTAAATTATAATAAATTGCGGCGTGCGCTTGGCTTTATATACTGCTTAAGGTAATATAACTATAGAGTTTACTTAGGCTGCTATTACTATATTAATTTTAATAATTACGACTGCAAAGCCTTATTTTTATTATTATTAGTTATTAATGCTAATAGTATTATTATTTTCTTATTATTTAAAAGGTAAGGCTAGCTATAGAGGTTTTAAATAATATTAGGGTTACGGATTTAAAGTAAGGGCTTATTAATATTTTAAAACTAAGTAGTTAATAGCTTTTTTATAAAAAATAAAAGGAAATTTTACTAAAGGCTTAGTTAGTTATTATTATAGGTAGATATTTTTTTTACTAAGGGCTTTACTATTTTTTAACTTTTTAAAGATTATATAGTTATAAGGGAGTATATATTACTATATAAAGCTACTAGTATAAGGCTTTAGTAGCTTAGGTATTAGGCTATAGCTTAACGGTATTATAACTATAGTTAAGTAATATTACTATATAAGGAGATTAACGGAAATATAGCTAATAGTTATTAGAATATTACCTAGCTAGTCCTACTACTAGATAAAGTGCTACTACTACTATATTTATATTTTAACTACTTTTTAATTATAATCTTGCTTTTTTTTTTATAATATTAAGGTAATAGTATTATAAAGGTATAAGAGATTACTTATATTAGTAATAAGGAATAATTTTACATTTTTATAAGTTATTTTAATAAAACTGTTAATTCTCTAGCTAAAGTTATAATATTATTTAATAAAATAGTAAGCCTACTGCTTTTACTATAGTATATATTTTTTTAAAATATACTATAAAATATAGTTTTATTTAGTATTATAAGTTACTTTTATTTTTACTTATACTTAATAAAAGCTATTTTTATCTTTAATATAAATAACTTATTTTTAAATATAAAATATACTTTTATAAAACTAGGGGTTAGTAATAGGCAGTAGGATAGCGTAGCTATACTTAATAATTTTTTATTTAGTAATATAGGCAGTAAGGTTATTATTAACTTTAATAGTAGTATTATTAGCGTAAGCTTAAGCCTTAAGGAAGTTTTTATTACCTTTAGTAACCTTAGGCTTATTATTATTAGCTTTATTATTACTACTACTATCTTTACTCTTCTACTTTAATTAAATTTTTATATTAACGTTAGCGTTAACGTAATATATATATAACTGCTGCTAGGTATTAAGAAATATAGCCTTAAGTACGTTTTTAAATATTATTTCCTTATTTATAATTATTATAGTTAACGCTAGTATATAAAGGTTTTAATAAAGTTCCTTAAGTTATTTATATAATTAAAAAAAACTATTTTTTTACTTTATATTAATAAAGCTAAAGGTAAAGTTAGCTACTAATTTTTAATTTATAATACTTATAATTTTAAAAAAATATATATAAAATTAATTAATTTTATATATATTATTAAGGTTAAGGATTTTTAAGAACTAATATTATATTATCTTTTGTCAGAGCCCATCTAAAGAGGGCGCGGTCGCGCAACGGCCGCGCACCGGCCACGTTACGGGGGCGCGAGCTAAGGGTTGCGAAGCCCTTAGCTTAGCAACAACACTATAAAAGACCTAAAATCTAGGGAAGGAGTTAAGGAAGGCAGAGATAAATACAGTCACTTCGCTACCCTAAGCTTGCGTATTCGCTGTGTAGCTACCTGTGATCATCCCTTATCCCTCTTCACTCTCTTCCAC